GACACCATTAATAATAATTTTCCAGAAAATTCAAACGCCAAGGAAGCACGTATAAGCAAACTGTGACCGAAAGGGCTGTAATGGCGGAGTTGGAAAACACGGAAAGGCGAAGAAATGTAAAAACAGAGGTAGGGTTTCAACCTGTCCCAAAAGGTATGTTATTGCATCATCACTTGTGGTCATTAAAATAAGCTGCATAATTTTGTCTGTTGCTCGAGAATATTTGTTGGTCTGATACAGGACACATCACTTGTTGGACAACCACTGATGCTCTTATGTTCACTTACTTACTTACTGACTTATCCTCCTTGTGCCCTAAAGAACACTCGAGGCTATGATTTTCTTAATATCCCTTAATTCAAAGCAATCCATTTTCCCTAAAAGGGTGGGTATTTCGTTTCTCATGGCATAAACGTCAAGGTCAAGATTTCAAACTCTAATCGGTTCCCAACAAGACGGCGAAAGAGGATCAAAAACCACACCCAATCGGAATATGAGGACCTCATGATTTATTGCTGCTGGTATTTTTTATCTCTGTGGAAAGGAAAGTGAAGTACATATTAATCGTGACATAATTGTAAACATTTACTTTTAGTAACCTTTTTTAAATAAAGAATGCGCACAATTTTGCCATTGGGGATAACATATGCAAAAAAATGTGTAAATATTATTCAGGAATCGCTGAATAACTCAAAAGTGTCCAATGGTCTGCACCATGGCGGCCACGGGAATGATAACGACAATGTAACTGAAAAGTAGTTGACAAGTACCTTGTTCAATAAAATTGAACGTAACTGTGTTTAAGCTGTTTTTGACCTCCTTCTTCATAGGGGGTGGAAAAGCTCACAGAGAGTTGATATCTATGCATTGAACCTAGTGTGGGTATCATCTCATTACTGTTCGCCGCGAAACCGAGTCATATTGGAGGAAAAAAAAGAGCAATGTCGTTTCTTGCACGCAATCGACAGTTAAGGACGTGTACTACCATCAACCGACACAATTCTGGGCTGAGAGTGCATCGCGTTTTCCATGACTAGGCACCACAGCGTAACTGAGTGTTGGACTCATTCGAGTGAAACAACAAAATCGGTGCGCCCTTGGGAAGAAATGACCTAAGAATAGCAATTCGCTACGATGGACAAACTTTTGTGGTAATCGGGTGTTAATCAACAAAGAAAAACACAATGAACTACAGGTAATTTAAAAGTAGCGAAGAGAAGGTTCTCTTGAGGTACAAACTGTTACACACCAAGCTCGTGAAATCTATGACAAATCTTCGTGGACCTAAATAAATTAGGTTTTATTGGTCTTAGTCATGCATGTAACATTTCTCAGTGAAAAGAAGCGCTTTGACTGTGTAATACTCGAGACGAAAACGTGTAAATGTGATGCTTCAAATGACAGAGGAACGTGAAGCTAGCACTGTTCAAACTCAAAACAGCATTAAAGAGATAATGCAGACGAGTCAATTTCACCCAAGAACTTCAGTGGATATACGTTTTATACCTCCGAGAGGTACGTTTCGCATCGAAACTTCTTTGATTAGCAATTCCTTTCTTTATCTCTTTCATCTTGATAGGAACTAAGAAATGGTAAAATGCGTGCGGAATGCTTTTCAGCGGAAATTGATGAAAAAAGCAGACCAACGGCTACTAAAGGATAAACAGGTCGCACCACAAAAACACAAGAAATGCGCCGATATTGCCTTTCCTATCATAAATTTAAAACGGCCTTTATAAAGAGAAAGATCTTGAACGGTGGTCTCAAGCTTGGGAATAGAAAGTGTGAGAGAATTCCAGACATGTGAGAACCTCAGACTTTCGCAGATTCTCTACAAGCTGAGCATTGGTGAGTTAGTTGGTATTTGTGGACCACAAACTATACTGTAGGTTGATATGAGACAGGCATCTTAAAGATTGCAAAGATTAGCAACGTCTGAGGCATATTTAAATTTACCCCAATCCTTTTTTTAATTTCTTCCTTTCAGGAGTGCTTTCCAGAGCCATGCAATGAGTTTGGAGTAAGGCATGAGAATCGTTGACATAAAGAGTCACCGTTTTGATTTCGTAACGTAACTTGACGGAAAGTAAATAGAATAATTCTGATTTATGACAGACTCATGGTCTGATTGATGATGTCTAACAAATAGTTAAATGTAATTCAAAAGTAAATAGCTGTGTTGATTCAGGCTTCCGAATGTACTTTCCGAAATTCCTTGTTTGTTTATATGAGTATGAAAATAAACTGTATTTTATCAGTTTCAGTATGGCTTTCTATTTCAAGTGTACTTAGAATTGCTTAAACTATTGTGTTAAAACATTTACAGCTGAAAACAAGGAAAAAGTATTGTAGTATCAAGCACCTCCTTATTCACATGTTGTTTATAATTAGTGTTCCTAGAACTAATTTAACCACGTGGAGCCTTATTTTCACACCTTGGCTACTGATTATTTCAAAGAGCTAAGCTCGAAAGTGGGATTAGTGCAGCAGTTCCACTCGAGAAGTTGCAGACTTTATTCAGGTAAAGTAAAGACACAGTAAAGATGGAACTTCTCTCTTCTATCGCGTAGGAAGAGCAACTTATTGAGTAAGATCTTTTCTCAAAATGGTCACTTAACATTTTAGATTTGATTTCACTGAGTAGGATATTTACCATCACAATATTGGAACAACACTCTTAAGGACGATTAGTTTTGACTCACTCACAACAAATTTTGATCGTGCGAGGGTAGTTTTGTGGTCGAGGAAATAGTGATGAACGGAAGTTCAGGGTTGCTTCTCTGAAACGGCTTAAAAGGAAAACTCCGGACTGAAAATGCTCTCCAAGAAAGTCTTACAAAAGATTTTTACTTTTCTTAAGACGTTAAGTCAAACTACGTTTGCCCTAAATTACACGTATGCAACAAGACAGAATAAAAATACAAAAAAGGTGAGAATGTTTAGCTTGCGTGTTGATTTACATTACATAAAGATTCTCAGCCCCTAAAGGACTTATCCTGCTCATGTTTGTTAATTGATGTTCCCTAGGTTAAGCCCACGCTATCCTTACTTGCTGCTGAAGTCTGCGGTCAGCGATTATTACATTCCAGCCGGAAGTCGTGTCGACATCTTTGAACTCTCTAAACCAATTTTGAGGGTGTTTACCAAAACTGCTGAATAAATGAAATATTCCAGAACAATGACACAACACAATAGAACATTGAGACAGAAATTCATGCTCGCAGCCCCGGGTATTTCCTCTTGGACACGGCCGTATTTCATTGCAAAGGTACCGCAAATCAGGCGCACTCGTTTTATCTGTCAACAGGCCTTCCATATCGTCCACAGGAATACTAAGAGGTTCCTCTTTGAATGACACTCTGCTCTGTTTGCGCATTACCATTGGTTGTCAGTAGTCTCGATTCCAGGGTTTGATAGACGCATCATCAACGGGTCGGCGGGAGTATAAAACAACGTATTTCCCTGTCAGAAGCTCATTTGTATCCATTTGTAGTAATTTATCTCGCGGGTGTTAACTTTACAGCTGCCACCAGAGACCATCGGATCGGTGTTAATCGTACAAGTATTCTTAAACCAGTCTTTAAGAAGACCTGTAATCATAGCAACTGCGCAAGGAAAACCACGGATATTTTTAGAATAAGGTAAGTTACGCATACTTCATTTCGTGGTCACACGCGTGGTTGAGTTTGGATGTGCGACTTTGTAACATGTGTGGTGCAAATCTGATCAAAATTAACGCGAAAACCATTTGTTTGCTACTTTTAGGTTGACTGATATTCCAACGACAACATGCAAATAAGGTTAATCTTCGTGTTTTTACTGTTGCTGGAATTAACCAATAGTGTCTCATGTGCGAAAAAGCCCTCAGGAACAAGAAGAAATCGCAACCCATTAACCTCGGTAAGACACTTGTTTTAGTTATTTTTTAAACTTCAGCCTGTTGCGAGTCTCTCTTAAGTTTCGTGTAATACGTAACAAACAACAGTAACACCGACTAATCAACATGAACAAAACTTTAAAATTGGAAGAAATAAACCAAACATGAATTCTAAAAAAACAATGATAAACACGAGGAAACCATCTTGACCCCCTGTTACCACAAATAAATTTCGTATTTAACGTGTCCCAGTGATATAAGACATATTTTCGTAATTCACAACATTCAGTATTTCTCAGATGTACATGAAAAATTGTTCTTCTGAAAAAACGTACAAGTTGCGGTCGGAAATAAAACGGTTAACAAACAAACAGTTCATTCATTAGAGGAGCTTTTAATATTATGGTGAAAGAAAGACTGTTTTTCATCAGTGTAAGTTGATGAAGTACTATTCTTTGCCTGAAGAACACAACTTAAGTTAACAAGACAAATTGTTTCTGCGGTCACGTTTCCTCACGCAGATAAAGTTCTTGCTATTCTCCCATATACGAAATCATAAACAAGGGCAAAATATTTGGAGTAGGACAGAAACGTGCTCATCAAAGCAATCATCGTACGCATCGGCATTTCACAACAACCATGTGTCGATCGATAGTTGGGCTCCTCCCCACCAATTATAAATGTAATCACCGACCTAACAGAAGTCCTAATGATAATTTGTTGGGCGGGGTTTGAACAAAAACAGATGTTGTTTTATCTAAACAAGTAACAATTTCAGGTCCACAAGGCTTTAATATGTTTTTAACAAATTCTGCGGCTTCTTTTAGCAACATTACTGACTATGAACGAAAGCTGGGCGCGAGTTGTGGCGCAAAAAAATGCCATCCATAAAATAGCTCGCAGATGTGCACCAAAGGGCACGTAGCAGATTTCAACACCAAAGGAATCCCAACGTTTCACCATTAAATCCAAATCACTTACTTTTTTTGTGACCGTCCCGTATCAATGCCCAAATCCACCTGAGAAATCGATGGTATCAATGCGACCTTCACCTTAAAGGGAAATACCAATATTAAATTTCTTCATTTTCCGACCTCCCGTGCCTTACCCAATTACCCATAAATTTAGCGCCTCGTTGCATTTGAGACCAGTCTATTTTGCACCGCCTTTGTGAAGAGCTCTCTGCGGGAAGATGTTGAATCTTAAATATCCTAGTGTTGTTCGCTATGTGGTCATTGTTACGGTGACTTTTCTGTTTAGTCTCCAATTCGAGATCGCTTCACCAACTGTGAGTTCGACAAGACCCTCGGTGGTACAAACCTCACCGAATAATGGTGGGAATACCAAAAAGGTATCTGACAGCCTCGAGAATTCAAACGTAAGATATTTTCTAACTATATTGTATTCTTAAAGGGTTATTTTGAGGGAGTTCTTTGCGTGCCTTAGCAGATGGATAGCAGTCGTGTTGCGTTTTCTTACGCCCTCTCACTGTTCGCCATCTTTTACCAAGCGTCTTCGGTTGGAAAAAAATAATCGACCATTCGTCTTTTCAAAGGTTTCTCTGTGGGGTGTCCTCGGACAGCGCTTGAAAGATAAAACATAGACGCGACAAGAGTGGGTGAAAGAACGTAGTACACACGTTCTTTAACTTTTGTCGACTAGCTCTCCGTGACTGATAGGAAAGTGCAGTGACTTTGTGCTTTCATTGTTTGAATCAATTTTCAAGATTAAGAGAAAATCGAGTCGGTTGCCAACATGAAGTCATTCATTTTACCAGAGGTTGCCGGCCTCGAATGATTTCGGTCCGTCGCTTCGCGAACGCTCTTGACCATGCATTTTTTTAAACAGTTTGTCTACAAGTTTTCATAAATCTATTTCTTCCAATCTTTCTAAAGCTTGCAAACGAAAACTCTTCAGTTTCTGCGAAGAATCATCGATTTGGGTATGTGTGTAGGGGATCTTGGGGAAGTGTTAAATACTCCAGAAATTAATAAGCTCTTCCGCTGGTTTGGTTACCAAAAACGTAAGTAAGTCACAAAGTTCAATCCCTTGAAGATGCTCTCCATGAGAGGAAAAAATAAAAAAAGAAAATCGTATTTTCCGATTAGGCCATGCACGCGAGTTGTTAAAACATGCAATTGACTTGTAAGGTCGTTGATTGATAACGCAGGACCAAGTGGCTCGTTTACTCAAGCTGTTGACACTTAAAGATTTCACATCTTAGAAGGTTATCACTTGTAGCGGGTTGTCAATTAACTGTAATCATATTCAAGGCTGATAATCAAACATAATTTAGAGGATATAACCTTGCCGGGTGGGTTAATACCCGTCTGAAAATTTAATTGATAGAATTAATGCAATTACCTCATCTAATTAGTAGTTACATAGTACAACCATGAGGGTTAGAGTGCAATTATATTTTCTGACAACTGAAGTTCTGTAGAATAACATTTTTGAGGGTGTTTCTGGCATAAATTCCAAGAGTAGTTTCTTAATCAGCCGAAAGAACAGGAAAAGAAAGAATGCTTCCTCTAGCCTTTCAAATGCCAAAATATGGCAGAAAGAATCATAAAATTGATTTTTCTTCCTTTTTCCACTGCCTTTATAAGTTACACTGACGTCCGCCACATACAGTGTTCCTTGAAACAAGCTAGTAGTTATGAGAGTCTTAAAAAAATGGCTATTCATTGTAGCTAGAGCGGTCAATCGGACTGTGACAATTATTCACTAGAAATTATCGTTTTAGTCCATTGATAAATAAAAATCCTCTCAACTCGGATATATACTGTAACGGGAGAATACCTTGACAATCAGCAAAGGGGTCTTGGTTTTAAATTCTATCGATGGTTTACGATCTTAAAAAGAAAAGACATGGTTTGCCTGGTTTCCAGCTTTGCTGAACTGGACTGAAAAGGTTTGTCACCGGGAAAACCTTCAGAAAGACCTTGAAGCAGACTTTAATATTCCCGTTTAATAGCACGATTACCCGAAATTCAATGGAACACGTTGTTTTCATAACATGGAAATAGGTTTCGTGCGTGTTTCATTACAGCAACGTTCATGTACTCAAGTTGCAACAAATTTGTGGAGGCAACCATGGTTGTTTGGGCCTCTTGGTCACCAAATGTAAATTGTGGATTTTAAATCAGCACGGATGACTCGTACTTGAAATAACTATAACATCAAGGATACAGGTAACACGATAAATCAACGTCTAAGCTTTCAAAATATTATAGGCACAACAATGCATTGAATGAAATCTTCAGTTTTCACTCCCTCAAATGAAAATGGTCCACATCTTTCAACTACTCAACTCTGGTTTCCCTTACTGATGCGATATTGTGATTATAATTATATTATATAAAATAAATCCCTGCTCCTAGCCTAACCTTAATATCCTATTTAGAACAAAATATTTCAATCTCTACATTTTTTGCAAGACCTCTGGTCCTATTATAAATATAGGGTTAAAATGTAAGTAGCAGACATTTCTAATGTAATTTGTCAGTCACTTTGACCTGCATGAATCAGGTCTCGTCCATCAGCATATTAAGATACGAACAAAAGAACCAATGGCTGACCCTAACGAACGAGCAAAGGAAAGACTGAACTGCGAATTTAAATCAAATGGATGGATGAATGACTGAATAAAAATGTCAAAGATCAACAGAGTAAATGAATGAATGAATGAATAGGTAGATGGATGAAGAGCACATAAGAGAATGAGCGAACAAACGAGTGATTTAGTGAACACACATCCGTGCGCACTTTTAATTGATGAGCCTATAAAACGAGTGGACCTCTTAGTAGAAAATCGCAGAGAAAAACATTGAGAAAGCACAGCGATCGCCCTGCAATCATTCACAACATTTTCCAGTAAAAACAGTTAATGGTCCTGAATGTTTCAAAAACCATAATCTTTCAGATGAGTGCAATATCTGTATAGTTGCAAATACATTACCATAACTTAAATCATTGTACCATTTTTCTCAGTGCTCCTCATTCTTGAGTCTCATGAGTCTTAAACAAAAACATTCACGCGTTAATACAAGAACGAAGAACGACTATCTATAAATGGAACAGCATATTCCACACAAACCGAAAAGTGTTAAGGTTGTCTAACAGCTAATACCTGAAATCAGTATTTCTTGATAAAATTTGGAGGGAAGCGACTACTAGATGATTTAAAATGTGTAAAAAGTTGCTTTGATTGTCTTTTGCAACACATGTGGCTAAAATAGAGCGAGTTTTCGAGGTGACGGTCAATCAAAAGCCCATACAACTAACCTTAGACATACTTTTTTTAAGGGGAAAAATCTTAGCAGAGAAACAGACAAACACAACCAAAAAAAACCTGACCAAAAAAGATGTAACCGTCTTTTTGAGATCGGATCGTTATGGGTTCTGCAAGCTATTGATAATAACTAGTAGAGCCACTCTTTTCTTCAAAGTTGCAGACAGCATCTGATAATGGCTCGGATCCTGTCAATCCGGCACAGAGTTGGAACTACTTCCGAAAACGTGGTAAGGGAAACAAGGGAAAGAAAGACAAAAATGCCAAGGACAACACCAAAGTAAGGAAACTCTGTTATCATCTCACAATCGGTATGATTTATTTCAACTGTCATATCTGATACTTTAAAACAGGTTTCGTCTGTATTTAGAAGCCATGTCGTTAGAGGTTGCAAGGCAATTAGTTCCTGAGGTCTTTAAGTCACATTTCCCAGCAACACATCGATTACTTACTATTTCAAATATCTTCGCTTTGTTTTTTTTTCCTTTTTTTGTTACCTGTCAGATTGTTTGTGACCCAGGTCCCCCTGGACCTCCTGGCCCACCAGGTCCAATTGGGCCGCCAGGAGCTCAAGTGACAGAGGCTACGATGTTGGCGGAGTTTAGGAACATGGTGCAAGGTAAGAAGAGTATTAATCACTCAACTTTAGTTAAATCAAACTTTCTTCTTATTAAAATTAAAGGAATTTCCCTTGAACTATTATCTAAGTCATTTAATATCAATTATATTAAACACCCCTTTTGGCATGCGTAGCTGATGTGATTAATCGCGCTACAATGAGGCCTATTAGGGCTTTGAGGTCAAATTCTTCAAAGGATGCTGCGACAGTTACCAATTATGAAAAAGTTCAAAGGATCAGCTTGGATCAGCATGAGTCGGCCCTGTAGGCAATCCAAAGAGAGCGAAAGAAGTTGTAGCGTTTTAGGTTTTTCCACACATTCAATCCTTTCTTTAGGATATACTGTCTAAGTCACAAAGAAGAACTTCCAAACACATGTAATTAACACGTCCAACGAAGCTCCATTTCAAACATTAGACTATCCCCATAGAGCCTCAAATATCAATATTTAGCATGTGTAATGTGTCTTTTTTTGACATTTTTTGTTATAAAGAAAGTGCAAATCGACGATCAAGGCGAATTGCAGACCAGGTATTTACAAGTTTCCTACTGGCCGAGAGCATCAATGAAAATTTCTCTTATTCAACGATCACCATAGAACTGCACGTTGATACACCCTAACGACCGCAAGTTTAGAGAGTATTTGATAGTAAAGAAAGATGCCATACACTTGCCATGAGTGTTACTCGTGAAAGTAGAAACTCGCCTATTAGCAGCTGTGTAGTTACGCACAACTGATAGCTGAACCATTCTTTTTGTGCGAGAAAAATTAGACGAAAGGACGATTAGTTACCTTGAGGGAAAAGGCCCATCAATCTGTTACTGACAATCAATGATTAAAAAAGAACCAAGCAAAGCTAACATAACTAATACACGCTTCTTCCAACAGAATATCAGTCTGATGGCTGCAGGTATTCCAGATCTGTTGTCTGCTCACCATGTTCTCCTCAGATACGCCATTAACATTCCAAAGAGGGCGCATCAGGAGGTGCAAAACTACAAACAGCCGGTAAGTTTTGTATGTCATACAAGGGTTCTACGATAACTTTTTGTGACTGTTTTTCTTTTGAATGGCGTTAATTTGAATAGTCACACACTTAAGTGACTGTGGTAACGTAGGTGATTTAGCGAAATGAATCCAAAACGCAGTGAACACATCAAACATTCTAATTGATTAAAGTGGTTGCTTTGAAATTAAACCTTGTTAAAATAAAAATTGAATACCTTATGTTGGAAGTGCATATCAGCTCTCATTTCAGTGGTACCTCACCAGCATTCGTCTAACAACTCGAATTTTGACTGCTGCTGTACCTTGGAAAAAATGCAGATTGTCTTGTAAAGAATTACTTCTCACCTACTTTGAATTAACGTTGATCACAATGATTATGCTATTTTGTACACTGATTTTTCTTCGAATATAAATTATTGACCCATTATGAGTCACCTTGACTGACAGGTTAGTTGCCTAGAAATAAAAATCTGCCTAGGGATGCTTGCTAAAGGTAGACAATAAGGTACAAAAAAAAATTTAAATTTCTAATTGAAAAAAAAACAACAACAACATGTCCGCCTGTTTTTCACTTTTACGAGAGGTGATTTAAATCTGTGAATCAAATGTGATTGGGATTCTTTTCTCCAGGGTGATCAGGCCGGTACGTTTGTGCGTGGAAGTGATGTCAACTTGCGTTCTGGTCAATACTTCATAAGGTACACAGGTGTATACCACCTTACAGCCACACTCCTAATCTCACGCGACAGGGATACAAATCTGCGCCCAAGAGACTACATAAAAATCAGCATCTGTATCAACTCACTGTGCGAATTGAACACGTAAGTAGACGCATATGGCATACGCTCTTATCTAGGTTAATTCTCATCTTTTTATTGATTTTGGTGGTAATTGTATGTTTGCCTTAAAAGAAAATTACTGGGGCGTCTTTTTTTAATCCTTTGGCTGCCAAAAACTTGAACTGTTTGGCAATAAAGACCGCAAACTCAGCAGGCACATAGGTAGAGGACGAGAGCCCCGTCCCTAACCTTATAACTCAGACCCGCTCGCCAATGCATCTGCTGTTAAGGCTGACGCATATCAAGGAAAAACGTGTCCCCTGAAAACATCACAGTCTTAAAAAGGAAACTAATCGCATCCTCAACATGGCTAAGTAATTTCAATTCCAATTCCAGAGCTTTGACAACGATAGCAGGAATGGAGAGCAACAGCCTGAAGTTTTCAGTCACAGTTAGTGGAATGCTCATGCTCAAGGTAATAATTTACTCAACTTTTGAAGGAGTTAGGGGTTCCTTATAGCCCGTTGCCAGTACGATGTTAGTATCATGACCCTGCACAGATGCAATATATTAAAAAAAAGCAAAGGTGGCCCCTTAAGAATCTATGAATTTAGTAGGCTAAATACCTAAGGTGACGCTCCCCTTACACCACATACTTTAAGCAAATTGTTTTCCGACTGCATTTCAACATGTTTCTGCCAGGAGCGGTATATGGGCCCTCCGCTCACGCTGCTTCCCGTGTGACACATGTGAAAGTTAAAGTACATGTATTCCTTCTTCCTAATTTTACGTCAATAAGTAAGTCAAGATCGCCATATTTAAATTCTCCTTACATTGGTTAAATCATAAGTTAAGAAGAGATGACAGTAGAGAACATTATTAGATAGAGGACATTACATAGTTTCCACAAAGGTTAACAGTGCGACGTCTTCACTCATTAACGAATAAAATATTTGTGGTTATTTTGATCACCAGGCCGGGAGTTACGTGTCAGTTTTCGTCGAGAACAACACTAACAAGCCACTTGTTATTTTGGAGCAGTCCTCTTTTTCCGGCCTCATGATTGGCCGATAGGATGACGTCAAAGGAAGGCGTTACAATGGTTAGGATAAACAAAATTAAACCTGACTTAATTTACGCTCTCCATCAGTTTCAAATATTGTATACAATACAGTACATCAATTACAGAGTTACTGCATAGTTCTGGCTAGGATCCGCACCTTTTCCTTCATATAGACTGTGAACAAAGTGTAGAGCAATAATCTGGGGTAATTTTCTAACATTTCAGTGCTCATATAACGTTGTAGATATATAAAGTTTAACCAGAGAATAAGTACGTAGACATAGTGGCAAGAAATTATATTTCTGGTTTAAAACATTCCATGTCTTTGGCTGTGGCTTTCTTATAGGGGATGAGATATTGTTTGTTTGCATGTATCTTCCTACGCCACAAATAGTTTAGGGCTTAAAGTATACCGTTGTGAAATTGAGACCTTGAAAATTACCCTCTCTTGAAACGAATTTCACAAATTTACCATCGGCTAATTGTAACTCCCTGGAATCCGGAACTGTATTCCGTCTAATTTAGCAGCCCTAGAAAATGGGGCTTAACTATAGTATGAAATTTGTTTACTTTCTAAGCTTCCATGGGTTTTACACGGGGGGTCTTTAAGCCAAATTCTAGAGTAAATATTTCAATCCACTTTTCTTTAATTTAGTTTCCAGTAATAGTACATAGTGTTTGTAAACTAGCACCTCCTAGTACCGTACGTGATTAAATCGGCCTATCCGGCTCTATAAATGAGTTAATTAACAACATTTCCGCTGAAAATGTCCTTAGGCGCGTTTCTCGAAAATCCCGGTAACTTAACTTGTCCGAAGCCATATCTTAGAATAAAAATTTAAAGATAAGGAAGCAGGTTCTGCAAACCTTAACCAGTCCATTTTGTTTCTTTAGCAAATAGTATTATTGTATACTTTTCAAGACTTTTGAAACACCCATCTTAAATGTAAACAGAACAGTTTGACGGGCCCGTTAAGTTGCTGGGACCTTCGTGAAGTTAATTTCCTTTACTGATACCATATTTACTTTGATAGGCACCAGTACTATGCATTACCACAAGTTAGAGTATTGTAAATGATCAATATGAATTGTTTATAGCTTGCCAGTGGAAAAAGTCTGACAAAGAAATATTGAAATTTGGTAAAATTGACTATTGTAAAATTTTTTTAGTCATAAAATGATGGAGTACAGATTTGCATAAATTCCTAATGCAGTAGACCTATAAACAGTAAACAATTGTACGTTTTAAATGATACAAATAATCACAATTTCCACTGTTGTCATAATTTCAATAAAGACAGTTATTATTGGTAATAATTACTTGTGTTGAGAATTATTAAGTTGTTTACAATGGTTGTCGAAAGAAATAGCTTGGTTTCCACTTTGCGCACTTTAAGAAAACGAACTTTAAACGTTTGTGCTCTTTCAAAAATATCATCAAATTATAAACGATTGTTTTTGAGTCAAAGGTGTCGAAACGCTTCGTTCGGAAGGGCAGAAGAAATAGTTATTAGATGAGACAGATGTTGTATCCATGGTGGATGGCTTGGTTGTTTAATCACTAGAGAGATGTTCAGTCGATTTATCGCTCGTGTCAGACGTCGAACGATCGGTGCTTGTGACCAGACAGGACCATTTTTAATGGCACTAACTGACCTACAGGAATTCTTTTTCAATACCCCCTTCCAAGGTTCACGTTAGAGCCGACACTCCGCTATTTGGCACAGTTCCTTTTTCGGGAGTTTTTAACAATGTTAGCAAACCAATATAGTGGAACAAAAATAGTCCCAGTAGACTCACTTGGTGCACCTCGTGAGTCCACAAATTTTGACTGCTATGAAGACGAATATAATAGCTATTCGCCTCAGGCTCAGTGAATATTGTGAAATTTTCCCCTCGACCTCGTCTCGGATTATTCGACAATATTCACTCCGCCTTCAGCAAATATTAATTGCAGCGATTTTTTGTCCCCCAAACATAATTAGCATAAGCTTCTGATAGCTCTTAAACCTTTCTCAGCATTGCACCTGTTTTTCCTAATAGCCATAATTATCCGCAAAAACGAAAGCAAACTGCCTGAATTTGCTTGCTACCAAAACATTATTGCAATCGAGGCTTAATCTGATAGAAAAAACAAGAATGTACGCTTTAATAAAGCAATTATTTGAAAGAAAGAAGGAGTTTATCTTGAAATAATTTTGTTCTCGACCTCTTTGGCATTTGCTTCCATTATTACAAGATGGACACAAAAAAGGAGAAATATTCATTTGGTAACATACAACCTACCAATATAATTGGCACACATTTTGTTGTTTTATTAGCATTGTCAATTTTTTTTTTAATTGGACCGAAGTAATGGCTGTAGTTTACTCGACTTTAACACGCCTTTCACGACAGAAAATCTGCAATTAACGTTTGAAATGCAGACATCACCAGAAAACTGAACTTTTTCTTTGTTATGACATAATGACACCACCTTTAACTTATTTTTTGATGATTCTTTGTCCACTGTCAGAAAGCAAGAGGTATAAAAGAGTGGAAGAGGTAAAATAAGTTGAAAAGCTGTGTCATCAGATAAAATCATTGACTAACACACTCTGATAGTTACTACAAGCACAACTGCTCAGACTTCATTATCATAAGATATCGTGGATTTCTCTGCTGGTGAGTGGGACATTTCAAACATACGTATTTTGCTTATAGGCAAATATTATTACAAAATTTTGAGAAATTGCATTGTCAGAAACTCTAAAAAATTTAAGGGGCGAGGAAAATAATTTTAATTGTTTTAATGTTTGATCTGCTACTCATAAACTTGTTTCAGGTCTTGATAAAAAATAAACCAATTTTTTTTTGGGCTCTTTAAGGAAGCGAATTTTGGGGCGCCATTCTCTTACTTTTCAAAAGTAATTGGTACTTTCCTGTTTGTTCTACTATATCAGCTTTACGGGTCAGTGATAAATCTTCTTACCGGCGGCAAATTGATCAGATGATTGAAAAGAGATTGCAACCAGAATATTTCCTTTACTTCAGAACCAGACAATCTATTTTTCTTTGTGAAACAATTTTAAGGCAAGGTTTAAAAAGTTACACTTTTGAAATAGAACAAAACAAATGTGTTCAACAAACAAGACAAGTTAAAAACTGTTGTAACCAGAACACAATAAACGCGAATTACGCTGTTACATCATCAGTTCATAATTCTTCAAAGTTGCTGGTTTGAAATCATAAATTGAATTCTAAACAGAACTCGTCTTAAAGTTTTGTGCTTCAGAAGCAATTACAGTGTCTGAAAATAATAAAGAACGCTTGGTCAGAAAAGGTACCAACCGATGCTCAGAATTTGCCATGTAACACTTCTACGTTGACACAAAACACGTTCATAAATTATATGGCCGCATTAACACTTACATGTACTCATCAAGAAGCTCTCTCTTAAAAGTTACCTTTTTTAGCAGTGTAATGAGATGGAAAACTATGACAAGTTTTCCCTAACAAGTCTACTTGCCCAAAACCTGACATGTATTGGTCGTCGATAGCTTTTGAATATGAAGACCGGTCAAAAACTTAATATGGTACTATAGACAGTTGCTCACGAAGTTCTAACGAGGTTTACGAATACTTAGTATTTATAAAGTTTACCTCAATAAGTGTGACTGTCTATAGTTTTGTTGAAAAATCCTGTGTTGAAATAAACATTGCAAAATGGTCTAGAAACATCGGATCGTTCTAGTGGATTAAATAAGCCGGCTTTTCTCAAAGTCCTTTGCTCGCAATCAATTCAGCTTTTGAAGCTTCATTTGTAACTGCAGGCATGCATGTCTGTGATTTATTAGAATTTGGTGGTAGATCGTTACTTTTCATTCCATGGAAAAATAGCTACTGACAATAGAACTTTTAAGTCAGGTATTCAGTAAACAAAGTAAAAGGATCTTCGTTATGACAACTTCAAACACATTTCGAAAACCTGAAATGGAATTTTGATTCTGTTGGCATAGTTTGAGGACAGGCGACAATATGAAAAAGTAGCCCAAAAATAATGAAAAATACAGATAAAAATAGTTATAATAGTAATCAAAGTGCTCTGTGAGCAAACTCGTGAATTGACACATGATTTTTTAGACTATGTTTAATGTTATCTGGTTTAGGGAATTTTGTGGTTGATTGTCATAACTAGAGTACGAGCAGTAGTTCAGTGTTCGCTAATGTAGCAAAGAAACAAAGTAACGTTGGGATAAGAAGGCATTACAATTGAAATGATCATGCTAATTTGACAAGGTGGATGATGTCATGTGTTTTAAACGTCTATCATTTTTGTTTCTGGTTCAAAAGAAAAGGTTGGAAGTAAATGTGGGTGAAAAGTGAAAAGTGAAATTTACTGTCTTTCGTTGTAAATATTAGAAAATCAAGGCAATACTGTCTTAATGAAAACATTAACGATTCCCTCTTTATCAAATGAGACAAACGGGAACGAGTTTTGAGTGATATAACTGAGCCAAGCCTGCCACCGTCATTTTGGATCTCCGCCTGGGTAGATTTAAGTCACGTGCTAGGCAACGTATAATCAATAACAAGATAGAATTTCATTTCAGGCCTATTTATCTATTTTGTGGTGTGTAACTTTCGCATTTTAGTACGTTGTATGTATGTTGAATCTTCAAATTGTCTTGAAACTGAAAAGAAAATTGTTCTTTCAAAATTCACTGAAAATCGGTAGCTAAAATTGTTTGTTTAGGTGTTATTTGATTTTCGTGTTAACTTGTTATTTCGTCAGTCGCCGGCACTTTTGTTGCTTCACACAGGAAAAACACACGCGACGAAACGTAATGATCAATTTTGTCCTCAATCTCACGCCATAACAGAAAAAGCTTTTGAACATCTGTAGACTCCGAGCGCTTCGCAGTAAGTGATATTTTCAATGAATCTTCGGATTGTTTTCAAGTTCAAGGATTGTAAATTACAATTTTATGAAAAACGAAGGTTGTTCTGTTATTTCAGTGTGAATCCTTGCATGCCTGCCAGTCGCTGGCGCCGCTTGTTGACTAACTAAAAACTAAAACGAAAAAAAAAACTCTTTTAAGATTATCATTGGCTTCTTTTTCACCCCACCACTATTCTTAGCAACAAAGGTCGCCATTTCATCTGTTTATTGCTCGCCAAAAACTATCAAATGTACTCAAAAGCCTAAAATCTAAAAAAAGTTTACAGGAATCGACCAATCGAGCGAGCGAATGGCATTCCCCACATCGTATCTATAACTCGCTCTTGCGCATGCGCGCAGTTCACGAGTTAAAAATCGAGTAATAGGTGAGTAACTCATAGAAGTAAGGAAAATGTCATGGGGCGGTTGAGGAGTGCGTTACTTTTACAAATAGTTAGGTGGGATTTTTGTTGTGAAAAAGGCGCAATGAATTCGATAGTGAACATCTAGCTCTACCGGGGCATGACCCATTTTCAGTGCCAGGATTGGAATTAGCGTAACATTTGCTCTTCAGAGTGTCGCAGATTTACCGGCGCAGCGACATGTCATGTTTCCATTGAAATATGATGGGATCTCCACAAACCTAAAGCACGGCCCAGCCAGCGACTTTTAGCAAACACTTCCTGGAATCTCCGATCTATCTTTTCCGTTCTTTTGTTTCTTTGTTTGTTTTATATAGGAAAAACCCAAATGGTGACCTTGGTACTTTTGGGGAATTTTATTGGTACAAATTTCAACAGCTCAGGACGGAACTCAAATTAAACCAGGATGAGAAAGCTTTGACGACTTCTATAGGGACTTCGATGAACTCGCACAAGTACCCTCATGAATGCCGTCCTCAGAGATCTCGGCAGTGTCCGAGAACAGCTAGTTTCAAAGGGTGTTTTACCTAAACTGATGGGGTGCTGTCGATACAGTAAATGAAATATTTCGCGATAGGTCGAAACAATTCAAGCAATTCAACCCAATGCGCGGCCTGTATTTTGATCTGTGGCTTCTTCATCCAACGCTTCGAGCTTGTCTACTGTCTCTAAACAAAGACTTAAAAAGCAACGACGCGAAGGATAGGTTAGCAGCTGGACTTAGGGAAAATCCTAAACAATTCACTGATATTTTTGATGAAAGAAAAAGCTGATTACTCACAGAAGAGATCAAAGAGGCGTGTAAAAAGAAGCAAGGTGATAAAACATTTTGCTCGTCTTCGTCTGAACTTGTTCAACTCGTGGATACCTATCAAGAGGTGAAATACGAAAGCAGAACAAGTGTGAAATGGAATGCATTTCCTTTGCAATTTGTGATGTTGAAGCATAATAGTCCAGGCGAGTTTGACACAGTATTCCCAGAAACAGTTATGGAACTAAACGACATCCTTGTCAGAAAATAGGAGCAAATCTTCAAATTCATCAGCGGCGGACAGATAACTGAATGAGATTATGTCCTTCGTATCAGGGTTAGAAACAATTAAATCGGGTTGTGACACCTCATGGGACCTTCCAAATATCACGAAGAAGAGTGAATGCATGTTCTGGGAAGCGATTGTACAGGTAGACGTTTATCTGCGATCTCTAAGGCCTCCTGCGGCATGAAACGTTTAAAGATTACTTAACACCAACATAGATTATCCAACTTTCCTGAGACTCGCTGAAATGGACAGAATCCTCGAGATTGTCCAAAATCAAAAGACAGCTATGAATAAACTTGTTGAATGGTTGAATACTGAGTTGACCAAGAAAATAAATGAGAGATTCAAGGGTCTTCAAACCTATTTTCAAATGGTGGAGACCTTCGAAAAGGTGAAGGCCAAGGCTGATGTCAACTTTATCAATCAACGTGTTGGCAAGTACAAAAGTGAAATTGGTTCCTTAAGTAAACAGCTCAGCGATAAATTAAACGAAATCTTGAATTTAGCCATAGCAGCAGTTGCCCGCGAGATTGCTGAAGACACAACTCAGGTGTGACTGGCAGCAGCCGTTGTGATCAAGGAACCCCCTAGAAAAGCTATTTGGAGGCTCAAGTGTGGGAGACTTTATGGACAGATCAGCGAAGTTGGAGAGAAGTTTAACTGAATCGGGTAAAGTAGCCCTGCTGGATAACACAATAAGCATTTCCAGCAGGTTTCAAAACAACATTGGTGTGCTTGAGCAAATAAGAGTCTTTATTACAGATGCTGGAAATGAAAAGCAGAGTGCTGATTTTGAAACCCATAAACAAAAATTTCTAGCATACTACGCAGCGTAAGATCCAAAATTAGGGAAGCCGGAGTTAACTGGCATAACCAGAACCAGGGAAAATATGATTGATGACGCTTGTGAAGTGATTTTGAGCAAGGAAACTATTCTTGCCCTAAGTATTTTTGCGTATGTAAAAAGCTCCGGTTTGGGTTCAAAAACAAAGGTTCTTGCACAGGAAATGATCGCGACCTGTGAAGAAGTGTGCGACTTTTTATTCGAGCTTCTAGAGGCCATGGCAACTTATATGAGATCTGTGACGTCTCTAAACGCCGCAGCGAGTATTACGGTTGGCTATGAGGAAGGTTCTAGTGAGGATTATTAAGGCGAAAGTGTTGTACAGAGCCTTGAAGTTCCAGCAATGGTCTCTTTTATTTCCTACAAAACCAATCTCTGGCAGATAATTGAATCGTACTGTGACTTACTAGAATACAATGGAGGTGGATTTCGCCCTAGTATGTGCCAAAGTATAAACACTAACATTGCAAATCTGGTTTCCCACGTATATCTCAAAATCACAGAGATGTAAAGGCTTATTAGAACGTTTCAATCACAATTTTATCGGCAACCAACAGCCTGGACTAATCATTATGCGGGAAAACGTCACACCTTCAAGATACCAAACAGGAGGTGGTTGGTCGATAACCATTTGATAAACGAACGGGATGAAGGATCTGTTATTTTCGTGAAGAAATTCGAGGTGTTTGTACCAACACAAAATGTAACAGAACGCATGGTGTGGGTTGAGGTGCGAATTTACATCACCTAATGAAAAAAATTACTTCACAGTTCCAGGAAAAAGTTTCGTCGTTGAGTACATGGAGGAAACTGATTCCTGCAGAAAAGAAAGCGAAGCTTTGACAAACCCTTATGGCTCCAGTTTACCCAAGCTGTGTGCACTGAATTGTGACGAAAACAACTGTCAGGAGCTTTTGCAAAAGACGGCTTTGTTCGCATCAGTTTATTTGCAATGGCATGTCAGTCCAGTTCCTGATCCAGCAACGGTCGTGAATCTAAAAGTTCATCAAGGATTTCCATGAAGATTAAGAAGTTAAGAGACAGAGCAAGAAAGAACTCACGGCGTGGAAAGAAGGCCCACTGATGTCGCGCTCTAGAAAGGAGATACAGGTGCATGGACCATGTGTCCTGAAGGTTTAAAATCGATGCTTGATGGCTACTACTGAGGAAAGATTTACCAAAAAATTAATCAACTAACTTGATACTATACTGCACGGGAAAAAAACTGAAACGCTTTCATGATGACATGATAATGGTGTTGCGAGCATGGTAAAATGAAGATGGAGACGATGTCACTAAAAACGGAACATACACTGAACTTCTGCAATTACAACGATAATGAACAAAATGAAGATTAAAAATGAAACCGGATAAAAATTTCACATGTCTGATTAGGTAGCACCAAGAGAAAATAATGGGACCTTTATTTTCACTTCTAGCCACTCAGTGGTTCGTTCACGGCTCCCATTTCCCCCTCCACTATCCACGATGGGTATTCTTTCAGGCGATGAAAAAGATTTGCACACACTGAAGTGAACAGCTTAACAATAGAAATCATAGGTTAAAGCAAAAAAAAAAAAAATGTTACAGATGTCATATAGTGTGCTCTCTTAATATTTTGATTAAGACTTGTAATTCCATTGGTGCTCTTTCAAACTTTAATTTAACCGAGAGAAAAGAAAAAAAAACTTGCACAAGGAAATCTGACGGAAAGATACATTATCGATTCAATTTACAAACCAAATTATCTTGTAATATTTCCACCCCCAGAGAAAAAAATATTTCCTCAAGGTTTTACCATAGCTGTTTTCACTCCGGAAAATCGTTTCGTGTCACACATTAAAAACTTAAAAACGCTAGCCCGCTTTGTTTCCTGGATAATGAATCAGAATTGTTAAAATATATTCCGTAAAGTTACTTCTGCAATCAGGATTAATAACTGAAAAGGTTTTAGCTCTAAACAGATGCAGATGCATATTTTCCTTGTGCTTCTCCCCAAAATCAATGCAAGAGTAAATGTAATGAGCCTCTGATTAATAACACAAACCCAGCTTAAGATTTTTAGGTAAGATAGTTAGCCAATATTTCTCTGTGAAATCGTTTGTCTCATAAATCTAGAGTTATGAGACTAAAACGAGGTCGACAAGATCTCCGTATAACCTTATACTTCATTATACATACAGTACCTAGATAGTAAGAAAACAATGGAAAAAAACACAACATTTGTTTAAAGTAGAGTTGAGGTTATTCGGAAAATCTTTCCTAGAAGGTCCTTTGACTTTGGCACAAAAGAATATAATTTTGCTGCAAGAGCTGCTGCATTCTGTTGCTAACGGAGTGTGAATATTGTTCTTAAATAACCGACACAAGATTCATTCAGAAGCTCTTTGTAAGAAGCAGTACTCTCTACCAGTTAGAACTTCCAAACTTCAAAAATGTGAAAATTCGAGCAACGAGATGCTTGTCTTGCTTACAAAGTTTTTTAAATAAGATGCATACAGTTATAGGTCTACATACCTTGTACCTTACAATAGTGATGATGCAGAGGCAAGTAATCGGGATAGTGAGGCTCGTTGCTGATAAGCGTCCGTTCAAACATGTTTTTCATCAATCTTTCTCTCTCGGCAGAGTTTCCATTATAAAATGTTCAAATTCAGTATTTTTTCCCGCCGGTTAGCCACATTTCGTGCAGTCCGCGTTCGTTTACTAGTACCTACTCTTCTCGCGCCGTATATGACGAGAACGCCTGACTTATTTAATACGAATTTAAAAATGTTGCTGGAATGTTACATTTTTGGCTCAATTTGGGCGATTTGGTGAATCTGTAGTCTTGAATTTCTATTGAGGTTCGTTCTCCTGGCCTCGTTGAAGGTAGTCTGGATCGACAAATCCTCGTTATTTGAATCCGGCGAGACAGAACGAAAGCCGGTGATCTGGGAATAAGACTTTTCAGCGGATGCTACATAAAACTATTTGAGAATGCGCGTTAGTCCAGAAAATCCAATATGGCGGATTGATTAACCATCAAAACATTTGAATCCCCTTTGCGTTTATAAAGCACACATCTGGTTTTCCCGTCGTGTGACACAGCGAGATGGAAGACGAGGACCTGGAAGAAATGCGAGCGCTGAGAGGTAAAAGTTATAAGAAGAATGTTTACAAATTTCAGGCATCACTTCCATCAGCTTTGATTGAGGTCGAAGCGCATGAAATTCGAAATTTCAGCTTCATATAGTTCTTTCAGAAACTTTTTGTGACATATTCAAATATCGAGGGTACAATGGCGACTAGGAGTCATCAATTCGTTGATGACTCTAAAATGAGCTGTCACTCAAATACGTTTTACTCTTGTTTTGTTGCTAGCCTCTTCCAAATACAATCAGTCAAACTCAGTTGCTCACATTTTTCGCCCCTCACGGAGCCGAGAGCAAGACAGGAGCGAGAAAATCACGCGCACTTCAGGAGAATCAACACGAGCGACATCAACAGAGCCTTTGGCTGTATCATTCAAGGGTGGAGGTACAGAGGGTTCCATGACAAATTGAATTTCTTTACTTTTTCTGCGTACGCTGCAGAGCTTTCAGATAAATATGGTTAAAAATCATACAGTCTTTGAAAGGAAGAACCTTGCGGTTATCCCTATAGAAAGGGCCTTCTTTATTCTGAACAAGAATTTCTACTGTTGGAAGTAAGTACAAAGAAAAAAAAGTAAAACTATAGTTACGAGGATGATTGATTTTATAGATAAATTAACCAAAGCAGTAGTTTGCTTCCTCAAAATCAACTGTTTAAATTAGAAACCTTGAATGTGTGGCAAATGATAGTTTCAGCATGAGAGTGGTGAATTAAATTTGTTTGCGTGAGTCTCAAGCTCAATACATCAAATTTGAGAGCTCTGATGATATGGCTAAATGCCCAAACTTCAAAAGTAGTACTGTTGTAATTGTGGTTTGTTTTTTTTTTTTAAAGCTGATTTAAGAAAGGAAAGTGAAACTTCAGATTCAATGGAGGTCCTGATGGGGTTTTCAGGTTTTGGTAAGTTATTTTTATTATTGATATGAAATGAAAAGTGTTGATGTTTGGTGGTTACAAACATTGTATGCAAATGTTAGAAGGTAACATGTGTCTTGCGAATGCTTAACCTTGATTCAGCATCCTGGAATTCTTGACTTTTTGCTTTTATTCCAGCTAATGGTTACATTTTGTCCAATACTTGTACCTTCTGCATGAAAGTCTCTTTATATCCCCCAACCAAAGCAGAGGTACACTTTGTCTTGAATATTATTTCCAAATAAGCCTTTTATTTCCTTGGATAACAGACAAGAAGAAAGTGTGAAGTTATTAGTATTATATAAATACCAATAAAATACCAGGTGAGCTTTTTCCCTAAAACTGATATCTTCACCTGTGAAAATAACATGTTATCTTCACACATGAAAATACTATACTGTTACTATGGTTACTTAATTAATTGCACCTTTTCCAGGGAGAGTGAAATGGTTTGGTTTTCCATTGGTGTTTAATATATAATAAATAGCATATAACATGACAGCTTAGAGATGTGCAATTTATCTTCTTGCTTGACTCACTCGTGAAATATTTTTCAATAAAAGAGAAATTTTATACCCCTGTGCGGCCATGTAACATTCTCTATATAACTTTTCAGGATTAAACTCCCATCAATGTATCACTTTGATCTTCAATGGAAATCTCATCTTTTGAGTACTTTTTGTATCCCAAGCTATTTGCTTTAGCTAGAAAATCAAGATAAATTTAGTCCTTTTACTCCAAATATCTCATTAGTAATTCTCTTTACTGTCTGCCATGTAATTTTTAAAATATTGGTTTGGAGAGCTATTTTGGTATTGGATCAACTTATAATACCCTAATTGATATTTTTCTTTATTCTCATCACTTGTTTGCTTAATATTGTCTGGACATTGTAAGGAGAAATTTTGTCTTGGTCACTCTGGGATTTAAGGGTTAACAGGAATCTAACAAGAAAGACTCTGGGTTGAATTATTATTTGTTTTTATCTGTATAGAGAGATAACAGAGCCAAGAATAATTACAGTATATGATTTATGATAACGGTATGTATTTGAAGCAGTGGGAATCTAGTGAAAAAGAAAAAAAAATGGAAGGCTTCTCTGTCAACCTGAAATGATAATTGATGAGTAAAACGCTGCATGTAAATGTAGAATAGTTTGTACTTTTCATTACATGTGCTTGAACTTTTAGGAAAAAAGGCAGCAAAACAATTTAATGTGGACGATATGTTTGAAAAGGCAAGACGAACAGCCAAGGAAATGTCAATTAGTAGACAAAAAGGTACAGTATAATGGCTCAGACGGTATTATTATGAATCATTAATAATGATCTAATGTTTTTATCCAATGGTCAATCCAATGCTTTCTTATTTTACCACCTCAATAATCTCATTATCAAATTACTAAATTACAATTTTCATGGACTAACCCCACTCCTAATTATTTGTATTTTCACTACTGTACAGTGTAGGTAAAATAACTAAAATTACAGCCTGGGCCAACTTTAAATATTCTATGTTTTTCTTGCATTTAGACTCATTGATGGAAACTGTCAATGGTGACGATGAACCTGCTCCCTTTGTCATCATGCCACCATCATCTAATAATATCGAGGTAAAAGAACTACATTGGATTTTTATCAATGGCAGTCAGTACTAATTATAGGAGTGATTCGAACTCGTGGTCAAGGTAAAGAATTAGAAGACTAGGTGTTGACACAGGAAACAGAAGAGGTTAATGTTTGCACTTTATATTAACAAAAAGTCAAAAATTCAGGTCTGCTCTTCTCCTGGTAATGTTCGTGTTGATTGCACAGTTATCCTCGTTACACACCAAAGGGTGTATTTAAATGTTTCTGAATCCTCTCTAGATTAGTTCCAGTCCTTGCATATATAAATTCTTAATTGGGCAAATCAAGGAGAGACATAGTGCCTAATGGTCAGTGCACTGGACTCCAGGTCAAGAGGTCTGAGGTTGAGACCTAGCCAAGTCAATGTGTCGTGTTCTTGAACAAAATACTTTACTTTAACAATGGCTCTCTCCAACTAGGAGAATAAATGGGTGATGGCTAGCTGTCAGGAAAGCCTGAAATGAAATGTTGGGGTAAGCTTGCAATGAACAAGCATCCCATTTAGGGGGAGGGTAGTAATACTCCTAGTTGCTTCTTGCTAAGGAAACTGGGATGAGGTGCGGTTGGGAGGGCCACTAGGCTCAGGTACAGTCTTTGCATTTTTGCCCTCTACCAATAATCAGGCAGTTAGTCATTCATTTTATCAGTTATAATAAAGATGATGTGCTGTGCTGAAACAAAACACTTTTGTTAGTAATTAAAAGCCTTTTCGTAGAAACCAGACAGAAACAAGCACAAGGACCGTGATAGTGATGATGATGATGACTATAATAATAGTGATGATGATGAACCTGATGAAGAGGTAATTCAGTTATAAAGTCCATCTGGAGGATGAGTTTATATCACAAACATAATAGCTATTCCACCTCTGTTACACATTGCTGTTGTTCTATACACAAGTATTTCTCAACCTTTTTATGTTTAATACATGAATACATGTTAGTAATGTGCATCTGAAAGTACTGTATGTTGTGGTGTAAAATACCTTTTATGGACTTGTGACTCACACTCTAGTCTGATATGAGTTGAAAATAATTACTGTTACTTAAAGCAGCTTATTATATGACTTAATCTGTGACCAACCTTTGATAGATATGTAGTAATTGTTGCTCTAAAGTGCATTCCAACTGTTTTAATGTACCTGGCACTTACATTATTAGCTTTTATTATATTGCTGCAATGCCTGTGGGAAATATGAAGGAATCCTGTTCTGATTGGCTACCTGAACAAGTAAGATGGGTCCCTCTTGCCTGCTCGGGATTGCGAGCTTTGATACTGCACAATAAAAACTTACGTGGAGTGGACTTAAAAATCCCACAAACAGTCAAAATAAAGAAACATAAACAACTCTTGTGGGTTTATGGACCAAAGTTGGCTTTCTTTCCTGCCTCTGGAAATAAACAAGTCATTCTTGATTCTTAGTAAAGCAATATTTTTTTGCTATTAAACAATCCATTATTTGCTGAGCTTGTTAAGTCAAGATTGCTGGATGTAAGCCTCGTGCTTTTTGTGTGATTTATAAACCTGGACTTTGTCTCAGTCTATAAAAATGTAAAAAAAAAAGAACTTGGCCAATATTCAGCCATCTTGGCCTCACACTTGATCAATAATGGGTATACCACTGATAGTTATTTTCATGTGCCCTTTCCTTTTTGTCCTTAGAGCATTGAGAAAAGGATACCTATCAGTCATGAAATTTCACTAGACCATGGAAACAAAACAGTTGAGTTGTCTTAATGTTAATTATTAGTATCTTAAATTACCATGTAATTCCTGTTCAAATTATCAGTGCTCCAGTGTATCTGGATTTTGAGTTGTGTTGCTTTGTATTGTGACATCATTATACATAGAAAGAGGTCCAATTCCAAGGAAGAGTTCTGTCTTTTGAGAGTAATGCGAGATTTATTTTGACCAGATTAGGCTGATACTCAAAGAACTATCATGCCAATCCTTCATAAAAATGAGAAGTGATAATTTTTGCAGTGTGGGGCCAACATAGTGGTAAAAATTATTTAAACTCAAAAACCACCAAGATCTGATTGTTAATTCTCCCCTCTAGCTGCCTCTCATTTCCTTGTAATATAATTATGAAAATTTGGTGCTAGATCAAGATAACAATTTCTGTCACTGAAACACTGTACTGAAGCAAGACCAATGAAATTCCTTACTACTTTTGACACTCAGTTGAAATTTCTCAACCTTGCTGTCTTAGGTCTCAGCCCTAGCTCTGGATCCATCAGGATCACGCCTTGTGACTGGAGGTTATGATTATGAGGTACTGTAACAAAAACTTGAATTGTGACTGCACCTGCCCATGTATATGTTGACTGAATGTTAAACTAATAACTTGGGGTTGTTATTAACTAACTACTATGGTTAAAAATGTAGCATTTGCTTGTTTGTGTAAAACACTCTTTTATTCATCAAAGTATCTGATTTAGATTAGTGAATAAAGGGGGTAAGTTTCTAAAGAAACTGTGGTGCTGCATCAGTAGGAGAGTATAACAGGGTAATTTAGTGTTATCAACTGAGTTGATAATGTAAATTGACCTCCATAAAGAGTTTTGAAGCTGATGCTTGAAATGTCAGCTTTCAAACTCTTTATGGTGGTCAATTTACCTTATCAACTCATTTGATAATACTTAATTGCCCTGGTTAAGATAAGGGTCAGGATAAGATCTGTGGTCTCATGATGAGTCTGACGTTGATTAATTGTTAGTGTCTGTTGCTCATTTCAGGTAAAGTTTTGGGATTTTAATGCCATGGATGCTTCTCGTCGTGCCTTTAGAACTCTGCAGCCTTTTGAGTGTCATCAGATCAAGTCAATACAATACAGTATCACTGGAGATGTCATTTTAGTTGCTTCTGGAAATGCTCAGGTAAATTGGCTATGCTGTATTGCAGCCAGTAGGCCACAAGTTTCTTTTAGAGAAATGGAGATATGTCTTCTTTTAGAAAATGTGCTTAACTCTCCCTTCAACTAGTTTTATAAAATTGTCAACCAAAGAAAAATTTGAATTAGGGCAGATGCATCAATGGTATAATTAAAGACTAGAATGCAGAATAATAAACATGCAAGATTTTCAGGATGTTGATGGGCTTTGATCAGATGATTGAATTTGAGTAAAAAAGAGTATAAATTCACTTTTTAATAGCCCCTAAGAGTGACAAGCATATAGTTTCTCTCTACGTATCACCACTCAATGAATCTTTAACCCTTTAACTCCCAAGATCTGATTGTAAATTCTTCCCTCTAGCTGCTACACATCTCCTTGTAAATCAATAATAAAAATTTGGTGTTAGATCAAGATAACAAACTCTGCTGCATAAATTTGGCATTCTCATTACCTGTTTGCTGGGAAATGCATGGATACTATAGGGAGAAGTTACATGCTGATCACTTCTGTAAGTGATTAACAAGTAACTTAAAATAATTTGATTACCAGTTCAAGTTATTTTTTAATTTCAGGCAAAAGTGATTGACAGAGATGGGTTTGATGTCCTTGAATGTGTAAAAGGGGATCAGTATATTGTTGACATGGCAAAGACCAAAGTATGTTTATGCATTTGTGTTTGTTTGTTTTTTAATTTATGAATGATTCTTAGCCCTTTTTAACCCTTTAACTCCCAGATCAAATTTGTCATTCTCCTCACCTTCAACCACACAATTCTTACAGTGTTAGTTCAAAGAATTTATTACTGGATCACCTAATTATCCCCAAATTGATATTTTTCTCTATTCTCATCACTTATCTGGTTGATATTGTATTGATATTGTAAGGAGAAATTCTGTCTTGGTCACCCATGGGAGTTAAAGGGTTAACCTAAAGTCTGAAAGCTGATTCTCTTCATGAAGAAAAGGCATGTCTTTGTTGGTCATTCATATGAATTTAGGGTTATAATGTAACAATTTTTTCAGAATGATGGTTTTACTAATTGTTGTAATATGTCTGCCTGACCAGGTATGAAAATTTCAGGGGAAAATTCATTGATTTATTGTTTCAGGGAGTTAGAATGTTATGGCTTATGTATTCATTCAACATGAAATCAAGTATTGAGGAAAGATTTATTTGGGAGTAGAAATGATAACATTTATTTTAGTTACCAGTATACCTAAATTATCTTTTCAAATTTGTATATGATGATGGCTAGTGCAAAATTTTTAAAATTTATTGCTATTTTTCCTTTTCTTTTTCCTAAACCATAAAACTAGGTGTTTTTTAATTACTTTCATACCACTGAAAGTTTGCACATGTGATGATCATAGAAAAAGCACAAAAATTTTTTGAGGGCCTTAAACATGGTGAAACTAACTTATTATGGGCGCCTTTTCAATGATATTTGATAATTTCTTTTTCATATACATGTACACTATATGTCACTCTTACTTTTCGTAGGGACATGTTGCAATGTTGAACAATGCATGCTGGAATCCAAAGGTCAAAGATGAATTCATCACATGCAGCAATGATGGGTTTGTGAAAAGTCTTTGTTTTGCTGTTTATGTTTAATACATAGATCCAGATCTGAGTTTTTTTTTTTTTTTTTTTTTTTGAATTTGACCACTGATGTCATGCATTCAAGTTGAAGGGAGATGGAAAAGATGCACATTTCGCCTTTTGATCATGGTGAACATGCATAGAAAGTAGCAATAGTTTTGATATTACTTTTAATACTGCTCCTTTGTAGTGTGATTCTTGATAGACACATTGGAAATTATTTTTGGTAGTTCTTACCTAATACCCCTCATTAAGTTGGGAATGACAGTTTGTTCAATTTTCTGCTGTCTCTTTGACTCTACATTAATGCCATGCGTGTATGTGTCTGTTTCCTTATGAAGCTATTTCCTCAAAAATTCTTTGTTTTACAGGACTGTCAGAATATGGAACACAGAAAATCCTAAGAAAAATAAAACTGTTATCAAGACCAAGAACAAACAAGGTGAGAAAGTCCTGCGCTTACTGGACTACGACGAAGACTACGACGAAGTCTTCGGCGAAGTCTGTCGCGCGAGTCATTTTTCGTGTATCTCACCTCAAAGTTCCGCGCAACACCCTACCATTTTTTTTTCACCGATTTCTTTTGACTCGTAAGGAGGGACTACTGGCAGTCTATGGGCTTACAGTGCCTGCTATTTGTCTCTGCAGCAAAGAGTATCGGTAGTTTTCTTTAAAATGTACGTTTTATTGCAACATCTGTTTTTACGCAGGGAAGAAGACAATTCCGACGCATTGTTGCTTTAGTAAAGATGGACGGATAATTGCTGCTGCGTGTCAGGTGAGCTGTGACTACCACATATACGTAGAATAGCTGGGCTGTGAACAGTTTCTCTTGTTTGTGAATAGAAATTAAGGAAACTGAGCACAGACGTTTCCGAGATGCAAACGGCAGCTGCGAATACGAAGTTACTACTTCTGCAGCGATTTGACATCAAGCAATCCTCCAAAAGCCAGAAACAAAAAATCTAGGCCATGTTCCATGGAACAGAACATTGAACTTCGTTTGGTGTTCGTTTCTCATGAACGTGTTTGTTTAACCCTTCACACTCTAACATCAGTATGTATATTCTCCATACATTTCCTAAGGTGCTGACGAGGAGAATTTGTTCAACAATCTAGAGCTACTATCCTCTTCTATCCTCTTCTTCCTTTTTTCTTGTGGCCTTAATTAGTGATTTAGGGGGTGATATTGTAAGGAGAAATTACATGCTGGTCAATCTCAAGGGTTAAAGGGTTAAGGCTCTACACTAATAGGCCCCTCTGGTGAAGGTAAAGTTTGCTAACAGGCCTGACTTACGCAGAGCTATTTCCGATTGGGTGTTGATAATCCAGGATTTGTTGGGTTTTGCTTTACGTTGATTGGTCCGAAGACTAGCGCCACTTTCTCAACCAATCAGATCTAAAACTATAACCGACAGCGGCCTAGTCACTCGCATTTTCCCGCCTGAGGAACGGGTTTCTCTTAACACTGAATTCTTATTGGCTCCTTATATTTTCCTTTGCTTTGATTGGCTGGTTCGAGCACTTTGGATTTAGTTTTACGACACACAATTGAAATGCACTCTAACTGCCACTTTCTGCACTACAATGGGGAGTATTGCTGCTCTGCAAGGGTGGTATGCTTGTCTATCGCAGGCTACCACTAACATTTCGTCACAGTTTTCTGACAATTCGCACCCTTTACCCGTCTACAGTCCCACAGGGGTTTTAATTACTTTTTCCATAAATGGTTGCCTATGGTTTCATTAACGGCCTGTGTTCGTAAAAGGGAAGGTAAAGCGAAACCCATGCTTTAGCCGAAGTGGGCCCTGGACAATAAAGTCAGGGTCTTACCTGAAAACATAACGCAGTGGGCCGGTTATCAAGACAAAGTTAAGCCGTTGTTCAACAAGATCACGTTCTAAGCCATCCTCAATTTAGCCGAACCCATTATCTGAACATCTATTTTCATGAACAGTATTAAGAGAGCCGAAAGCTAATAGTGAAAGGACATTTATTTTAAATAAATCAACCCTCTTGTAGAGAATCCCCGATCATGAGGCCCACTGATCACGTAAAACCGGCGTTTGGGTTGGACCTGGTGTAAATAACCTGCCCAATGACTTTTTGTTCAGTCAGAGTCCAGCTCACCATTCGTTTGGCCTCTACATCTCCTGGCAATTGCCTAACGAAAGCATTAGTTGCACTGGCGAAGGATGAGCTTTTAGGCGTCTATCACTGCGTTGTAAATAAAAACTATCTCTGGTTTATTTATTTTTTGTTTTTTTTTCTTAGGATGGCTCCATTCAAGCGTGGGATACCAGAAAACCCTTTGTAAGTATCTGTTTTTTCCTTGCTATGATGATACCATTTCCTCTGCCTCTATAGGAGTGAAGCATGGTCATTCTTTGAATAGATGGTTTGAATACCGATCTGCAACAGAGCAGTTTTAAGTTGAGGGTCGAAAGTAAGTCGGGATTGCATTAAGTTTCCTTTACTGCGCTCCATGAATGGTACAAGTCATTGTGCACATTCTCCATACTGTTCTCTATACATTTCTATGATGCTATCCTGGCCCCGGTCGTTCGAAAGGGTGGATAATGCCATCTGCTGGATAACGCCATCCACTGGATAAATCTCTATCTGGTGGATAGCGCGGTACGTTTTGTTCACATTTACCCGCTGGATAGCGGTTTATCCATAGAATAGCATTTTCCGCCCTTTAAACTACTGGGCTCTGGAGCCTGAATTTGTTCTCTTACCTAGAGCTTCATTCGTTGGTGATCACTTCCCTATTCTCGTGACCTCAATGTTTGATTCAGCAGTGATACTGTAATGGAAATACACGCTGACTGTCATCTATTCTAAACATAAAGCATTTTTCTGAATATAAGTTTTACCTTAACAGATCCACACAACATACATTCAGCGAACTGCACATGCTCTGGGTAGTGACACGTCGTGTCTTTCCTTCTCCCATGAAGGAAACTCTTTGGCTTCCAGGGGAGGTGAGAGTAAGAAATGTGCAAAATGGAGCTTGCTGGGAAGGAGGAGAGAGCGGAGGGGAATTTGACCACGGTTCAACTTGATGACTTGGCGATTGAACTATCGAAAGCATCAATATTATTGTCACATTGGCGTTGTTTTGTTGTCAAAAATCTTATCCCTTGACCACCTCCATAAGGATGTGGTAGCTTTTTAAAGCTCCATTATAAATTTTACCTTTGTAGGCTCTGAACCCTTCACGCCCTAACATCAGTGTGCATTTTCTCCATACTGTTCCTTATACATTTCCTTAGGTATTGACAAGGAGAATTTGTTAAACAATCAAGAACTTCTGTTGTTAGTGATCATCTCCTTCATTCTCGTGACCTTAATGTGTGATTCAGGGGTGAGACCGTAAAGAGTAATTAGAAGCTAGTCACTCTTAGTTTCAAAGAGTGAAATAATGTTTCCGAGTAATATATGTGGTTTTTATTCCAGCTTTGTATTAGCTTGTCTCTGAATGGATTTTGTACTTGCTTTTTTGAGATCCCCTCCATAAACTGTGAATTTTGAAGATTATTACAGGAGGAATGCTTGATTGGTAGAAGTACCTTATCTTAAACACAATGCATCCATTACTTGATTGTATCCGATCCTTCATTTGGTTCTCCTTAAAAAGCTGACTTTAAATTATTGACTGCAGGTGACGATACTCTGAAAACTTGGGATCTGAGGAACTTCAAGGAATATCTCAATGTCGCCATGAATTTAACAAACTACTATCCACAGTAAGCCTTTATTATTAATTTCCGGTAAAATAAATGCTGTTTTTGGATGGGCTATCCAAGTGGGTGGAATTGGGCTTGTAGGTAAGGTGCCCTTTTCGAATGAGTGTAGACAGACTGGACCCAAAGTTATCACATTAGCCAAACATAACCAAGGTTAATATTAAAGGGCGTCGGTGACAGCTCGGGCTACCTCAAACACGGGAAATCGCTTGTAGACAAGACGGTATTTTTTTTTTGTTTGCTTCTGGTTGTTCGAGTGTATGGCGCGAGTTTACAAGACCAATCACAAAGTGTGGTGAAGAAAAAAAAACCATTGCAATGCTGTTTCACTTTCTACGCTCATTTGTAAATTTCTCTCAGTTGATGAACTGATGTAATAAACCTCACGAATCAGCAAACTTAAAGGATTTTGTAAAATCCACTTTTTTTTTCTTGTTTCTCAGAACTTCATGTCTGTTTAGTCCGGACGACAAGTTGATAGTAACGGGAACATCTGTAAAGAAAGGACAGGTAAGTCCTTTTCGACGTTGGACTTCTTCAGTCTCTGGGAGAAAACGACAACAACAACAGGCAAACAAATAAGCAAACCACACATGTTGAAGGATATAGAATGTGCTAACAAAGATAAAATCAGCTTATAGTGTCGATATATTTGTAAATATTATTGACATCCAGGCCCTCAATGACTAGAGACGTTTGAAGGAGCTTGCAAGCGACGAAAAGCAGTTGTGGTTGTCTGGAAAAACGACAGTCCCATATCTATTTTTCTTTGCCTGACCTTTGCTATTTTTTTTCCATTGGGCTTTATTTGCCCATTTGCTCTCACGGCGAACCTGACAGAGTCCGTAGAAATGTCTAAGTTGTTGCTCAAAAAAATTATGTAACCAGGTTCTCCTTTTGGTCATAGGGATCAGGTCAGCTGGTGTTCCTGGAAAGGGAGTCCTTGCGAAAACTCTACGAGTTTGATGTGATGGAGTCGGTAAGTTGCTGTTGTTGTTACTTTTACTTCGTGTGTCGTTTATAAGGTTTTTTTAATTGTTAAATCACGTTCCTACTCCCCTAGCTCAGCGTGTCAAATCTGTGCTGGCCCTCAAATGAATCATTGGGCCATGAAGCGGAATAATAAATTTTGGCAGACCTAGGAGCTAGGCTAACAGTAATTGGGTGGACTCTGTGTCAAGGTTCGAGTCTTGGTTAGGGCTTAGATGGACTGTTATTCCATCTAGGGAAGGAGAGGGGGTTAAGAAGTGATTAACATGCGAGCCGGTGATGAGAATACCTAAATCCATCAGGTAGAACTTTTTATCTTGATCTACATGTAACACCAAATTCTTGTAACTAATTTACAAGGAAACGTGTAGCAGTTGTTAGGGAGATTTAATGATCAGATCAAGGGAGTTAAAGGGTTAAGCTATTATGGTATATAAATGGATTCATCAACGGTAAAAAAAGCGGAGATAATTTAAGCATTGAAATGTAACGTTACTAAGTTGCTTTCTGTTTTGTAGAAAAATTGGTAATCTCTAAAACTGCAGCGAAATATTTAAGTATTCGAGCAGATTTTCATTGAGTGTCGAATGTCAGCCAGGATTGCGTCACTTCTACTTCATGTCGCCTTGTGAGAGATGTGGAAAACTCGCGTTACGTACTAAACCAGTCAGAAATAAAGATAAAACTAATCTTGACAAGGTCACACGATTTTTCCTTTGTGTCCAAAATTATTACTTGTTTTTACTTAAAGTTCTCATCCGCTCTTTGGTGATCTTTACCTTCGTTCTGATTTTCTTTCGTTTTCGATTTATAACATTCAATAAGAAGGCGCGCTAACAATCACTGTGTGTTTGGTTTTTCAGAGCGTCGTTAGCTGCTTATGGCACCCCAAGTTAAACCAGATTGTGGTCGGTTGTGGAAATGGAACTACCAAGGTATACTTTGACCCCGAGAAGAGCAACAAGTGAGTTGGCTTTTAACTCTTTACACCCTAACATCAGTATGCATATTCTCCACACTGTTCTCTTTACATTTCCTAAATGCTGACAAGGAGAATTAGCTTAACAATCCAGAGCTTCTGTAGTTGTTGATCACGTCCATTATTCTCATGACCCTAATGTTTGATTCAGGGGGGATATTGTAAGGAGAAATTAGACACCAATCACTCGTAGGGGTTAAAGGGTTAAATGATTGTTACGCTTTTATTTTCGTTGCTAACGTGTCTTGTGTCAGTAGTTCTTTACCGTATTACTTCTTAAAGTTGTTGTTCTCTTTGTTTATGATTTTTAAAGGGGAGCTAAACTTTGTGCTGGAAATGTGAAAAGAAAAGTCGCTTCTAAAGAGATGCCATTGAAAGATCACATTATCACTCGTGAGTATAATTCTGTGCATTTTTTTTCATTTGAGGATTAAAGAGATTCCAATGAAAACACGAAATTGATTAAATGCGATTCCACGTTCCTAATTTCTGACTAAGTTGGCTAATTTTAACTGATACTGAAATTACAATGTCTTTTGTTTTGTTTTGTAGCACACTCATTGCCTATGTTCCGCGAAAAGCGATTCAAGAATAAGAAGAAGTTGAAAGAAGCAGATCGGAAGGACCCCGTCAGGTCACACAGACCGGATTTGCCAGTCACTGGCCCAGGTGAGCGTTTAGTTTCATTGACTGAATTCAAAAGACCAAGCACAGCTAAGGTAAATACAGCAGGAGAACCAATGAAGACCCTTATGACGTGCCTAGAGCCCGAGAAAACGTGATCAACGATGTTTTAATTGGTTATGCTTCTTTTGCACCTGATTGGTTGACAGGGTGACTTGAGATTTCTAGACCTATCGCAGAGTGTGGTAAAGCAAAACCAAAGCAGTTTTAGGTTAGGTTGGGCACGCAACTGGATGATGCTCCATAGGGGACTGAAGTTTTGATAACAACTATGTATTTTGATAAAAGTAGCCTCTAAACCTCCGTAGGAAGCACTTGAACACAGATAAGTGTAAAATATCTGCTTATTTTTGTAAAATGTCAGCTAATTGATGCTGTGGCTTTTTTTCCAGGTCATGGTGGCAGAGTTACATCTGGTATGTCATTGTCAGCTTATGTGGTGAAAAGCATGGCACTGGAGATGAAAGATGATTCGCATCCTCGTGAGGCCATCCTCAAACACGCAAAGGTATACAGTGTAGCTGTGGTGTGTTCATTCTTTGTCAGTCAGCTCGCTTTCCTGTCTGCATGTTTCCTTGCCTTAATGCACCGTTATGTCCGCCTGTCTGTTGCTTGGTCTGTCGATCTTTTAACCACTGTCTTTTTGTTTTTATATACTAGTTTATTAACGCCTGTCTTTGTCTGACTGCCTGTATACATGGCTTTCTGTATCTGTCTTTCTGCACAACTGTTTTCGTCACTTGAATGTTCTGGTTTTCTGTCTCTCTTTGTGATTGTCTGGCTCTATTCCACTGTCCGTCTGTCTGTCAGTGTCCGTCGGTCTAATTGGTCTGTTTCTCGGCCCCTGTTACTCTTGCCTGCCCACCTGCCTGACTACCTGGTGTCTGTCTGTCTGCCTGCCTGACTGCTTGGTGTCTGACTGTATGTTTGTATGTATGTAGGGAGGTAAGTCAGTCGGTGTTTGCGTCTGTCTCACCGGCATCATATTTTTCTTTTCTCAGGCTGCCGCGGAAGATCCTTACTGGGTGTCACCAGCATATGCACAGTAAGTTTGATACACCTTGAGCTATTGGCTCCTGTTTAGACCAAGTTTCGGCGCAATTATCGAACATGGATGTCAAAATTAGGCCAGCTCAGCTGTTTATTTTTAATAATGTACCAAGTACGAAGAGTGATGTTTGGGGTTTTTTTGTCTCGTCGTAAGCTGGACTCTTGACTCTCACAGTGTTGTGGATCTCATTAATTATCTTTCAGTCTTCGTAAAGGCCTGACTTTCTTTTTTTCCTTTCAGTACCCAACCCAGAACTGTCTTCCAAGAAGAAGAGGAAGATGACGAAGACGAAGAAGAATCTCAAAGAAAAAAGATGAAATTATTGTAGGATATGAAATGGGGGCAGGAATAAAACAGCGGTGAGGGACTGGGCCCATCTCCTGATGTCATGAAAAATAAATCTTCTTTTTGGGGAGGGGACGGTTTTGATTGTGACAGCCATATGAGTAACACAAACAAACAAAAATCGTATTTGAGATTTATACGCTGTTAGAAATGCCAATAAAGTTAAGAGGACCATTCAACGTGTGTTTGCCATGATCTCTCTTTCGTATCAAAGGCTTGCTGAAGTTTTAAATCGGGGGTTGTTTGCTCTTTTGGGACATAAAATTCTTCATAACAAATTTGCGAGAGACCGAAGAGCGACGTGTGTATTTTCGTGCTGCCCTTGTCCACAGATATTGACTGGAACCAAATACATTTCCTGCAAAGTCGCACGGCAATATCTCCGTTGTCGCTAACGTCTTCTTTACTCCTTTCAAAACCAGAGTAGGCTGCGAACCAGACGAATATTTGAAATCCACAATGATGTAGATGCCCTTATTAGCTCACAAACGGTTTGAGAGGAGACATTCAGCTAAGCTCTTAATCCCTGTTGTTATGGTGCACGGTTATCTAGCGGAAGTAATAAGGAATTGTTTGTCTGTCGAGTTGGCGAAAACTGATTGTTATGTCTCCGTGTGATTTATTACCGGATGTGTAGCCCAAGTTACTTACGTAAATTGTTTAAGCTCAGCAAAGAAATTACGAGGCACTCCGTTCCTTTAGCGAGTAAAAAATCAGTTTAGATAACTTAGTCGAATAGTTCCTTTTTTTGAGCAAATCCACTTTCGAACTACAGAGGGGTAACTGAAGTATCAAATATGTCTCAGAGGAACTTTTTAGAAGGTATCCTTTCTCGAAAACAGATAATGTTGTAATAGGCCACTTAAAAACGAGAAAAAAATTGAATAGCACCGGATTTATACATTCTTCTACCGAAGGATTCATGATTCCAGTACGCTCGTGCAACACTCGCATCTGATTCACAACTCACAATATTGACCTCGTGTTGAAGTGGTGTGATGAAATATTTTTCCAACCGCTTTTTTGAAGATTCAGATCTAAACACTGCACTTAAATCTAGTGCAGATTGCTAGGTGTTTGCGGAAAAATAATGTTGAGACTCATTTGCTGTGTTGATTTATTGTTGTATAACAGTGTCCCTTTGTTTATTTCCAGCGTTTTCCGGGAAAGATTGCTGAAAGGCGCCTTGAACATTAACTGCTAGAGGATTATGGGAGCCCTATGCGGAAATGTGACGCCGGTACAGAGAGTTACAAGTGATGTGTTAGCTCTGTGAGCAGTATTCCACGAACAAATCGCCACAAAAATCACTTTTTTAAACATTGAGAATGCCTCCAGGACTACGGCGCAATTTCTGGGACGATTACGAGCCCGCATCGCTGGTAAATGTAGACTGTTTCTTACCAACAGGAGTCGTGATTCAGTTACAAGTTCGCATCGAAGCTCCGTTGTCAGAGATTAAAAATCGACTATGGAGAGAAGCCAGCTCTTATCCGTTGTTTAATTTTCTCAAAGATGCTGCGAATTACATATTTGTGTGCGTGAATCAGAGAGGAAAGCAGGAGGAACTACTGGATGAAACTCGCCAGCTAATCGACGTGCGTCCTTTTAGACCCTTGCTGAAGCTCGTACAAAAACAAGGTGACAACGAGGAAAAACTCTTCGACTCCCACATTGGCAACCTCATCGGTAAGAGCTTGCACGAGTTCGATCAAATGCAGAACACAGAAGTGGACGATTTCCGTCGAAAGTATCGGCAGTTTGCCGAGAAAATCGCTTGTGAGAGGCGTCAACTTGACTGGATTGGACGAGCTATGTATGCGTACCCTCCCGAAGTCGAAAGCACTGATCCACCAGAACGGATTGAAGAGAAATTAATGGAGAACAGGCGTTTCTTGGTAAATGTGGCCATCAAGAACAATAGGGCCTCAATAAAAGACATGCATGCATTTAATGTTCCTGCTGATGCATATCCAGACGAGCTTCTGGTATTGGTATTGAGGAAAAGAGGTGCAATCATGGGGGTCTTAGATCTCGACAAACCGACTGATTACGTACTGAAGATTGTTGGACAAGAAAGCTACCTACTAGGAAATTATCCGTTATTGCAGTACACGGTATGTTGAGGATGAAGTGCTACTTGTATGCTACATACAAAGTGTATGTGTGTATTGGACAATCCTTTTTTTTCCTTTTAACCCTGTACACCCAGACATCGATGTGCATATTCTTCATACTGGTCACCATGCATTTTCTAAGGTGCCAACATGGAGAATTTGTGTAACGTGCAAGGGAATCTGGTCATTTCGATCCAAGTCGTTCTGATACAAGTGGAAGTCGATTTGTTACTCGTGTAAAGTCGATTCGATACAAACTCAAGTTACTTCAAGTCGTTTCGATACAGAATACTACACTATATATAAATGACCAAACGAACCTTCAAAGACATGCTCACTAGACCACCAGAGCAAAGACAAACCTCTGTTGTAAATAAAACAAACCCATACCTCCATGAGCCTCCACACATACCCAAGTCCCTTACACACTGAGAACATGCAAACGAGACCAAGTTTTGATTAAGTTTATTTATCAAGAACAGAGATTTATTTATTTATTTATTTGTTGAATAGAAAACAACAAATCACCACACATATCAAAGACAAAAACTAACACACTTATACTGAACTTTTCTCAAGTTTATTTCTGTATTGAAATGACTTCAGTTTGTATCAAATGGACTTTACAAGTGTAACGAATCGACCTCGACCTGTATCAAAACAACTTGAATCAAAACAACTTTGTATCGAAACAACTGTTAACCCTATTTTTGGTGATCATTTCCTTTATTCCATTGACCGTAATGTTTGATTCAGGGGTGATTTTATATGGAGAAATTAGGTGCTAGTCACCAGCTTAGAGGAGAGAGGGTTAACCTGCACCTTTTCCTGCACCTATAGAAGGGAAGGTTCACAAAGGCAGTCTGTCTGAGATATTAGTCCAAACAGTCCTTATACATCTGGACCCACTTGTTTTAAGGCTGATTAGCGCTAACCCAGGGTTAAATTTTAATCTGGGTCTCTTTATTCCTTCACTCAAAAGCCTTTTCAGGATAATTTTCAGTGTTCTTTTTAAAGCATCAAATAGTCATATTCTAAAAAAAAGAATTTGACTGAATTTTCTTTTAAAGCTTCTAGATCTGAGATCAGATTTCACAGTAACCCTGGGTTATCTTAACCAAGCTTTGAACAACCCGGCCCTGAAGTAAAGATTCTGATAGGCTCTCTGAGGTAAACAACAATATATTTTACCCATGAAATATTATGATTATATTTGTTTGTTTTCAGTACATTCGCACTTGTGTGTCCAAAGGAATCAGGCCAATGCTTTCACTAGTGCTTCGTTCATCACTTCAAGTAGAGGTGCTTGATGTTAGTGATTTATGTCGCAGAAGTCTAGGTGGCAGAGCACCACCTCTGCCTACAAAGCCACAGACAACAAGCTTGTCACTGTGGAATATTGAAAATCAAGTTAAAATCAAGATTGCTTCAGCCACAAATGTGAATGCAGGAGACCTAATGAGAGTAGGTGAACTCTTTTATAAGCTAGTATAACCTTTCTGCCACTAAGATCTCATGAGTAATTTGCTGTTCCATCTGCAATACAGTTCTTAAGATGTTGGTATGGAGAATTTTGGTATTGGATCAACTATTAGTGACAATCCCCAAATAAATATTTTTCTTTATTCTCATCATTTGTCTGCTTGACACTGTTTTAATATTGTAAGGAAAAATTCAGTCTTGGTCACTTGAGTGAGTTAAAGAGTTATATTCCTTCTAGTGTGGCCTATCAGACAGGCATTATTGTGTTGCATTTTTGGGGCCATCAGAGGCTAGGCAAGAACAAGGAGAACACAAAGAGTGAGACAAATGCAAGGAGGAGTGCATCATTTTCTTTTAATGCACTTCATCTTGATTGGGTCTTGCTCTGTAGGCTCTTTCTTTTACTCACCTCAAAAAAATTCAAGAAAATGATGCCTATCCCATGGGGCGTATTGAGCAAGGTGACTGTTGCTTTCTTTGCAGGAAATGTTTTTGCAAGAGTGGAAAAGAGTGTAAAATTTTGCAACAGTTATTTAATGAATCGGTAATCAATAATTACTTCCAGGTTCAAACCATGACACTATTTTTTGAAACAAGGTATAAAATATGGGTTTGATTTGTTGTGTGCCATGCCTATTCAGGTTGGTGTCCGAGCAGGTATCTATCATGGGGGAGAGGCATTGTGCGACATCAAATCCACAAGGGCAGAGAGTGGATCAAATCCAACATGGAATCAGTTCTTGGACTTTGATTTAAAAGTGGCAGATATTCCTCGAATGGCTCGCTTGTGCCTTGTGATTTATGGCGTAACCAACAATCCCCAAAAGAAGTCAAAAAAGAAGAAGGAGGTTCAGTATTACATAGGGATATCAACTCAAAAAGCATTGTTCAATTGCATGTCACAAGAAATCTCTAGCATTTCTTAAGCATTGCCATAGTTTACTTTATGATTGGTCCAAAAAACTAGCATAGCTTTCACAGCCAATCAGATTCAAAACTAAAACAAATTACAACTTGGTCACTTGCACTTCAAGAAGTCTGCTTGTTTTTCGTTTGAGTTGCTGTTAGATCCTTGTGATACTTTCCTTTGTTCAGATAGATATTTTGCTGTTTTGGTTTCATAGTGCTTAATTGAAAATTGCTCTAAAAGTAGCTTTGAATGTATGGACTAATGAATAGATGTCTCTCACAAACTAGCAAGAATATTTCTCACACAGTGGGGACAAAAGTTTTTTGCAAACTTGACATTACTAGAATATTATATTGGAAAGATTTTTAGGTTAAAATTCAGTTTTGCTCTTGTTAAGATTGCTAGATTTTGCTTCCACGAGGATCAGTTTTTTTGCTTTCATTAGTTTTAGTTTGTTTCTGCTTTTGTCAGGATTAGTTTGTATTAGCTTTCATTAGGGTCAAATCAAAGTTCTTGTCTAGTTAAGCAGCAAGTTTAATGTGAAAAAAAAGGGTCACTAAATAAACAAATGGCGGTAGGTATGAATATTGCTACAACTTATGTAAAGGCTGTTTCTTTAATTTTTTTTAGGAAACAATTCCTGTGGCATGGGTCAACACAACTCTGTTTGATTACCAAGGTAAACTTCGGCAAGGTCCACTGAAACTCTTTGCATGGCCAGTACCTGAAACAATGGCTGACCAACTGAATCCTGTGGGCACAGTTGTTTCCAATATCGACACTGTAACCTCAGTGTCTCTTGATATTGCTTTCTCAACTTACTCAGACCCAGTACTTTACCCATCGTTTGACCAGGTAAGAGGTGGAACTTGATATGATGAAACTCTGCAATAGAGTGTGTGTCAGTGAAGTGTAAAAATAAAAAATTCAGGTGAACCAAGTTGGCTTTACTTTGCTTCTGATTGGTTGAAAGGGGTGACCACTTCATTAATAAAACAAAACCACTGCTATTACAATAAGCCTTTACAACTTTATATCAGTATGGATATTCCCTAATGTCAAGTACTCTTTTTCTGTCATACAAGAGGAATTGGTGAAAAAAGTCAATACTTTGACTAGTTGGGACAACCATTTCCCTTGTTCTCATGAACTGATATTTGACTTTGGGATAAAATTGTCAGGAGAATTAGATGTAAGTCATTCTTTGGGATTAAGGGTTAAGTATATATATTTAACCCTTTAACTCCCATGAGTGACCAAGACAGAATTTCTCCTTACAATATCAATATAATATCCACCAGATAAGAGATCACAATAAAGAAAAATATCAATTTGGGGATAATCAGTTGATCCAATACTAAATTCTCTGAACTAACATTATTAGAGCGTTGTATGGTTGACAGAAAGAAGAATTACAAATTTGATTTGGGAGTTAACTACTGAAAAAGATGAAAATAAAACAAGAAATCAAATTAGCAGACCTTTTACAGTTTTTTTTTTTTTTTACTTGCTACACATCAAAAGGGTTGCAAGACTGACTTAATAGCTTTGGTTTAGTGAGAGGAAGAGGTGTAAGAATGGTACACTGGTAAGATGAGGCTGTGAAAACAAATACAAAAAAGTAAGAGTTAAAATTACATTGCAGAATTACTGATTGATAGGAAAGAAACGCAAGCCATCAAGTTGCCTACCATGTACAGTGTGTTTGCCTCACCCAATGACAAATTTGAAGAGACTAATAGTCAATAAAGCTCTAATCAGGTTTACAATATTTTAGTCATGACTGGACTGTAATAACATTTTACAGTGTGCATTCTTCTATTCTTTGCACAGATTGCTGAGTTGGCAGCACAAGTTACGGATTCTGACATTTTCGTAAGTATCTTTCATTTATTGACTGGGTGGGTAGGGGGTGGAAGGTCCTTAACAGTCAGCATGAAGTATGTCATACACTCAAGAGAAGCCGGCAATTTCATTTTAATCCAATGACTCCAGTTCTTTGACTAATATAAACAATACAGTGTAAACTTGATGTTATACTGTTTTTCAGAATTAATCTATATTTTATACAAACATTACACTGTATATTGCAATCAATATTTATTTAATAGAAAGATAACTGATCAAATTCTAACAAAGGTAACAATAAATAAATAAATATGTATATAAAATTAATATCAAGCCTAATAAAAGTATTACATACACAGGGACGAGCAGATGAGTCAGTACTTGATCAGCTAAAGCTGATAGTCAATCGTGAACCCTTGGCTCCTATCTTTGAGCAAGAAAAGGAGCTTGTTTGGCAGCGCAGGTTTGTTATTGGTCTTTCCTTCCTCACATTGTGGCTGAATAAATGACAAAAAATATACCCTAAATGTTATTTTTTGTTTTTTTTGTGTTTCATTAAAAAATGTTTGTAATTGTTTTTTCCAAAAGCACCTAGGTTTATCGAGGTGGATTGCAATATATATTTTACTTATTTTTTTTTTCTTACTTTTAATTTCTATTTTTACCTCCTGAGTAATCTCTACTTTCATCTAGTTTTGAAGGTGTTTTGCGAGAAGTAAATACATTGGTCTCCCCAAAACTATAGATTGACTTGTAATGTAGTGCTGTCATTTTCTTCTCATCACTGGTGTTGCACATGCAGTAAAGGTTGCAAACAAAATTTAAAAGTACTGTGTAACAGACAAAAAATCTTGTGTTTTTCATTTTTGCAGAATTGATTGCCGTGAACATTTTTCACATGCTTTGGCCAAACTGCTTTGCTGTGTGAAGTGGAACAGTAATAAGGATGTTGCTTTGGTATGAAGTAATTTTTAACAGTTTCATCTCTGAAATCCAAAGAACTTTTCTTAAATCCTTAGATCCCAGAAAATCTTTAGATCCCAGGCCTAAACTACTCAGTCTCTGTCAAATGGCATCTAGTTTCCCCTTAGTGAGAATAAAGAAAATGATTACCAACTTGAGAAGTTCCCTGACATTGCTAAATAACTTCTCCTTGTCATTATCACAAGAGGAGTGTAAAGAACTGTACAGAGAACATGCATACCAATGTTAGAGATTATATGGCTAAACCTTGCTGTCTGCATTGTGTATTCTAGTTATTATGATAGTTGTTCTGGAATCCTTGCTGTTGTTCAGGAGTCTCACTATTTAAAATTGTAAAAACCTCGTTTAAGCAAATGATTTCTTTTTGCAATAATTGCTATGGTGTTATTTTTTCAGATGCAAATCCTGCTTCAAACATGGCCAGAGCTTGAGCCAGAGGTGGCTTTAGAACTCTTGGATTATACATATGCTGACCAAGAAGTGAGAAAAATTGCAGTGAAGTGTATTGAAAAGATGAGGTTTGTCTCATGTTTTACAGTTTGACCATTTTTTGCAGTCTACTATTTTCAGCAACCAGTTTCCTCTGATCATTCACACTTTTAAATTATCAGTGAATACGACCATTGGTGATCAGTGAACAGTACTGTAATGAATTTAATTACCTGCCAATACTTGATCTTGTCTACACATTTAGATTGTATTCCTTTGATTTATTTGTGCAGAGACTCAGAGATCCAACAGTATCTTCTTCAGCTTGTCCAGGTAAACAATTCCTTAGCCCTTGCAAAAAGAAAAGTACAGAGGCTTCCAGATCAGTATTTTCATTTTCTGTAATTGCTTCCAAGAGAAAACATAAATGTGTTGCTCCAGAAGATATTTATGACCTATTGGCAATGTTGGTTACCAACCTCATTACCAATTCTACTTCACACACCTTTCTTTAAATACCACTAACCTTTTCAGATATCAATACACCAGTAAATAATTTTGTTATATAGCTAGCAGCACCCATGGGCAATAGGAAGCAAATCCTGTGTTCTGATTGGCTGCCTGAGCAGGCAAAATAGGCCCATCTTGCCAGCTCAGGATTGCCTGCTTTAATGTAGCACAAAAAAAAGGGCATGGAGCAAACTTACAAAGTTTATAACTTTTGAACAGTGTTGGCAATGAAGTCACAAAGTGGCAGAGGACTTAAACCAACCTTATAGGTTTATTGTGCCACAAACACAGCTGTCTTTCTTTCCTAGCTCTTGAAATAAACAAGTTATTCTTGATTCTTATTAAAGTGATATCTTTTTGCAACATACTAAATCCTTTAAAGAACAAGCTTGTTTGTTCAGGTTAGCTGGATATGAGCCTTGCTCTTTTCTTGGTCTTTGTCTCAGTCCATAAAACACATACACCAAAAAAACTTGGCTAATGTCTAGCCATCTTGAACTCAAGCTTGGTCAATAACCCATACTTATGGAACTGCACATTCTGAAAAATCCAGAAACATCTGACAATAACATTTTTAGAAGAAAGAGCAAGCTGTTTAAAAAAAAACATATCTGAATAATGAATTGATAAATGTGTTATCAAAGGAGTAAACTGTAACCTGAAAAGCTTTCAAAATTAATTTTTTGCAGGTTCTAAAGTATGAATCATATTTGGACTGTGACTTGGCAGAGTTTTTACTCCGCAGAGCTTTAAAGAATCAGCACTTTGGCCATGAGCTGTTTTGGCTTCTCAGGTGCAATTTTTTGACAGTATCAATGATATATTTATGTCAAGGGATTTAACCTCTCACTGTCCAAAGACTTGCAATCTGCTGTTGATAGGGTCAAGATTGGTTTAGAATGGAGAAAGTTATCATGTTAGCTGATAACAAACTTGAGGAACTAAAATAAATTTATTTGCAGAAATATGAAGCATTATGAAGCTACTCTAACTCAGTTATCTTCATGGAAATCTAGAAAACTTTTTGAACATCATGTAATCACAAAGGGGATAAAGAAAATGGTATTTTGAGAATTAAAGCAACTCGCCAAAATTTGAAATCTTCCTGGTCTTTCCAACCAATGGCTCAAGGAAATTACTCAGTAGTGGCCATCCAAAGTAGCAAAGGCAATAGATATTACAACCTTCACAATTTCACAATTTTGTGAAATCTTTTTTTAGCTTGTACTCACTATTTCTATTTAATTTCTTAGGGCTGAAATGGAAAATCCTGGAGTTTCAGTGAGGTTTGGTTTGATGTTAGAAGCATATTGCCGTGGTGCCCCGACACACATGAAAAGCCTTCAGCACCAGGTTTGTTTAAGTTTGATGAGAATAGAACTCAGATTGGAACTCCTTTAGTGGGAAACAATGTAGCCTGTTAGAAATTAGGTGAAAATGGCACAGTGATTAATGATGAGATCACTGTTGACCCTGTCAGTCTCTTAAGTGATCATTACATGCATGTGAATTGTCCTCTTTGGAAAGTCAGTCTGTTGTTGTATCGACAGCGGTGTAACTGATGAAAACTACTTTGTTTCTTAGGCCCAAGCACTCAGCAAGATGAAAGCTGTTACTGAGTTACTTCAGCTAATTGACAGGGTATTGTGTGATGCCCTTTTTGTTTATTTGTGAATGGTTTAATCTTATTTCTTTTGATTTATTTTCGTGTGTCAAATTTTTATGATGATGGCAATATACTTCACAGAGTGCCCTTCACCTACACCCCCCCCAACACTCTTCCACCAGCTGCACAAATCATTTTAGTGCCAAAATAGTTTATTTCAATTTATTTTGTATTTTTTGCACTAGGAAAAAAAGGAAAAAGGTTTGGCAACAATGAAAGAGCTTCTTCGTCAGAAAACGTATCAAGGAGCACTCTCCAAAATCAGCTCTCCTCTTAATCCAAGCTACAAGCTGCGGCAACTGAAGTATGACATCACACCCTTGCTGCTCTAAATTTCCCAGTCAACCATAAAAATTACAATTTTCTTGACTGTGATTGGTTTAAAAAAACTGGTTTATTTTCCACTAATTCACTTTCCAAGTTATTATTGGACAGTTTGTTATCAGACAGTTCAATAAACCAATCACATAAAAAGTTGTAGTTTAAATCAACCAATCACAACCTTGGTTTCAATTACCATAGAAGAAGTGCACAGACCCCTTAATGGCTATTCTTCTATTCTCGGAAATGGTGATTTTTATGATTAATTGGTAAGACGACTTCGTGTCGTCCAATTCGGTCTGTAATCTTATTCGTGTTAAGAAATGGAACGTCAGCTTCTATTTCAGGTTTCAAAACTTATTATCTCGGAAAGTGCGTGGCTACTCCTAGTTTTGTTTTTGGATTTTGTTAGCCCTTGATGAGATTTAATTTGTTTGTCTAGTCACTGAGCGGGCAAAATTAGGTCACTTTTAGCAACCACTGTCCTTAAAACAGATATAACCTCAATTTTCTTAAATTTATCTTAATTTGTTCAGTGTCGACCAGTGCAAGTTTATGGATTCCAAGATGCGGCCACTTTACTTGGTGTTCGAAAATACGGACGAGCTGGGAGACCTGGTGCGCATTATCTTCAAGAATGGAGATGGTGAGTGTGAGAGTACAGAACCACGCACGAGTGTTGCAGTACCCACACGCTAGTCAAGCGCGTGTACAACGCGGGAATTGCACGCGCTTAACTACGAGTAGTGCCTCGTATTACAATGTTTTGCACGGAAATTCGTGTGTTTTGATTTTAATGCAAAATCTCGCCAAGCTAGAAATTAGGAACATTTTAATTTTTGTTGTTGTTGTTGTTGTTTACAAGGTACAGAACATGTTATTTTATAAAGTATTGCATTCTCTCTGTATTAACTTTACTTTTGGTGATTTTTTTTTTAGATCTCCGTCAGGACATGTTGACTTTACAGTTGTTTAAAATCATGGATAGGATCTGGCAGAACGAAGGACTGGATTTAGGGTTCGTTCTTTCAGAATTACAAAAATACACAGGGCGAAAGCTTGCAACAGAATGCAGTGTTTTAAAGGCAAAGGAAGCAAATGACATAAACCAGTCCCATTACCCACTGCGAACATCCAACACGAACCCAGACCCTTATCAGCAGTTATGAAATAGCTACATCTGCCAATTTATACTTACCACAAATTGCATTATTTTTTCTCACACAGAATGATCCCCTACGGATGTTTGTCCACGGGAAGCTCTATAGGAATGATCGAGGTCGTGCACCAAGCTGAGACCATAGCCAAGCTTCAGAAAAAGAAAGGAATGACTGCTGTTTTTGCCAAAGAGTGTATCTGGAACTGGTTCAAGGACTATCACTCTACTGAAGACGAGTAAGTGGTTAAAAATAAAGTCTCTCAAAGAGATGCCTGCTTATGCGTTGTATTCACATCCTGTTCACGTCATGGAGCATTGCTTAATTGAGTGACGAAAGTGCCCGGCGACGGCATTAACTCGCTACACCTTAACATCAGAATTCATATTCTCCATACTGTTCTCTGTATATTTCCCAAGGTGCTGACAAAGAGAATTTGTGGAATAATCAAGAGCCTCTTTAGTTGCTGATCATTTCCTTTCTTCTTGTGACCTAAATGTCCAGGGGTGATATTGTAAGGAGAAATTAGATGCTAATCACTCAAGGGTCAAAGGATTAAAAGCAATTTTCAAATAAGTATCGAACGTACTTTAGGATTGAATAGGTTCTGCTTCATTATGTTCGATGAACATCCCCTCAACCCATCTGATCCAGACTCCTTACTCCTCCTCCCCTCCCCTCCCCTCTCCCACTGTTCTTGTTTAAAAAATTGTCTTCTCCATGTTTTTTTTAAAAAAAGGAAATAAAGTATTTAATGTGCTATGTAAAATTCAAGATTTGTGTCTTGATATCTCCCATGTAGACTGTTCGAAGCTGTGCGCCGTTTCACGCTCTCCTGTGCGGGGTACTGTGTGGCCACATATGTTCTGGGGGTGGGTGACAGGCACAGCGATAACATCATGGTGAAGAATACAGGACAGGTACGTTTACTGATGATGACTGACGGAAATGTGTGGTCGTAGGGTTTTTATGCATTGTCTCCAACAGCTACTTTCGTTATTGGTTGGAGAAAGTTTACAGTTTTGTTCTAAGATTTTCACCGATTGAGCACCAATTTCAAACTGTGAGTTTTGAAACTGCGTTTTTGTTTTGATTGCAGTTATTCCACATTGACTTCGGCCATATCTTGGGTAACTTCAAGAGCAAGTTTGGCGTGCGGCGAGAAAGAGTGCCTTTCGTACTTACTGATCATTTTGTACATGTGATTTCTTTGGGTAAAGGAAGAGATACGAACGAGTTTAAAAGGTAAAAGCTTGCTTTAACCCTTCACACCCTAACAAGTATGCATATTCTTCATACTGTTCTTTATGTATTTCTTAAGGTGCGGAGAATTTGTTTAACAATGTAGAACTTCTTGAGTTGGCGATCACTTCCCTTATTCTCGTGACCTTTATGTGTGATTCAGGTGTGATGATGCAAGGATGTTGTTCAGGTTAACTCCATTGCAAGTAAATTTTAACGGAACTGACAATCTCGTTTTTGAGGAGTCCTCTTTCTTGTCCCCTCCCCACCCTCCCCAGTTCTTCTCCTTTTCGCCCTCTCTTGCTCTTTTTCTTCCCCCCCCCCAGCCTTTGCAGCTGGAAAGAGAATGAAAGTACGAAGTTGAAGACGTGATCACCACATAAGCTTTCTTCCATCCTCTCTAGTTTCCATCATAAGTTTTCACCGTTTAAATTGTATTTCTTTGTTCTTAAGATTTCAACAGCTTTGTGAAGAAGCCTTTCTCATACTGCGTCGCAAGGGCCCACTTCTGATCAACTTGTTCGTTATGATGTTGTCCGCTGGCCTCCCTGAACTACGGTCACTTGATGACATTGGTTACTTGCGGAAAACACTCCTCTTGCCCGTATCGGAAGAAGATGCCCTTAGAGACTTCAGGAGTAAATTCGACCACGCTATCAACAACAGCTTTTCGACAACAATGAACTGGTTTGCGCACAATGTAAAAAGGGACAATCCCTGAAAAATAAATTACGTCGTCTTCTGCTACTGAGTACTCTAGCGTCAATTCCTTCCACAGACCCCTCGATGTTTGGGTCACCACAAGAACGTTCACGGGGAGGAGGGGAAATAATTTTTTGGTCATGAAATGACGTCATTACAGGAGCTTGTCAATCAACAGGAGACAACAAATTGTAAATTTCGGTGGCCTCTCCATGAGAAGGATATGTAGACACATACATTTTTTACTTTGAATGTATTAAAATCATATTTGTGAACTATGGATGTAGAAATTGATATGAAAGCAGTCTTCGCTGTAATGAAAATAAGGCCTGAAAAAAAAAAAAAAAAGTCTTAAGCCCTGTACGGGGTTTGAACTCAGTACTTTTGCGATACCGGTGCAGTGCTCTTCTCACTGAGCTAACAAGCCAACTGGGAGCTGGTTGTTATACTGGTTTTTAATACACCCATGAATTGATGAATAAAATTTCTGTGAATATGTGAACATCATACATGTGAATTGCGGATTAGGAAATTAATATGAAAGCGATCTTCGTAATAAAGAACACTGCTTAAGCAGGAGTGGAAATAAGGCGATCATATCTTCATGAAATCACAGTCATTTTTTCATCACTTCACGTATTTATTACGAACCAACGTAAAAATCAACTCTCATTTAGCTTGTTAGCTCAGTTGGTGTAGCACTGTACTAGTATCGCAAAAGTCATGGGTTCAAAACCTGATTTTTTTTTTTCAAGCTGTATTTTCGCTACTGCTTAAGTAGTGTTCATTGCTGCGAAGATCATTTTCACATTAACATACAGTCTTTTTTTTAACTTGTAAAGGTTCTTATGACATTTTGTTTTGTGTTAATACTCTGCTTTGGTTAAAGTAAAAAAGAAATGGTTTTAATTTAAAGAAGAGTGGACTACCACAAAGAATGAAATGACAGCACAGGAAGAAGTGTAAGATGTTAAAGGGAGTCATTACGCAGAGAAATGTAAATTTACGCTGACCCTTTAAGTTGCTTTGGGGAGCTTTTTTGTGTTATCAATTTTAAAAATTTGAAATATATATGAAGTCGTATATAGGGCATAGGTTGTTATTAGAGATGAATTTCTTTATGCTGTTTTAAGCAGGTGTTCAGTTTATTTTGTAATGAGGTAGTTAGAATTTCTTGGCCAGAGGCGACCATGTGTTACTTTGTATTCAGGGGCTCGCTTTTACTCATAGCTATCAACTCGCCAGTGTGGTGGGAACTTAATCAAATCAAGTGCAAGTGATTTAGATCGGCTGAGTGCCTTGTATGCAGATCTCAGGTAGCATTTGATTTCAACTGTTTTCTAGGAAACTTGTCTAAACGAGGCAAATGTAAGTAGTATATGTAATAAGTTGGTAATTGAGTGGTTTAATGCTGTCCAACGTTTTTTTGCATCGAAAAATTCAATTGAATCCTTACCATTGGTTGTTGGTTCCTTAAGATTCTTAAAATACAAAGGGAACAGTTTTGGGCATTAATGGTTTCGACTTTTTTTTAAAGATTTTAATTCGTCACAACCTTAATAGAAACGCCTTGAACAGATGGAACAGAAAATTGGTGCGTTTGCTAGATTAAGGTTAATGTAAGTTTTCAGATTTTTTATTTTATTTTCTTAAGAGATTATATATTAAGTTGTAAAGAATTGCTTTTAAATCGAGTCTGAGTAGATTATTAAAAACATCGGGATGAAATATACAGTTTTTTAGAATTTTTTTAAACGAATTTCGTGAGTTTTATCATTTAATTGAAATTCCACCTTTTCTAATAGGAAGATAGCGTGTTTTTAAGTCGAAAATAAATAAGTGAAAAGAACGTAGAAGTGTGCTGTCCATGTGTTTTTAAATTTTCTTTTGTTCCTCGGGCGTTAGAGGGGGGCTTCTGATAATCCCTAAAGATTTTCTTTGACAGCTGGTTAATAATAATCTTCAATCCTTATTGGTCGCGTCACTGGCTTCCTGATAAACTATTGGTGGATTAAATATAATCTCGTATCAAATTTCATAGGGTACCGCCATCTTGAATGTTTATAAATTACATATTGTCTTCCAAGATGATTGAGGATCAATAACTGCAAAACTTGTTTTGCCGACCTCTTTCTGAGCGAAGATCTGTGATGGAGGGAGAAGAGGCTTTAATCCATTTTAATTGTTTTGTGCACTACCCAAGTTTCACAGAAGAAGGACTAGAGGTAGAAACGGTCGCAAGGGGAAACGGCATCCAACTTCCTCCCAGCACACAACTTTCGAGTCTTGCAGCGAGCGTGTTGAGCGACATGTTCCAAAAGCAAGAAATAGACGGTAAAATTATCATGAAAGCGGACAACGCCAAAGGTCAGTGGATAAGTGAGCTTCATTTCGTTTGAATTTTTTTAACCTGACATTTAAACTTTGTTAGATACAATGCACTCTTCGCGAAGCCTGAGGTTCGAATCATTGATCGATGGGGAACTGACCACCCACATTTAGATCACTTCTATTGATGTAAGAAGTACATGGCTTTGATTTTGTTTGAATTGTTTCCCTCACGATCTCTCTAAATAAATTTTAACATTTCACAGGAACAGAAGATAGCTAAAATGAAATGCCTCCTTTTAAGTTCATTATTCCTTTCAAGTTCATTATTCCTTTCAATTTATTTAGATTTAAAAACCCTGGAGGTATAAGCATACTGTTAAGACTTATTATTCATTTCATAGAATGTGGTGTTTCTTTGTTCTTTTTTTTTTCATTTGTCAACAAGACTTCGAGTATTTGGTCAGAATTTAGTTCCCCTAAGCAACTACATAAAGCGTTAAATTGAATTTGTATCCGTTTTTGTTCCGTGGATTATACAATGTAATCAGCGCTACATGTTGTTTTCGTTGTTTGTCACAGGAGATGCAAATCTTTATTACATTTCAGATTCTTTGATACTTGGGGAGGGGAGGGTGTGTTTGGAAGAGTATTGGCAAACTTTAAATGAGACGTGACCAAATTTAATACAAGGAATATTCAGTATTGATAAGCCTCTTAAAAAAATAACGCTATAATATTGTACTCATAGATATGTCGCTGTTGTACTCATATTTCTTCCAATGCATTTTGTTCTGAGCATAATTTGCATATACCCTACCTCAACCTCTTGATAATTTGCGCACCTTTACAATTGCGCGCAAAAACAGCTACTGAATTCTAGTATGCCATTAAAACGAGAAGACTTGATCGATCATGCTCCATTTACCCTTTACACCTTAACATAACTATGCATATTCTCCACACTTTTTTATCTACATTTCCTAAGGTTCTGACAAGAAGAATTTGTGTAACAATCAAGAGCTTTAATTAGAGATCATTTCCTGATATGTGATTCAGGGGTGATATTGTAAGGAAAAATTAGATACTGGTCAATCTAAGGATTTAAATGGTTAAGGGTCAACTTGGGCATAATTTATAACGGTAATTGAACTGAGTGGAGTGCAATTCAGTCTGAAATCTTATGCGTGATTTCAAAATCAAACAGGCACGCTTGGTGAGTTTAATTTTAAATAACACTTACAATTTCAGACCAAAATTGTATGACACAAAGTTCATATACCACTTTATTACAACTTCTGGCATTTTGAAGTCAAAAATTCAGTTGCACAAATACAGGTTTTATTAAATCTATACAAATATGGTCCAGTATTAGTTAGTTTGTAAAAAGTTACAAAAGTTGTCTTTCATTTTCCTTTTAAAGAAGCCTTGAAGTCTGATTGGTTGTTGTGTTTTAGTAAAGCTGTCTCATTGCCTGGGAAAAAGATGCAATTTAGAGCATAAAATTGTGCGACTGGTGAATAAATTGTATCACTAAGAGCCAGTCAAATTGCAAGGATCACCAGTTATTTCAAAATGGATGTAACAAAGAGTAAAGATATGTTCCACAGTAGTCCTATTCCACTGGCATATATTGGATGTGAGATGGTATCAAACATGATTTCATTTGTAAGATAGCTATGATTATCATTTAACAAGCAGAATTATCTTATCAGTTCACTTTAAAATAGTTATGACCAAATAAATACAAGTGAATAGAGACTATACCAAATTAATTTACAGGAGATGATACTAGATTACATGTATTCTGGAAGTGAGAGCCCAAATCAGTATTGATATTTATTAGGACATCTTCAAGTTCCAAAAGCCCCTAATTTTAAAATTAGAGAAGTCAAAAAAATCATTTTCACATCAGAGGTTTTGTTGACTGTAATGCATCTTGAAAATGCCTAAGTACCTGAGTTGCACTCTTCCAGCCAAATTATTAACAATTTGCTATTGTTGAAAATCTGAAACTGTGAACATTTTTAAAAATCATATATGTGAACTGTGCTTTAAGAGATGAATATTAAAGCAATCTTTGCAGTGATGAACACTACTCAAGCAGCTATTAAAATAAGGCCTGAAAAAAATTCTGCTCTGTATGGGATTTGAACTTATGTATTTTGCAATACAGATGCAGTGCTCTATGAACTGAGCTAACAAGGCAACTAGGGGCAGGTCATTAAAAGTCTGGTAACTTTTGAAACCTACCCCATAAGATATGTTCAGGGAAACACTCTGCTAGTTAAGTGATAAGGCTTCCTTGTTATATCCTCTTTAACCTTTTGACTCCTAAGATTGACTAGCATTTAATTTCTCCTTACATACCACCCCTGAATCAAACATAAGGGTCACAAGAATAAAGGATATGATCACCAACCAAAGCAGCAGTTGATTGTTGGACAAATTCTCCTTGTCAGCACCTTAGGAAATATATAGAGAACAATAGGGAGAAAATACATGCAGATGATGGGGTGTGAAGGGTTGACTGTGTTTTGCTTGCTTTTTTTTTTTTTTTCTAGTGTTGATTCAAGTGCGTGACCACTGGAAACCACATCCACTTGCAGACTTCACCTCAGCAGGTGACCTGGAAGTGACATTGCTTGATTCATTTGGTGAGATTCTATTTGCCAAAGATGCAGCAATCAGCCTTCATGTTCATCTTTGTTATGAGTGAGTTGAAAAAATTCCATAGCTATATGCTAGTTATCAACAACTTGGGTATAATACTACAGCTTATTGTTTTTATGTAATTTATGTTGATTTGATGGGTGGGATAAACAAAATTTCCTCTCCAGAATGTTACTAGAAATACTGTGCATGGGGAAATGTATACAATGGTTACTATTTTTTGAGACACTAGTGTAACAAATCAATTTTTTCTTTCATTAATGGTGGCCTGTTTAGCTCCTATTCAGGGTAGAGGTTTTTACAATTCGGACAACTTGTGGGATGATCAGTGGCGTTATTTCACATACCTTTTAAATGGCTAACCATGAGGCTAACCCTAATGGCACAAGAAATAGTCCCAAGTCACTCCAGAAATTAGCCTAGTGTTAGATTTGTGTGGGAAAAAAAAAGTCTGTGACTGTCAAAAAGTAACAGTATTCTTGCTGTAAGATATTTTACTGACATTAGTGTTTGTTCAATGTTTTTACAGTAAGGATTGGGATGATCAAAAAGTCAAGACAGCTATCAAGAAACTTTTAGAGTACTACAGCCAAACTCACCTAGAACGTATGCTGTGTCCATTTTCACAGGTATTGTATAGGTAGAAAAAGAAATTGGAGGTGTACTTTATGTGGAAGTATAATCTTAAACTTTAAACTTTTGGCAATTTTTATAAAAATGCAGCAAAAAAAGTTATTTTTTTAAAAACAACAACATTTTTACCCCATTGAGAGAAAAAATGATAGCTGATAAGAATCTATTAATACAAGATAAAATTACAATTGATTAAAGAAAAATAAAAGTGCTAAAAATGTTATTTAAACAAAGAGTTTGGCATGGTTGCAGTCTGTTTTGGGTTTTTTCTACCTCCAAAATAATCAAGCAGGTAGAATTGGCTGGCAATTTTCTTCCTGAACAAACTTGAAACGCTTGTCAACAAGAAAAACTTGAACATTGTAAACCCTATAACTCCCAAGATCTTATTGATGAGTAGCACAATCACCATACCCACTTCTGTAACATGTATGGAAAATGTGAAAATTGCTAGTTTGGGACAAAATCACTTCTTTAGGTCTGTTTTAAATTCACATTTACTATTACAACTGATTTATTTCAAACTACTTTATTTTTGTCACATTTGATTCAAATTTGTATTAACCCATAATCCCTTGTGGGTGTGGTCTTTTTCACAAATAATCAATTTCAAGTTCACTGACATAGTAAAAAGTAGAAATAATAACATTTTGTATTACATGGAGGCTAGTATCTCCCTAGTAAGATCAACTGGCACTCTAAAAACTGACTTTCTGCCTCTTTTACAACTTGAAGATCACATCACCATTTTTCTCTTGGAAATTCAGCTCTCTTTTTGCGATTCTTTTCATTATATTTTAGATTCCTTAGCCTATTCTTTTCCTGCTTTTTCCTCCTCCACTCTTTGATCCTCGCAAGCTTTTCTTCCTTTTCGTTAACCATACCTCTTGTCAAGCGCACTTGCAGCGATATTTACAGATGGCTAAATCTCAGAAAAATTATTGAGTTTGAAGACCCCGACCCTTGATAACGCCGCAGAAACCAAAATAGGAAAGGTTATCAAGCTATTTTCGACACGGAGATGAAAAGATGAAGGCGAAAGTGGCGGAGCAAACAGCAGATTTCATAGCGCTTTTGGTGGCATTTGTGGCGAGACTCCGCTCTCAATATGGCGTCAACATGGTAAAAGCGTAGCGACTTGGTCAAAAGTGAATATTTTGGCCGTTTCTAAAGATATGGACCCGAAAACTTGGAAATGACAAGAAAAACTTATGAGCATTGAAGTGTAATCGATTTGAAACCCGACTTTGCCGTGTTTGAAGTATAGTAGCGAAGGAGCAGGTAAGTTGATGAAAAAATTATTTTGCGTAATCAGGTTTTACAAAACCGTAGCGACTGTTTTACACTGATATTTCTCCGTTTATAGTCAATCCTTTAGACTGATTTTTCGCTATTTTAGAACACCAAGTATGAGCATTTGGTTAATGTGTTTTTGTTCCCACAGGATTCCAGTTCAGTCATTCTGCGGACAACAACTTGGTGTACTTCCAAATTCTGAAACCCAGCGTTACACAAAGGATGCTTAAGAATGATGAATCTTTTCTATGCGTTTTAATAAACTTGAAATGTCAAAGTTTTGCTCAAATGTAGTTTTTATTGTGTGTTATCATTAGGTGTAATTTGTTTGCTCAAACGAGCTTTCTTTTCAGTGAAAAATGTATTTAAAAAATTTTACCACTGAGATTGTGTTACGCGTTACAACCAAAATTGGCTCGATTTTTCATCTTTCACGGGTATTTTCTCAAAGACAGCAATGTGGTTTTCTGATTTTTTGCTTTTACTATAATCAATAAGAACAACTTTACTTGTAAGCAAAGATTTGGCTTCAATGAAAATGTAAAACAGAAGAAATCATTGAAAGTTTGCAGTCAACCCCCTATGGGCATGGTGATTGTGCTACTCATCATTGTTAATTCTCCCCTCCTTGTAAATTACTTATGAGAACTTTTTGTCATATCAAGATAACAACTTTGACCTGATCAGTTTGAGTATTCTCATAACCTTTTTGCTGGATAATGTAAGGATGTCATTGGGAGATGTTACATGTTAATGGTTTCTGGGAGTTAAAGTATTTAAATTAACTTAGTATTGGTTTTTACTAGGGCATGCTGTCACAGATATCCAGAGATCAATACCCTTGCCGTCTGTCTTCAGAAAAAATAAAACTGTTTGCTGCATGGTATGAACATTCTCAGCTGAGCAAAGAACAAGAGCAAGATGGTTCATCCTCACCTGGGAAGAAAATGTTAGCCACTCTACGTGGAAAGAAAATTGTATTCAATTCAACTGTTGAAATTCCACTGCTTAGGAAATGGTATGAAGAAAACCCCAAGCCAGATATTAAAGATCTGACAAGATATGCCGAAATCCTAAACAACTTGGACCAGCGCAAAACAAGAGAACAAGTTCTAGCTCGACATGTGAATACATGGTTTAAGAATGAAAGAGCACGACTCAGGAGGGAGGGACTTCTGGAAGACTTGTCAAGACCTTCCATGGTGGTAACTACTGGTACATAGTTAACCCTTTACACCCTAAAATCAGTATGCATCTTCTCCTTACTGCTTTTTATTCATTTCCTAAGATGCTGACAATGAGAGTTTGTTTACCAATCAAAAGCTTCTTTCATTTGTGATCATTTCCTTTATTCTCATGACCTTAATGTGTGATTCAGGGGTGATATTATTAGGAGAAATTTGATGCTGGTCACTCTTAGGGTTTAAAGGGTTAAACTCTTCTAACAGTCTGTCCGAAGGATGGTTTCACATGAATCTTAGTTCATGTGTCTCTGTCACCCACCCCCAGATGGTATTAAAAAAAGGTATATTTTATTATTGATTTGGCATTTATTGCAATTGATTTGGTTTCTCTAACCTCTTGGTGCTGATTTGTACTTAGGCAAACCACTATAATCAAAAATCTCTGGTGTTATTTGCTTGAATGGTAGACTGGGTTTCTATACCCTGTGTAACCATAGCTGCACAAGAAATATGATTGATTTAACAAGAATTTTTGTTATGAAATAGATGGTAATTCTCACACTTTGCATTTTCTGTCACCTTATGAAAAATTGGGATCTTGTGGAGCAGCAGGGTGAATTTGGAGAAAGCTGAATGTACTGGAAACTCTTGTGAAACTGAAATACATCACTTAAACAACTATAACAATACAACTTGCACTGTTTTCTGTACATGTAGAGTAAGTATAATATTGGGTTGACAGTAAAAGTCACAGTTATGCCACATGTTACTCATAAGCCTTTTGCAATTTTACTTTGATAACTGGGTGACACCTGGGCATGGGAAAGTGAATTTTAAACAGGAACTCTTTACATGGCCAAAAAGTTAAAAGAATATAGAAATTACGGGCAGGCCTATTTAGGCCTAACCTTGATAAATATTCAGTATCTTTTCTTTAGATTACATGTTAAATGGTTTTGATTATTATGCTCAAACTTTGAGGCACTTAAATTATCAGCAAGAAAAATGAACTTGTCTTCAACAAGCTTTCCATATTACCTCAGTTATTTAATTTTTTTATTTTTCTTTGTAAAGTCTCTGATTAGTGAGACTATCTTTGTTTGGGAAGGAGGGTATGGATACTCATCCTTCCCCCTTTTACAACAAATCAAGCATAGAGAGTACATTTCAAAGAATTAAGAGAGCGTTTGCAGTCTATTTTTCCAAGGCAAGGTGTGGAAACAAATGAGTCAAGTTTATAAATTGGGATGATCAGTTTGAATTAAAACATTAGTCAATTTAAGAAAGGTACATAATTATGGTACATACTACATGTAAAGAATGTAATAACAGAACTGCAGCTTTAGAGACAGCTTAAAACTAAAATGTATTAACTACTGCAATTAATTTTCATTTGTAGAAGATTATTGTCATCTATATAGAGAACTTTGCTTTTCTTCAAGCTCTTTATTACAAATATCATAGCTTCGGATCAACATCAGTATCTGGGCAACTGCCCACCTACCCCTCCCCTAACCCAACATTAACCTTAACTTGTTGTTAATTGACTGTTGTTGAGTTAGGGGAGGGGTAGGTGGGTAGTTGCCCAGATACTGATATTGATCCATAGCTTCTAAGTGTTAGTTGAATGATTATGTTTTCTTATTGATTTAGAGCTCGTAGTATTTGAGGGTGCTTACCCATGGCCAGAATTGAATACCCAGACTAGTAAAGTTAAAATACAGTTGGTCATTTTGGATAGGTTTCTTTAGCTGTGACAAACCTTTCATTAAACCATAGGTACAATTAAGGAAATTACTGGTCAAGCCTAGCAATTCTGATCGACCTCTTAATTATCAGAGAAAGATATTTGTCTTGAGCTTGGAGCAAAAGTCAAAATTAAAGAATCTTCCTGTTAATTCTTATCATCAGTGGGGTGTTTGAATGAGGCAACTCTGACTACTGGTGAGCACCGTCAACCCTTTAACTCCCAGGATCTCATTAGTAATTCTCCTTACCTTGTTGGACAATTCTCATGATGTCAGCTAGGAGAATTTGGTATTGGATCATCTAATAATCCCCTAATTGATGTGTTTACTGCTTCTCGTCACCAGTCTGCTTGTTATTGTATTGATATTGTAAGGAGAAATTCTGTCTTGGTCACTCATGGGAGTTAAAGGGTTAAATATGATATTGGTACAACTCAGTATGTATTTTCACGCATTATATAAACTTGAGGAAAAACTATTAATGTAAATAGTATTTAATGTAAAGTAATATATTTATGCATGGTTTAATCAGACTCGTGTAAAGACATTTGTGGAATTTTTTGTTCGATTTTTTCCTGAGTTTGGTCTCTTACCCACTGAGATCTGATCGGTAATTTTTCCTCCTACATTGTACGTGGGCTATTATGGATAACGGATAACTATACATCAAAGATCTTATCGTTACACTGTCGTCGTGATCATCTTTCTAATTTGTCAGCGCATTACTTTCTTCCTGTTTAACTGGCTGTCAGATATGGATTGGTTAACCACTGAAATGAAACGATGAAAGGGATGAGGAGGTATCATGTCACTTCGTTAGATTGTTTGATAAATGAATCGGATCCTCCAATAGATCCACGATGCGCTATTAGGGGTTATGGCAATACAGGATATTTTAGATAAAAAAAAATAGGAATGCAGGAGGAATACTTCAAGAAAAAACTAAGAGCGAATGTCGAGGTTGACCGCGTTAAATAAAAAAGATGGCACATGATCGAAAAAGTGACAACTTACACACTTTGCCCAGCGACAAATGCTTGAGTGTGTTACATCTGTACTAGTATCGGCTTTCTTCCTGTCTTCAACGTATGTGGCAAAGGACTCTCGATCTACAGGATTAAATGGTTTGATTATCCTCTTTCAAGTCCATGGTGAAGCTCAATTTTACCCTAGAACTTTCTGAAAGCTTACATGTGGCGGAATATGGGAAGAAAAACAGACGCCTGCCGCTAGCTGTTATTTAGAAACAATTTCGTTGCGAGAAACGGATGAGAATTTGAAACGAAAGCAGGGATAATATTGGACCTGGTGTCGTTTGCTATGCAAGGTTAGCTTATTTAATTGGTCTCCTGATCGAATACGGTGCTAACTGCTAAGATTTTCTTGGAATTCTGGATTCAACGGCGAGCGTTGCCCTTTGACAAAATTCAGTTTTCCCGGTTTTTCCGTGCGGAAATGAAAAACCCAAACCTACTTTTATATCCTCGAAAACAAATCTATTTCCACTTGTCATGGGCTTAACTTGAACCTGAGCAATACCACATGCCAAAAATATTAATTAACAAATTGGCGACGAAATACGATGTTTGGATTTTGAAATATTGATAATCTCCAAAAGCGTAGGATCATCGAGCCCAAAATTGAATGAAATGATCCTATTTCAGACTTAAAACACAGCGCCATCTTCCTTTATTGAAGAAGTGGAACGTAGCCCATTTCAGCTACGTACCGGTAAGTGAATTGCAGTATTCACTTATTCACAACCATCAAAATAGTAGGAAAGAGTTGAAATTGAATTCGTCATCAGGGTAATATTATCCACACTTTCCTGCGAGACATTAAAATTTGAAGTGGCAAGAGTGGAAATCTGCAGTCACCCCGAAGTACACAGAAGAAATAATACGAAGAAGTGATCCGCTCTATGTTGTACTAAGGGGTGTGATTTTGCTTAGCTAAATGTAGACATGCTCTTCATTATAGCTAGGGACGCATTCCGAAAATTGTGAAAGAGGAGGGCAGAACAAACGTTGGTGATAGTGAAAGCCCAATCCCCCCCACCATCATTGGTGGAAGTGTAAGCCCCCTTTTCCCCCTTTCCCTCCCCCACCCCGCCGCTCGCCTCCTTTCTTTCCCCCTTTTTGTTGGTAGTACAGTAGGGTTCGCTGCAGGAGGAAGTCTGTGTTCCTTACTCCTTGCTATTTCGAAAAAAACTGCTACTTTGGCTTTCCGTGCGGATTTTAAATATATATAAGGCAACTTTCATTTTAATAGTTCTTAGATCTTCATTACATATTTTGATATTCGACAATATATCGATACGAGTGCCTTTGAACAAGAAAAGCACTGAAATAAAAGTAGATAAATAATTTAACATTATGACACTCGTGAGAAGGTTGGTTACGAAAACTCTCTGAAACTACCAGAGGAAAAAGGGGGCGGCAGTTTTATCGTCTTCCCTCAGACTGCCCTGCTTGCGCATATGCACCTTTCCCAGAGCGGAACACATTTATCATCTTGAGTTGACGTGTCATTATTTCGTTATTATGGAAATTAATCAAGCTCAACTAGACTCAGACAGACAGGCAATTAGTTTTACAGTTAGTGGAATCACGCATATCATTTGGCAATTATTTTGCATGAGAATCATACAGACTTAAGTTGGTTTCACGATGTCTTAGTTACCGATATTACACAATTTTACTGTCTCAACTAAAATATCATCATAGATAAATTAAATCACAACAGTACAGTACGTACCCCAATGTAAAATAGAAATCGGCTTGTTGAATAATATAGCATTTACTTTAAAATTTCTCTCATCTCTACTAAAGGGGTGTCTCTGTTCATGAAAAACCGTTTTTTATTTCCAATTTCTACTATTTTCCTTCCGCGCCAAGAATTCCATCAAAGGGGCTTTTCCTTACACTTTATTTGATGTAACGCGCGATGTCACGCTATGCTAACAAGAAGCGGTTGTTGCTTGGATACAACATGGCGAAGATCAGGTACAATGACATAAATGTCTGTTTCACGTGTCGATAGAGATATGGGATAAGGGCTCATATTTACAAGACAAACCATAGATCTACCCAATAGGTAAGTCAGTTGTTTTTTTTTTTTTTAAAGAATCCGGCGTTTGTCCTGAAATGTCCTGAATGTTCATTGATCCCTTAGCTTGATCTTCGACGTCGCTCGATATTTTGTTATACGCTCTGTCATTATTTTCGCCTTCGTTTCCTTTTTTCCTTTCTCACTCTCAACGGGAGTTTGATTTATTTGATATATTTATTTGATTTATAAAGTGAAATTCCGGTGTTAAATTTATCAATCTGCCATTGAATTTAATTTATCAATCTGCCACTTCAAAATTCTCGTCATAATTATTATTGCCAGACGGCCTCGCCGGCTAGATTTGCGGGAAGAATTTTTCTTTCTCCTTATTTGAGAAATTTGGACAAGTTATCGAGGTCTCAGTAGCTGAACAATCCTCTCTTTCTTACATAAACTCATCGAAATGTTCACCTTGAAAGCTGGGGTAAGGCGAGACTGTTGAAAAACCCAAACAGCCCGGCTTGTCGTGGCCGTTTATTTTTAGTTTCGACGGGAGCGTGGATGTTTGACACGGGTTTGAGCGCATTGAAACCCTTCTTCTGGATACGGGTCGTGGCATTATCACAACGTCATAAATGCAGCCGACTTCTATTCGATGAAACAATATTTTAGACCGAAGGCAAGGATTATAAACTTTACGTGATGAACAGCGAATTTAAAAAGGCCATACATTGTAGGTGAATGATATCGCTTACATAGTGATGTGTGAATTTTAATGTAATCTTAACTTATCAATGATCAAGAACGTTCGTGTTTTACTCTACCACATATGGCGAGTGTATAATTTGAAAAGCGTTTTAACTAGGGCAAGAAATGTCTGTTGCGTTAAATTCTCTTCATTGTTTTTTGGACAGTTGTTGGTATTTGAATTTTACATCGATGAAATGAAATTTATTTTGATCTTGATTTCCCACTTGATATTCCAAAGGCAGGCGTATGGCGAACGAAAGTTCAAAATATTGCGAAGATTACCTTCTCAGGAAAGAAGGACGAAACAAGGTGAGTTAAAGTTTTCATGGTGACTAAGATTTTCGAACAGCGGTTTCAGAAATGGTTGCGCAAAGCTGTACTTCACTGTTGGCGTTGAAAAAATACTGGCTACTGAGCAAAAAAACGTACTCATTCCGGTTGGCACAGGTAACTACAGAAATAAACATTGTTGAACAGGGGTCTTAGTTTACTACTGGATGTCATTAATGTTAAAAAAGAGTTTTTCTTAAGGCGGCAAGTAGTTGATGCCAACGTGTGATATATGGCACATATGATCTAGCGCTATGTAAATTTCGCTCAAATTAGCTAACAGTTCAACTTCGATTGAGGTTTTAACGCGCCAGTGTCTACAAAACCCGCAATAAGAGGCCGAAGTTTTGGCATTTATTGTTGCGAATGTTGAAAAAAGAAACTTTGGGGAGGCTTTTTCTATATTGTGATAGAAAATTTCGAGAGGATGAAAGGAAAAATGGTCGAGTAATCTTTAGTTCTCGTGTAAGTAATCAATGCTAAGTAGATATTGCGCGTGTGGTTCGTAAAGGAAGGGCATATGGTAAAATATGGACTGGACCATTGGACCATTGGACCATTGGACTAATAGACTATTAACTGGACTATTTTTGGACCTATCAGTATTTAGGGAGGGGTGGGAGGCAGAGGTGATTGTATTAGTAAATGCTACTGGTTGATGATCTTTTTACTGGATCATGAAAATTATTTTGAACGGTTTTCCGACTATTTTTAGGGCTGTTTTTTTGTCATGAGAATGCGAAACAGACGCCTCAATATTTATTAGCAGACGCGATAGAGGCTTTTTTAATGATAAGTGAGAAAGCTTGCATTCATTGAAAAATTTTGAGCCTGAAAAATTCAGTATCTTCTAACTTTGCTCTCACAAGATCAATGTTCACCGGGGAAGCCTAATGAAACAATTGACCGGTCGTACGAGTCTTGACCAGACTGATCGAATGGTCAGCAATTTAAACAATTTCAATACTGTACTGACTTAACGTTCGATGAAAGCACGCCCACTCTTCCGTTTTTATCTTGTTTTCTCTTAAACGAGTAGGAGTTGAGTGGAGTGTTTAACAAAGAAGATGTAACTTTTTTAATGAATAATTTTACACAAAGGTTGATTAGTATGCATTAATTAGCGGCTAAAGCAAAACAAATTGTACGAGGAGTTTATTGGTTACGTTTTGTTATTAGAAGGTCAATTGCTACTGACTCTGATGTTTGTTGTGCTACTTTTTAATGGTAGCTTCTTATGAAATTGTCGGCTTATCGAACATTGTGACGACATTTCTTCCTCCATTTGTGCATATGGCATGGGATGAACTTAAACATAGAAATGTAAGGCAGCTCCGCTCACTTGCAAGTCACAATTTTCCGGAAAAAAAAACTTCCTTATTTTGAGCGGTTTTCGGCTGAAAAACTTGATTAATCCGTAGCATTTACCAATAAAACCACCTCCCACCCATCCCTGCGTTCTAATAGTTCGTCTTCCACCCCTCCCTCAGTAACAACAGTCTGCCTCTCACCCCTCCTTGAGTACTGATAGACTGCATCCCATCCCTTCCTAAGGACTAATGGTTTACCCCCCCGTAAATGGTTCAAAAGATTGTCCAATAATTAGACCAAAAAAGGGTCCAGAAAATGGAAAAATAAATGATCCAAAAAATAGTCCAAAAAAATTGTCCAATAGTCCAGGGATCCAATGGTCCAATCTATATTTTACCTTATGCCGTCAACAAACCTGTACTTTCAGACTGTTTTGCTAACACACTTCCTGAGCAATAGTTTGGTGGTTTTTTCGTGGGAAAATCTGCTAATGACTAATGACAAACACGTTTTGTTGTTTCTGACTGCAGTGGATACAATATTGGGTTGTTATTAGAGGCGTTTGGATGTTGTTCTACAGAGATCAAGCTACAACTAACCGAGATAATGTAAGTTAGTAAGTCTTCGTCAGGAAGTAAGTGATCATCATTTAACATGTTTAACTTTGCGTCTCTAGTTTGCAATCAGTATCTTCAGTGCTAATCAAGTCAGCGAGACGTAATTTAGCTTTTAAAAGTAGATTTCAGCCTGAGATAGAGAGATTATTACGGCTAAGAATGTGGCTATGATACCGAAAGTTGTAACTTAATTCAGAATTTTCTTTTTTTGTTATATTTTTAGCATTTGTTTGAACTGGTAGCCATTTACGTAAGTAAAATGATATCCCGTCTTTGTACTTTGAAAAATCCCTTAAATTTATTCAAAAACTTGTTCTACATCTGAAAACTCGACACTTCTCTTTGCTTGGATACAAATATTACTTACATCGTTTTCGAAACCTTCTGCTTTTTGTGGATCGAAAGATCCCTTTTTAAAGGAAAAGTTTGTAATGGACGTGGCTTTTACTAGTCAACTGGAAGAGTTTTTACACAAGGTTTTCTGATAAGCGGAATATTTGCTGCAAATTGGAAGCAAAGGTCACTTTGGAACTTTTCCAAACACCACAAACTTCCGCGAGAGGCTTTTATGACCAGCTGTCAAAAACAATCTACATGCTGTTTAACAGAGCTTGCGGTGAAATCGATACTGGGTAATAAACTTTGGATTTACATAAAGAAGGATAAGTACGTGAGACGGAAGAAGCTCTCAAGTAGAAAAATAATAGAAAAGATCCTAAGAAAACATTGCTTGACAAGCAGATAACAAAACGTGCTTTAATAATTACCTAAGAGGAAAAACAGTCAATCTTGTTCAACTGTTATCGGTGACTGATGACGAAACAAATCTGACTTCCTTGTTAGGTTCAGTAAGTTCAGCTCATTATGTCGGAGACGAAGAAGTTTTGAGTGGGGGGAAGGGAGGGAGGGGGAAGGGAAGGAGGGAGGGAGGGAGGGTGGACTTACGAGTGAAGATACTAAAAAAGGAAAACCTTTATGAGCGAAGTTAACACATTCAATACAATGGAAGGGCTTATTAATGCATAAGTAAACCAAGCTCGTTGCGTAATGGGCGAAATATGAAGATAAGTATACAAAAAACAAAGGGTCGTACTCAACCTAAAAGTATGAACTAGTTTTGAATAAGTGCATGGTTGTTCCTTTTTATCGTATGAAATTTCTGGGTTGATTCAGGGCCGTTTAGCTCGGTTTTAATTAACCTGCTTTTCCCTCTATAATAGAAAAAAAATCCCTGTATTTCACCCATTGCGCAGTGCAAACGTTTTTACGGAGCTTAAGCTACCTGTGGTCAGACTGTGGACGTAGTAACCCATCTGACTCTTGAGCATTGAGCATTGAGCATTGAGCATTGAGCATTGAGCATTGTTTGAGTATTGTAACTATCCTTGGATAGGGTGCAAGTTCACCTCAATCTCAATTACCCGCTTCCTCAACCCCCAAAGTTTCTTTTAAGTTTCACTGTGAGTTTACCGGTGACCATTTAGGTCAGGGTAAAGTGTCAAACAAGACTTAAGTTTTTTGTTTATGAACGCAACGCAATGGCTCAGCCTAGGTTCGAAACCAGACCTCACAACTTGGAGTCTATGGCAGTAGCAATAGCGCCGCTTTGTTCTCCAGATGGGCTCATAGGATGAACTGATAGCTGGAGGGTGTACGTAGTACAAGCGGAATGTCTCACGGTATCCACACATCCCATCTTGCTTCGTGTGTAACTAAGGAATATCATCAAAAATCGTTGTGTTATTTTGCAGTTTAAAGGTTCCGTCGAACTAACGTCATGCACAAAGTGCAACACAGCGAGGAGAGGAAGTTATAGCTTTCCGTTCTTTGTCGTCACAGCGAGAGGAACACATCTCTTCAAGGTTACGTATTTGTCTTTGTACTTGAAATGTTAATAAGAAAGTTCCTTAGGCCCAATATCAGATCGGAAAGTCCTTCCAAAACTGCTGACAAAATAGCTCAGCGTGAGTGAAAAAGGCGATCACGCACCACTGTTTTTTGTTTTATTATATTTTTTCCGCTCTCTCGACTGACTAAGCAGAGAGAGGGGGGCTTCTTACAGACTTATGAAGCTGATAAACCGGCCATGGAATTTTCCTTTCACCCGTTGTTAAGCTGGATCATTTATTGTAAGGCATGCATTCGTTAACTACGATATCTTTGCTCATGCGGACTTTGCCTACGAGAGGTGAGCACTTAAGCCGTGAACAATCACTGCTGTAAGGAACAGTTCGCCCCCCCCCCCTCCTCTCCCCCTCTCTCCACCCTGTGCGCAAACACTAAAATACGTCGTTTTGCTATTCTAGGGAGAGTGTTGGTCGTTGTTTTAATTTTGTCCAAGTTTATAGATTCTATATTGAGAGAAAACAAATAGAAACGCGAGAAGAATCTTTGTACATTGCAGAGGAAACTTGCAGCCTTGGATTGGAAAGAAGGCAACGAAATTTTTCCGAATGTGAATGTGAATGTTTTCCGATTTTTTTTCTTCTAGTGCGACACTAATTTAAAACGCCACCAATGGATGTACCTCATTGGCTTGGCAGCGAAGGTGAGTCCAAATGGATTTGATTTTTTTTATAATTCTTTCGTCTTGTCGTGCAATATCAAAATCATTCGCTGCGTTTTTCGTTTTTGGTTTTGTTTTATTCCTTGGTAAAAGCGATTAGGAAGTAAGGGGAGGGAACGTCACGCTCGATTTGCAATGCTTCAGTGTCACGCCTTCGCCATGTCCTTGTATAAAAACGATTTTATGCATTAGCTTAATATCTCCTGTAATTGTAATAGGTTACGCACTTGGGATCAATATCAGTATCTGGGCAACTGCCCACCTACCCCTCCCCTAACCTAACCCTAACTTATTATCAATTGACCGTTGTTGAGTTAGGGAAGGGGTAGGTGGGCAGTTGCCCAGATACTGATATTGATCCCGCACTTTCTTGGAGGACTTACGCACACGTTCTACATTTTTGGCACTCTAATTAATTTCAGTTCATTCTAATGATTGGTTAAGTCGTCAACCACATAAATCTTGACTTTAGTATACGTTTTATTACTTAATCTAGATATGTTATTTATGCGATTTCGAGCGAACGAAGAAGAGCATGGAGCAGACGAACGTGCACAAAAGCAAGATAATTGTCAGTTTTCGCCCTTCTGCCACCGCGTGCCTTCCACCCTTTTTTTTTGCGATTACTGGCTAGCGAAGGCGAGCATACATCAGACGATCGCGCATGAAAACAAGACAATTGTCAGTTTTCGCCCTTCTTCCACCTGTGTGACTCGCGCTCCGCACGTGCCTTAAGAAAGAAAATATTCAAAATGACGTGTGTTCGGTGTGCGTTTTATCCGATGAAAAGCGTAATGGCCAACTCTTTTTGCACCTTGTGTTCACTAGGGTGATACGCCGGCTCCACCTCCCTTAGCTGTCCCTTCCCCGCTTTCTTCATCTACGGAATTAAACTCTCATGACGCCGAGGTTAATCACGCAGAGATATGCAGGCAGAACTCTGAGTCAGATGAAGACGATCTCTCTATTCCACCGGGTGCGATTCTTGTCACTACGCCCATAGAAGAATTGTCTCACGACGAGAAAACATCAAATGGACACACCAGCGCCATTCAAGGTATTTTAAAAACAAGAATCGCTCACTTAGATTCGACAAGTAACAATAAGACTTTGAGCTGATTGATTTTGAGCAAGTCATCCATCGGTTATCGGTGCGGTATTAAAGAAAAAAACTGACTGGAACGAATCAGCAAACTCATTGAAAATATGTTTTTAACTGACATTTCAGGTCAAGTACAACATGATAACCTCAGCAAAGCTGTGCTAACAACAGGAATCACTGGAGCAACGCGTGGTAATTATTTAGTCAATTGTTTATATAGGGGAAGTACGAAGCAGTCTGAGCAGTCTGAGATAACAATGGCTTTTCGCAGTCGTAGGCATTGCAATCTGCCAAAAATAAAAAAAAAATGCAAAAGATAAATTCATATAAACAGCAGTTCAGACATATTTCCTCTGGCGACCCTCTAAACTTTTTTTAATAAGGTTAAAAAGACGTTAAAATTGTAAATTTTTAGCACAAATTTCATTCATCAGCTAATAAGCTTCCCTCATGCACCATTAATTTTTTGCAGTCATGTTTTTACTTTTCATCAGTAAAATTTTTGCTATTTTGCTTTCTATCAGTCGTCAGAGAACCGTCCTCTGCCAAAGCTTCTGCGCCTCAACCCGTTACTCGTCCTTTTCAGTCAACAACAGGTATGTGATGTGTAATGTCTTTTACTAGTTATTAGCTAGAGTATGTCAGAGGTTCTCTTGTTAAAGGAATTAAATTCCTCTTAGACTTTGATGCCAAATTATTCAACAAATATGTATGTATGTGGCATACGGGGTGCGGCTGAGTGTGTCACTGATATTGTTAACGCATTTTGAGGTCATCTGTGAACTATTAAGGAGTTTAAAAAAAACACGATGGCAACGGCAACGGGAACGTCACGAAACAAAAATGTTTAAAGAGCAGAACAATGGCTGTACACGTGAACAATAAATCTTTGTAAATTTCTTTGCCTCCTCTGCAAAACAACAACTTTGCGTTGTCTGAAGAACGTGAACGACGACGGCAAATTTATTTATTAAATTTCTATTTCTAATTTAACGCTGTGTTCCATATTCAGTTTCAAGATAGTTTTGACAGTGAGAAACAAACTAAATGACGTAAGGGTGTCGCGAGATTCGTAGGTAAAATATAAGTTCATTTTTCAACCGACGTTGTCCACGGCGTCGTTTCTTAAACTCCCTATTACTGAACAGAGCTACGGTAACGTGTAGTCTATTTGTTTTATATTTATATATATTTTTTTAAATTTTATACTTTAAGCAGTGATGACACCATCTACGCGTCTGTCCACTAGATCATACGTAAGAATCAATCAAAATGTGTGCTGCAGTTCAGCTAATTGTATAAATAGTTTTTTACAGGGAGTTCAATTTTTTTAGAACTATAAGATTTGTTTGGATCATGTGGGGGTCGTTTTTAGAGAGAAAGTCTATTGAATTAGTCGGCCTTTTTGGTATTCATGCGATGTTTATTTCATTATTATCATTACCATAACTTTTGACATCCATCCAGGTGTGTCGCCATGTCAGCAGAAGTATTTTCCTATTGGCCTTAGTCCTCCCTCCGCCATTTCATGGGGTCGAAGTAGTCCCGATCGGCCAAGCAGCAGTCCCAGTCTTAATCACACGCGAAGGCATTTAGGGACTAAACAGTTGGCAAGATTGCCGCTCACTAACAACAGATTTTCACGATACATGGCAAAGTCTGTACCTGATATGAAAATTTTATCACTGGAGGATCCAAGCTGAAATAGAGAGAGTGAATTTTTTATCGTGGTGCAAATTGTCAAATGGCTCAAAATTTCGATTATTTACGCGAATTGCTAAAAGCAAACCACGATTTACATTTGAGTGAATTAGTATTTTAAGCTAATACAAAACTTGTTGCCATTTCTGTCACGTATAAGTTCAGGGCTCCCAATTTTGGCAGTAACAATTTAGGGTGGAACTTGCAGAGAAAGAGAGCAAACTAACAAACAATTTTCTCTAAAGTTGGAGAAGTGTTGCGATTTTGTGCGAAGTAAACAAACCAAAGAAATTGTTTCATAGCATAATCAAAGCCAAAAGGTATGACTTGCGGCACAATGCGCGGGAAAAGCACTGTAACATACGCCAAGCGTGGAAAATTGTCATACTCTAATTGTTTACAGTAAGTTAGATGACGTGTGGAACCAATCAGATACTACGCAATGCAGTAAGAGATCTACCTTCAGACAAATACAACTTGAACTATATTGGTCAGTAATGGTAGAATTTAACGTTTAAGAAACGCAATTAAATTCTCTGCGCATAAAGTTAGAGTTGCTTCGTGCAGCTATTAGTTTGGCTGCGATGCAAAGGAGAGGCGTTTTATCGTTTACAAAATTAGTCAAACAATGTAAATAATGTATTTAAATTTATTTATACATTTAGAATGCTAGATTCAGCATTATAAAAAGATGTTAAGTTCGAAAAATAGGTTAACTTTTCTTAGAAACTTTTCACGTTGATGGGACAGAAATATGGTGAATAAAAGTGTTGTTCTGCGTCGCGCTAGAAAATTTAGTGATTGCAACTCTCATTGGGATGTGAATTGCTCCGGTTTTATTTGCTACATACTAGGCCCTCCAGGATCATGAGTTTCCAGGTAAATTCCCTGTCTTTCAGCTCTCCACGAGCACTTTTCCCTCTCGCAGCATCACAGGCTGTGATGCTTGGAAAATATATTAAAGCTGTCTCTTCTAGCTGGAGATGGCAGGTATTTGAATCTTCGAAGTGTTTTGCTGATAAGCCCTTCATCCATGACCCTTCTTAAATATTGCAAATACCATGTCGAGGACGCTTAATGACCTGAAGGGGGTGTTCACGATCAATCATTCCTTTGTGAAACCACGCTCTTCGCAATGGCGCCCAAGCCCCTGGTTTATAGGCCAGGCATTGAAAATTTCTGGATTGCCTCCAACCCAATAGCCTTTGAGGTTTTTCTTTCTTTTCAATCCGGGATGTTTTCAATGAAAGACTGAGGAAGAACTGAAGACATAGAGCCCTCTAGATCGCCTGTGAGTCGGAATTACGCTAACATTTGTATTGATACACACTATCAGTTTCACGAGAGGGAGAGGGTTTGAAAAATTTTATATACCTGAAGTGTGATTGAGTGTCTAAAAATGATATCCAGCTTTACCATAAAAGGAAATTCCAAAATTTCCTATTCCAATATTCTTGATTTTACGGACTTTAGCGAAATTTTGCATATACCTACCCAGTTCCCTGCGATGGGCCGAGAAGTTCTCGATCCCAGACTTTCTCAAATTAAAATAAACATTTGAACAACTCTCAGGAGAGCATACAACAGCGACACCGTTCTCGTGAAGCGATATAAAGTTGAAATATCCACCTCGCACGATGCTTTATCTCCTTTTTTATCTGCATGGTACCTTACTTTTACTATCGTTAGTTCTTGTATGTAGTTTTGCGACTTATCTGGTTTATAAAAGACAAAAATTCTTGCATATTCCGAGTCCACCTATGTCGAGGTAAGAAGTTTTCATATCCTTGGATATTGAATGCTCTCAAGCAAACCAGTTTACCCTTTGTTAGCGCCAATTGCTTAGAAAAGGCCGTAGTCTTAACGGAGCCTCCAGTTGTTATGCAAGGGGGTTGATCCTACGGGAAAGCCAATTCGGAGGCGTGAGGAGGGCGGAGGTTAACGTGATTTAAAAGGCTAACCTTAGAGGCGACAACTACATCTGTAAAAGTGACTTACCTCAACATACGTAAATCTCGCTGGCCTTTGGTATTTTGTATAAGATCAAAAAAGTTTCACTTTACTAAGGAGAATTTTTTAAATAAAGTAATTTGTTTAGACCTCTTTTTAAATTTATAGATTGTCTGTGAGGAGTGGTCACTTTTAAGGAAGGATTGAAATTTGAAAAGACTTGGTCGGTAATTTGCAAAAGCAAAACTTTTGCTTTTAATTTCCAGTTGCTAAATTTAGGTGAATGATGACAATTGCTTTTTTTTCTCTTTTATTTTCGGTAAAAGTTCACGATAGATCCATTAAAGAGAAATATATTATGATGCTATCTTTGTTTTAAACACAATCTAATTTCCACAGCACCTTTATGCCTAGAATACCGGTTTAGAAATATATGCTATAGTGAACACTGTTTCCATAAGTAAGTGACTTTTCCATTCCTCACTTTTGATGACTGTGCTGCAGACTAAACCTCTGTCAATACGTCTTCTAAATATCTGTCAATAGCAAGATTATGAAACTTGCAACCAAACAATTTTACCAGCTTAAAGTTATTCAAAAATAAACTAAAAAAACTCAACCTCTTTATGCTCTTATTTCCACCATCTTACATTTTCGCTTAAGATGTATCACTTTTATTAAATGTACATTTATTGCCATCAATTGCTATTAAGTATCATTACTAAAAATATTTTCTTCCACTCCATCTTCCTTCACCTCAGCTTAAAAATCACATTAGAGTCCTGGGCCGGGTTGTTCAAAGCTAGGTTAAGATAACCCAGGGTTAGTGTGAAATCTGATTTCAGATCTGATGGCTTTAAGAGAAAATTCAGTTGGATTCTTTTTGTCACGAATATGATTATTTGATGCTCTATAAAGAACACCAGAAACTATCCTAAAAAGGCATTTGAATAAAGAAATTCAGATTAAAATTTAACCTTGGGTTAGCACTAATCATCCTTCGAACAACTGGGCCCTGAATGGTAATATTTACAAGTTCATTGCTGTTAGTTTTTTTAAGGGCCATGCAGATGAGATAAGTTCTATGCTTCATACAGGTTATCCCACAGATCAAAAGTTTCTGGAATGGTAAGCTTATTACTTTTTTTTTTTCATGCATGCTCATAACCTTGTATTTTTAAATATTATTCTTAGTGGTTGCAATAATGGTTACAATATTTAAAAGTCACCCTAAATTTCACTGTGGTGCACTCCATAATACTTCTTTCAGCACATCTTTATAATGAGGATGTATGTTAAAAGAGCATAAAATTTCAGGGAACTGAACTCTGATACTCTAACTGAGCTTATGTTGTCACAATTGTGCATTCTGGAAGGGTGTTAGTTGAAGTCTATATGTCTAATTAGGGTTACTACAGATTAACTTTAGGGTTAGTAAACAAGCCCTCCTTACTACCTTGAGCTGATTTTTAATTCTTAAGAAATACTTTTATTCCATAATTTAATGATGACAGTGCCTACTACATATAGAGACTATCAGATGCAATATTTTTTATCTGCACAAATTGTTCTGCACTTTTAATGAATAACTTTCTTTTTAGCTCATACAGGCTATTCAGAAAAAGATGCAATGCACAAATCTAAAGGAAACATTTTTCTCCCCAAAAAGAACATTCTGTTTGTAAATTTTTAAAGTAGGCTATTTAGAGACATTTACTGTCTTTCACATGCAGGCATATAGTGTATGGCAAGGTTCTTGTTGTCTGGTTCTGGCACATTCCTGTGCTTCTGGTGGTTGATCCAGAAATAATTAAGGTAAAAAGAAATTGTCTTTACAGGTTTAACACTATTAGTACTCAAGATTTGATTACATTTGCTTTAATGAGCATCTAGATTTATGACAAGTTTTAAAAATCATGAACTGATCACATATGTGTCAACTTAAACTAAGCTAACTTTTTTTGTGTAGAATGTGCTTGTAGTCAAGTGCCAACCTAAAGAGGCCATGTCTTATAAAATACTGGGAAGTCTCTATGGACAAAGGTATTTATCTTTCTGTTTTGGTTCCTTTCTTTTTTTGTTCTTTTCCTTGATTTGTACATCACCCTTCAATTGTATAGTCGATCCATTCTTCTTGCTTGCCTCTCTTTCTTCCTGTCTTTTTTCTTTCTTTCTTTCTTTCTTTCTTTCTTTCTTTCTTTCTTTCTTTCTTTCTTTCTTTCTCTCTCTCTTTCTTCCTTTCTCTCTTTCTTTCTTTCTTTCTTTCTTTCTTTCTTTGTTCCCTATCCTGAGCTTCTTTTCAGTCACTTTATCCAACCTACCATCTCCTTTTACTTCCATCATCTCTTTCATTTTCCCCTTTTTTGTAATACCAAAGGAATAAAGGTTTTGAAAACTAGGTGAAATGTCTTAAGAAGGCTATGGGTGGAATACACAATCACAAGAATCTCAATGCACATTTCAAAATCCAAAACTGAGACAGAATCATTTGGTACATGTGAACTCTGTACTTTGAAGGTTATACATTCACTATATTTTAACATTACAAAAACCACACTGAAACATTTGTTGCTCACAACAAGTAATAACTCAAAGTTACTGATCTGGCGTAATTCCTTTAAATTGAGGATGGCAACTAAGAGAAAAAATATAAGTACTTTGAGAGAAATATATGAGGCTTGAACAGGAGCTTGAAACTGATCATTGCAAAGCTTTGAGATTAGATATAAAGTTTAAAGCATCCCCATAATTTTTCAAGGTAATATTAATTGCCACTACCTGCATAACAATACTGTAACAGTTTCTAAGCCAAACACTTTATAAATGGGGCTGGGGGTGTATTTGACATCCAGCTATTCACTGTTATTGTAACTGTTGACTTACACTGATTTTTCACATGGTTTAACTGTACAACTTATCTGTTTCAGATTTCTTGGCCGTGGATTGGTAACCAACCTTGATGACGATTCTTGGAAGAAAAGACGTGCCATAATGCACCCAGCCTTCCATCGCAAGTAAGTATTCCCCATTGGATGAAAAGGGAAATTTGAAAGTCGTTTTTGAAATGATAATGTTGTACAGTATTATTTGATTGGAGTCACGTTTGGGATTTCATCTTAAAACTTAACAGAGACACCAAAACCATATTGTAAAACAGAAGAATTATGCCCAGCTGCAAGACTTCATAAACATTCTAAACATTCTAAACATTCACTTAATTAGTACTCTATATTAAATGGTGTAACTTTCAGGAGTCTAAAAGATTTGATGGGCTCTTTTAATTCTACTGCTGACCTTTTGCTTGAACACCTGAGTACAATGGCTGATGGACAAACAGAAATTCATATGTTTAACCAGTTTACCAAGGCAGCATTAGATGTCATTTGTAAGGTAATTAATTTATATTTTTTTGTATTTTGCCTCTTAGAATTTTCTGGCTGCTATAAGATACTTTTCCACTTGAGTTGAAGGGGTAGGGGGTAGGGGCTCTTCCATGTTCTACCTTCCATCCCCCCCCTCCTCTCTCTACAGACTTTGCCCTTGATACGATTAGTCCCATTCTCATACAAAGCACTTAATTCTCTGTAATTACCTTTGTCAAATCAGTCAGATGCACATAGTTAAAATATATGACGTTCTTTTTTATTGAATCAATCTCCATCATAATGGATAGTTGTTGGCCAGGACACCTCTGTTTTGTGCCCAAATGTTTGTATGGAATATGTGCCTTATAATTAAATATTTATTTGAATATTATTCTTATAAGAGAGAGCCAAGCTAGCTCACTCTCTTGCTATCTCACAGGTGGCATTTGGCATGGACTTAGAAATTATGAGTGGAAAGGACAACAAGTTTTCTGAAGCTGTCTCTTTGAGTTTTTATGGAGTAGAAGAAGCATCTTTTGACATCTTCCACCGGGTGTGTTCTTTATCTCGTCATTATCTAACGTAATTTCAACCTCAAGGTTAAAGATTTAACTTCCAACTTGCCCTTTGTGCAAAAAACGTTAGTCTGCATGAAAAAGGTGCTCAGGGGTAAGGTAAGTGGTAGACTGTTGGTTGAAGATATGACCCCCGAGTTACCCATCCCCTATACCATTAGTTGAGCTTACGATGCTTGTTACTATCTTGGACTAAGATAATTTTCAGAGTACCCCTCCCCTCCCCCCCCCCCGTTCGCTTCCCTACTTGGTGCTTTTTATGAGGGGTTGAAAACGTGTTTTAGTTTTAACTATTAATATTCGTGGGTGCTGTTTTAAAGTTCGTGGCCTAAAGTTTTTGTAAACGATTGTGGGTAAACATTTGCAAAACCATGACACTTGTTCCTATTTTTCCCCACTCTTTTGCAGTTCAACGTTTTCCAGTATCCATTCCAACGAAAAGTGGTTGAGGCTGTGCAGTTTTTGCGTGAAACTGGAAGGAGAGTGATTGAAGCAAGAAAGCATGCCATGGCAAGAGGAGAAGAGGTCCCTGATGATATATTACAACGAATTATTCAGCAGCAAGGTTTGCCAACGGAATCTGTTGTTTCCTTGGTCAGGGTCATGTTAGGAGAGGAAGCATAATTTTGAACGTAATTTTTCCTTTACCATCTTTTGTTTTGCGTTTTCTGTTTTCAGAAGAAATTCCTGAGCTTGGAATTGAAGACTTAGTGGATGATTTTGTGACTTTCTTCATCGCTGGTATTAAATATTTCTAATTTCCATCTTTTGAGTGGATGATTTCAAATTTTCTATATAGTTGTTTCTCTAAATCAAAAATAACCTTTCTGTACAGCGTTCTTGAAAAAATCGTGTTATGATACGATTTTGCAGTAACGAGTAATTTGCTCTAAACTTACTCTCAAGGTTAAAGATTGTGGTATTTGCTTGAATTTCGAGACGCTGGCGCTGTTGCGGCGTTTTCGATATATATTACGATGTTACGATGTTACGATGTTACGATGAGATTACGATGATATATTATGGTTCTTAGAACCCTTTATTCTACCTCACTATGACAAGGGAATTTAGTATTATCAACTGAGTTGATAACGTCAATTGGCCACCGTTAAGAGTTTAAAAGCTGACGTTTCTAGCGTTAGCCCTTCGTCCATCGCTTTGAGGAATGGCTAAGGCACGAAACGTCAGCTTTTAAACTTTTCACGGCGGCCAATTGACGTTATCAACTCAGTTGATAACACTAAATTATCTTGGTATACTCCCTCACCGATGCAGCACCACAGTTTCTTTAGAAACTGACCCCCTTTATCCCAATATGAACCTGAAAGTTGGTCAATTCAGCAGGAACCCGTTAGACATGTATGTACTACTTCAGTATAACAGTTCCAAATTAGGAAGGATGAACGCCTCAACTGTTTTCCCCTTTTCTTTTGTCCCACAGAGTAAGTAACTTTCTTTAAGTTTTGTTTGTTTTTCGTTGTAGGTCATGAAACTACTTCCAGTTTGTTGGCGTTTTGTGTTCTTGACCTAGGAGACCATCCTGATATTCAGGACAGGTGAGGTGGAGTCAACCAGGCTGTTTATAAGGTAATTTAGTATTGTCAACTGAGTTGAAAACGTAAATTGGCCACCGTAGGGTGTTTAGCGGCTGACGTTTCAAGCGTTAGTCCTTCGTCAGAGCGATTGACGAAGGGATAACACTCGAAACATCAGCCTTTAAACTCTTCATGGTGGCCAATTTACGTTTTCAACCTAGGTGATAACACTAAATTACCCTATTATTCTCTCCCACAGATGCAGCACCAGAGTTTCTTTAGAAACTTACCCCCTTTATTCATCAGTCTCTTCATACCTTCGGGATTGATACTCACATTTCTAATTTCCGCAAGAGAGAAGTGTTAATGGCTCGGTTCGGTTTTGGCCTTTTTTTTACTCATTAGTCCTCAGTCATTTCTGTAGAACAATTTTCAATTGGGTGTCGAAGGTATCTGGAATTTCTTGTAATTGCCATACTTTGGTCTGTGATTGGTCCCGAAAACTTGCGCCACTCTCTCAACCAATCAGATGTGAAATTTGAAACTAATCATGACCAGGTCGCTCGCGTTTTGTAGGCTTTACTTTGAGTTCTCACTAGCTCCTAAAGGAATTTTCCTTCGACTGATTAGCCGTTGTGATTACTGTGGCTTAGGTCTTACGACACTCAATCGAAAAGCGCTCTAATGCGCATGGCAAAAGATTCAATGCGGGGATTCAGTGCTGATGGGAAACTTGTTTCCCTACCTTTGTGCTTTTGTATGCGTGCGTCACGATGATGAGGAGTGGAAACGAGTCAGTCTTTGAGGGAAGGGGGTAAGTTTCTAAAGAAAGTGTGGTGCTGCGTCGGTGGGAGGTATAACAAAATAATTTGGCTTCATCAACTGAGTTGAAAGTGTAGATTGGCCACCGTAAAGAGTTTAAAAGCTGACGTTTCGAGCGTTAACCCTTGGGCAGAGCGAATGACGAAGGGCTAACGCTCGAAACGTCGGCTTTGAAACCATTTACGGTGGCCGGTGTACGTTATCAACTCAATTGATAAAACCAAATTATCCAGTCTGAGAAGTTCGTCGTGTAAGCTTGTACTAAACGTACCGACCACTCCTCTAAACTTACTTTGTTACATCTGTTTCCTGTTGCTACTTGCGCAAACGTACATAAACTGTTGTGTTTGATTGAAGCCTGGTTGGAGAAGTGTTTGACGTTCTGGGCGAAAAACAGCATGTCGCGTTTGATGACTTGGCTAAACTCCACCAGTTGGGATTGGTAAGGCTTCTTTTAGTGTTTAGTTATGTGCCAATGCAGTGACGTTCCATTATATACTCCTAGCGTCAGAAGTTATTAAGACTAATGAAATATATTTTTTTCTTATCAATTCAGGTGATAAAAGAGACATTGCGGCGTCATCCACCAGCGACTGGTAACATACGAAAGATTGAAAAGGGTCAAGATGTCGGAGGATATAAAATACCTACAGATGTCGCCATCATTGTACAGTATTTTTGCACATCTTTGTTTCTCCAGTTAACAACGTTTCTTAAGTTCGAAGCAAATCTATTAAGCAAATGCAAAACCGGATAAAAGCGCGAGTTTCAAGGATTTTTTTTCAGGTGGAAGAGAATGGGTAGTGGTTGTAGAATGGCTAGCAAGTTTTGAAGTGCCCGCCCCCCCTCCCCCATCCTACGTACCATCGAGCTGTCAGAGCAGCAGTGGTAGACATCTCTCAGTCTCTTTACGACAGTTGTGGGTCACTGTGGGTCATAATTTATTATGAAGAAGTTAGTTTGCAGTGGAAAGCCTTTTTAAGTGCGTTTGGTTCTCTCGTAGACGAGCACCTATGTGGCCAGTCACTTTCCTGAATACTGGAAAAACCCAGAGGAATTCAACCCTTACCGATTTGACGATGGCGAAGTACTTAGGAGGTATTCAGACAAGACAAAAATTTATATGAATTACTTTTTTAGATTTTTTTTTACAGTTGGCATTTTCCCTCTTGCGTTGCTTTGGCAGAGCTTGCTGACTCATTTCAAGTTGCTTTAACTTTTTTCCAAAATGGTTCCTCTGGCACATTGATGTAAAGAGTTTTTGTCTTGCGATGTTTCACAGTCTTAGCCATACTTGGGTTTGTGTTAAGAACATGTAATAAGTTTTGTTTTCTCGTCTGTTTTTTTTAGGTGTCATTACAGCTACTTCCCATTCTCACTTGGACCTCGCAACTGCATTGGACTAAACTTCGCCCAGGTAAACATGAGTGAGTGTTAGCTTTGGAGGACAGGACGCAGACAGATAACAGCGAAACATTTTGACATCTAAAAGTAGTCTTAGGTTGATTTAAGGACCTGGTCTGAGACACTCGATTATATTTTCTTCAACTTGCTTTCTTTTCCCCTGCATTTTTTTCATTCCAAGTCAAATTGCAATATGAGGTCGGCGAAGGGAAATCTTTGAATGGCTTACGGCCGGCGATTTCATAAGAATTTTCGGAAATCGCTCGAATATCTTCGGAAAGCTGTGAATACCTCTGCAGTGACAATTTAACTTATGCAGCCACTTCCGTCATCCCAGAACCGCTTTTTAACTTAACTGTAGACCAGAAATCAGTCAGGTAACTTTTATTTCCGTCAGTGCTAATTATTTCTCTCATACTAGATCGAGGCCAAGGTTCTGCTGTCACGCTTTCTTCAGACGTTCAAGTTTTCTTTGGTACCTGATCAGTCGCGCGCTGTTCTTGAAAGAGGGACCCTCCGACCCAAGGATGGTGTGAAGTGTACATTAACTAAACGGCACTAGGAACAAAAGCGTTCGGTCCAATTGAGTGTCTTTTAGCTGTTTTATACAAAGAAAATATTTATGGATAACACCTCACAGTATTCTGTTTATTTTGATTAAACGCCCAATAATGCAAGCCACGCGGATCATTATTAAAAGCGCGCCGTCTTTCAACAGTAATTTCTCCCTGTCTCCCTTTTTTCCTGATGGGTCCTTAGACGTTTGAAGACTGATCTGCATGTTAAATCCCTGGCTTTCAGCATTGGGTACATAATAACCATTACCTTTTTAAGGGAAAATCCAAAAATTAGCGAAAGATAGGCTTTCTTTTTTTGCAAATGTTCGACCATATTTAAACAGTCCGCTGGAAACTTTTTTCTGTTATTTAAGATTTGGTCACAAAGATTCAAACCAAACATTATACTTGATTCGGACTGAACACAACCAAGGTTTTTCTCCCTCTGAGCCATAGTTGTTAAATTATCGCCGAAGATAAAGTGCAAGAGACCTGCTAGCCAAGCGGTTGGCGCGTAGCGATCGCGAGAAGCCTGGGCTTGAGCTTTAGCCAGGTTAGTAAAAGGTATGGGTTGGAGTCGGTTGGGATGAAGAGCGACCCTGAGAACGAAATTGTGCATTGTGCTCCTGAGCAAGACACTTTACCCTCTCAGTGCCTTCCTCCACCAAAGAGATGTTAGTGTTGATTGGCTAAAAACGCGAGATGTGAGGCGCTAGCTTTACAATCCGTCCCTCTCCGGTGTTCACGGTGGTCAGTGGCCATTGAATTAGCCCAGACCCCAAAATAGCTTCTCGGAATAACACCACTGTGAAATATTAGTGGCTTATAGGGAAACAATCAATATTAATCGTTGGGGGGGGGGGGCATCACATGGAATGGAGGGAGGCTCAGTCGCTGATAGAGTTTTAAGGGGACACTATAGAAAATGGATTGCAAATAAAACGGGGGGGGAGACGGGTGCATGAGAATATTACAGAGCCTTAAGTGGGGATAAGGGAAATTTTATCATGATGTCCAAAATCTTCTGGCCCCTCCAGGCGTCATTACAAGCTTGTGCGCGGCATATGATCGGAGTAATTGGCTTCATTTCCAAAGGTATCAAGTAGCGTCTTGAATTGGTGAAGCTTTTTTTCATTCCCATGATGTTTTCATTCGATTCAAGAGTGATACTTGAAGGTGAAATTTACAACCAGTCAACCAATGGGAAAGTCTTAACCAGATGCAGATTATTGCCTTGAACCTCTGACTACCGAGCAAAAAAGCCTCAGACGCAAAATTTGACGGAGGAAACGGAGCATAGATAGAACTTAATTTTTCTTACTGTAATAAAACGGGGTTTGCAAATCAACGGTTATATCTTCATCCCTAAAATATTCCCTCGATTACTTAAATCAAGTCGAGATCAAACGCTGAAAAGAACAGTAGACCTAATACTGTGTTGAACAACTGACGTCACCTGTTTTCCAACCCCTGGGATTGTCTGTCTGCAGAGAAATGGCATTTCCGAACTCCTAGAAATATGAAATTATTAAAGGATATGCCCTCGGATTTCCGTTAAGGTTCCTGTCTTCGATGTTTGTGGTATGTTTTCATCTGAAAATATTCCGCAGCGAAAATTACATGCTATGTTCATTCTCATTGAATGACTGGTCGTCGAGTCTGAGTGGAAACAAAAAGTGAAAGTAGAGGAGACGCAGAAGAGAGGTGTACAAGAAAGACAAGTGCTTTCAAGCTCGTTTAATGACGTAGCATTTTCATTTATTTCAAGCACTCTGAACTAGTTATTTCACAAAACTTTGTAAAAACATTGTAAAAACACGCGAAATTATTACTTGTTGCTACTAATTAGAGATGTCCTAAGTCTTTCTTGATAATCAAAATATGCTTTATATGCAGCAATTTCATTGAAGGACCCGTTTTCTTCACAACAGGAATTTCTGGGAGCTACTTCCGAACCATCATAGCGAGAGATCGATAAGTAGGTTAATTTCGCTTCGTCAAAGTACACATAACGCCATCCTTGGGTCGAAGCGTGACTCTTTCATGAACATCGCGTGATTGGCCAGGTACCAAAGAAAAATTGAACGTCTGAAGGAAGCGTGACAACAAAACCTTGGCCTCGATCTGTTTAATGGCAAATTCAAAGGAAAAAAAGCATCATGAAATAAACTCTCCTGTTCATTGGTGTGAAGATAATATGTCGAAAATCGTTTGATAAAATTTATTATTATTTACATTGCTCTCTGTCTTGTCACTCTACAATTTAAAGGATCAATATCAGTATCTGGGCAACTGCCCACCTACCCCTCCCTTAACCCAACATTAACCTTAACTTGTTGTCAATTGACTGTTGTTGAGTTAAGGGAGGGGTAGGTGGGCAGTTGCCCAGATACTGATATTGATCCAATTTAAAAAAGAACAAGGTAATGTAGAGATCAAAACCAATTCTTACCACCAACCCCTTTTTGATACAGGTCGGGTTGTTCTGTTCCAGCTTACAAAATCCTCTTGAAAAATGATTTGCAACGCGCACTGGGACAGAAACGGGATCCTCCCTTAGGGAGGGGGTACTACCAAAAGTAGGTGTGCCTAATTGTTTTACAAGTACAATAGATGGAAAAAGAAAAGTGGATCACTGGCCCCACCCCACTTTACTGAATACTCCCTAGTTGCCTTACCTGTGCAAAGTTTTGTCCGATACAGTTCCGGGGTCCAAGTGAAAACGGGAAGTAATTGTAATGAGAACTAAATGCGGCATTGGAAAAAACAAAATTCTTCATACATTAGTTTGAAGTTCCTTTTTTCATTTGAGATACCTACAGTTACGTTGTATATAGGAGATAATGCCCGTGGGTGAAATATTGACAAAGTTACTGTGGTCGTTGTATGAGGCGAAAATTAATCCTTGAAGCTTTTAAGTCCTGTCATAAGAAACCTCGCTTGTCATGTTCACTTTTCAGCGACAGGAGTCCTTTTTAAAAACTAACACGAACGACTGTAACTCTCGCATTCGAATCAACCTTTTATTGCAAATGGCGGTCCTACACAATGTGCTGTTTGGGGTCGGATGACTAAAAAAACAATAGCATTGACTCTGAACACAACTTCCATCAAAGCACGCTTCTTACAACAACATGGCCAGTTTACCCTAGTTTTCCATAGTTCCTTTCGCTTATATAATGTAGGTCCTAATGACGTACATAGAGCATTACACCCAAGAAAAGAATTGTGGATAGGTTCTCGCTTAATCGCACAAGCGTATTCGAGTCAAAGGTCACGTAACGGTTTGCATGAGCGAATACAACTAACCAGCCCGTAAAGAGTAGCACTATATACCTCTTCAATTGTTCTTCATCGTCAAATCTGTAAGGATTGAATTCCTCTGGCTTAGTCCAGTACTTAGGAGATCGGCTGCTGGCAAAGGTACTCAACTAGAATTCAAGAAGCAAATTCTATTTCTTTTGGGGGAGTAAAAGGAGAGATCGTAATGACAAGTTTGTTCTAAAAAATTGAAGAGCCTTGAAGAAAAAATTGCACAACTCAAATAGTGCAGCACTGAAGCGGTCATTGTTTTTACTAATTGATTTACGTAGAAAAGGAATAATCCTGATCAAAATTGACTTTGAAAATTTGACAGAGAATATTTGACATGGTGTTCTGAGCTGTGTTAGCTCATTCTGTCGATTGTGAAATATACATGCTGCACACGGTTTGCAAAACCGCTCATGAGCCAAATAACCCTGTGTAAAAGCTACGAAAATTACGAAAATTGAGATGATGGCCGATTCTCGTCAACAGAAGGGGAAGGAGCAACAGAACAGTCTGAAGTAAATTTGAAATTTGCGTTAACAGAAAACAATTGCAAGATTGAACATACGTTAGAAACTGCAAAAAAAAAAAGCAAAAAAAAAATAAAACAAACAAACAATAAACCTACAAACTAACAGACAGACAGACAGATAGAGACGGATATAGAGACAGTGACAGAGACAGACAGAGACAGGAACAGAGACAGAGACATACAGACAGACAGGCAGACAGACAAGTAAAGCTAAGTAAACTGACATAAAGACAGACACAAAGTCAAACAGACATCCAAGATGAAAACAAACCGCGTTATGGAAAAATACTGTACCATGATAGGAACGTTAGCAGGTATTTTGTATCCTCCAATTTCTGCATCCTTTTCACACATACGTAGTGAACCAGCAGCTGCTGGAGGGTATAGTCGTAAAGTTTCCTTTAGTACCTATTATAAATAACAAGCAGTCGAGGTTATGATCTGTGGCGGATACACATCATCATAAATCATGTTGACAACATAGTCATAAAAAAAAAGTTTAAAAAGGAAGTGCTATTAACTAACTAACTTTACCTTTACGTTTAATACCGCGCTTTTCGACCGAGACTCGAGAAACAAAACTAAAGCAATCACTACGACTAATAAGAATAAAGGACGATGTTACTAGGACCTAATGAGAACTCAGAGCAAAGACAAGCAGTGAACAGTTTAAGCACGGGAAAACAGGTGTGAAAGAGTGGTGTTTGGTTTTAGTTTTGTATCTCATTGGTTGAGAGGGTGGTGCAAGTTTCTCGACCAATCAAAGCTCGAAGAAATGGAAAAGCGATGCAATTCAGGATTACTTTTGAGAGTAAATTGAAGATTGTTGAGAGGTATCTAGGAAAGTACTGCCACTTGTCGTTAAGCTCTGCGGTTTTCGATTTGACTTATTTCTCTTCTATGTTTGCGGGCAATTTCGCCAGAGAATTTCAGAAAATACACTAAAAAAAATACATCTAAACTGTGGCTACAAGCCATGAAATATTTAACCCAAAAACTGAGGAAATTTAAGGTTGCAGAGAAAAACCAACGATCCTTAACGAATGTATAGACGGACCACTGTGACCCTAACACTCGTTCGTGTTCGAGGTATTTCCCTTTCCTGTCTGTCACATTGTCAGGGAGAGTGTTGAAATCCGTCTTAGATCGCAGTTTTAAAGAGCACCTAGTTCTTGTGGGCCTGCCTCCTCCTTCTTCCTATTTTTCTTTCTCATAGAGGCAGAGTTATTGCAATCGGTAAAAGTCTGGTGAATTCACTAGCATCTGTGTGTTTTCTTTTTCCGGTTCAAAAAAGGTTAACAAAAAAAGAAGCGTTACCAGCCCGAGTTGTTTGAGTTTGGCCAGGTCATCAAACGCAACATGCTGTTTAGGTCCCAGAACATCATGTATTTCTTCCAACAAACTAGACAAGAAAAAAAAAGATTACGATGGGACGTAGTTTGTCTGTGACATTCCCACAGACAAACTAAAATTTAACGAAAATTCAGAAAGAAAACTCCTAAAACTCAGGTTTTTACGCTACATGTTTTGTTGAGGTTTCCGACCTGATAGTGCACGTCTTTCAACACCCTCAATCCATTCAGCCACAGTATATAAACGTATATAAACACGGGAACAGATGATTGTGTACGTTCAGGGAGTTATCGACATGCACTGCGACAACGTTGATTTCATCTTTGAATTTTACAAGCTTTTCAAACTCTGAAGCCGCATGGAGGGGAAAAAGGCAAATGTCGTGTTACATTTTAATGGTGTACGGCAACTTGAGGGGTGTTCAACAAGAGAAATGTTCAGGGGTTCAAAATTACCTTGGCTTAAAATTCGACAATTCAACTTAACGGTCACATCAACTTTCGTATAACTACCAATACCCCCGTAGCCCCCGCGCAAGTCACCAGCCACCCCCGGGGTTTCCTTCCCCTCAAAATTGGTTGGTCTTTAAGTCTTACCTGTCAACTATCTCCGGATGATTTCCCAGCTCAAGAACACAAAAGCTTAACAAACTGGCTGTAGTTTCGTGACCTTGAAAAATGATAATGAAAATAGTTAATAAACATTAAGAATATGCGACTGCTGCGTGGAGAGATAGGGAGGGTTTTTTTTTTCACATTTACGTGTAACGTGTCTTACCAGCAATGAAGAAAGTAACGAAATCATCCAACATGTCCTCAATGTCGAAGTTTGGAACTGATTCTAGAAAATTCAATAGATAAAAGAATATTTATCAGACTAACTGATACACTCACTGGTTGAATGACCAACTAAATGACTGGCTGACTAAGTGACTGACTGATTGACCAACTGACTGAGTGACTGACTGACTGACTGTCTGACTGGTTGACTGACTGACTGACTGACAAACTGGCTGACCGACTGATTGACAGACCGACTGACCTGCTATCTGACCGACTGACTGACTAAACTAACTGACCATCTTAACTTCTGACTGAATGACAGACTGACCCACTGACTGACTGCCTTATTAAGCAACTGACTGACTGACTAACTGACTGACTAACCGACTAACTGACTGGCTGACTGACTGACAGACCGACCAACTGACCCGCTAACTGACCGACTGACTGACTGACTGACTAACTCACTGACCAACGGAATGACTGACTAAACCAACCGACTGTCCTGACTTACAGACTGAATGACTGACTGATTGACCCACTGACTGACTGCCTTACTGACTGACTAACTGACTGACTGATGGCTTGATGGACTGACCAACTAACTGACTGACTAACTAACCGACTGACCAACTGACTGACTAACTGAATGGCTGGCTGACTGACTGACTGACTGACTGACTGCAACAACCAACTGACTGACTGACTGACTGACTGACTGACCGACTGACCTTCTGTACTGACTGACTGACCAACTGAATGAGTTAATAACTGACTGACTGACTGACCAACTGACCGACCGACTGCCTGACTAACTGAGTGAGTGAGTGACGGACTGACTGACTGACTTACTTACTCACTGACTGACTGAGTGACTTAGCAACTGAGTGGCTGAGAGACTGATTAAACACCTTGCTGTTGAATAATTCGTTGTAATATATCATCAGGGACCTCTTCTCCTCTTGCCATGGCATGCTTTCTCGCTTCAATCACTTTCCTTCCAGTTTCACGCAAAAATTTTACTGCCTTTACCACGCGCCATTGGTATAGATATTGGAAAACGTTCCACTAAAAAAATTTGAACAAACCAAAGAGTAGATGCGTTGATGTAGCACGGGTTAAAATAAACTGGGATCAATGTCAGTATCTAAGCAACTGCGCACCTACCCCTAACTAAGATGGTGGCAGCTTGGAGCGCTGTATTAATTTATTTATTGATTTATTAGTCTATATGGCCCAATAACACGAATTAAATACCTTGTGAAAAGGGTTCATTTGTGAAACGTGAACTCCTTCAAAGCTCAGAGAAACTGCATCTCTAAATGTCGTATCCTTTCCGCTCATAACATCTACGTCCATGCCAAAAGCAACCTACATAACGACAAAGAATTGAAAAAGAAGATGCTCCTTTAACCATTAAAAAAATAACAAAGTAACTCTCCAGAAACTCATGCTCGCAGATATTTTTTATCGTTTTCCTCTAGCCTAAGAGTAGACCCTTATTTTTCGCGCCACAGGACATGCGCTTCTCCGCCCGCGGAGGCAATTTATATCAACATGTTCCTGATGCATGAACCGATATCAATTGATATTCAAAAAGATTCATCATCAGCTATTCATCAACTAGATATTCAAAAATACCACGTCGACCTCCTGAAACGATATTCCGACTATTTCTGAAAACTGCAAAAGATGTGTCCATGACAACATGTTTGGCGTCTAATTGTTTATGCTTTGTAGTTTAACTACAAAAAGAAATTTATTGGCACTCAAACACACCGTTAAGACAGTATGTACATCTTGCTGATGAGTGGACAGGAATTATGATAATCACAAATCTTGTAGAAGTGAGATGATTTACGCATAACGCCTGTTTATGCCGGCATAATGTTCAATGATTGGTCGAAACACACCCTAATATTTGGAAAATAACTGTTGATATTCTAGCCAAGTAATAATCCCTTCAAGCCTTTCCTTAAAATCTAAAAAAGGAGGTTATTAAGTATGTTACGTTTTAATTTCCCCTGCATGAATCTGTCTGATTTATCATTGGTTCATTATGAAAAATTCTCTTTGATCTGATTGGCTGCTATGGTTAGTTTAGTTTCGTTTTCAAAATGCTTGATTGAAATGCGCTCTGACACGATTACTACACAAGGCCAGCTCAGGTGTTACCTTACAAATGATATCTAAAGCTGCATGACCAAACTGTTCAAGTATGCAAACTTCTGTTTTCCCATCGGCCATTTTGCCCAGATGAGAGATGAGGAGATCAGCTGTGGCATTAAAAGAACTCATCAAATCTTTAAGGTACCTGTCAGTGAGAAAATGATTTAAGCAGGATAGAGTGAAGTATATGCGTATTACATCTCAGGAAAATTAAATGTAAGTTCTTCACTGTACATCTAGGAATGTAGCAGCAAGAAACCTACATTATTAAATAGAATATGAAAGATGACCAATTTTGAGCTTGGTAAAGAAATAGACAAATATGTTTTTTTTCATCTTGTAATGAGCTTGGGACAAAGAAAACAATTCTGAGTTCACATGAGGAATCATAAATTGACTTTATTTTGGCCTTGCACGCTCACCATAGAGTCCTTGTGGCTCAGTGGTAGGGCATTAGACAGAGCACGGAATGCGAAGGTCTGAAGTTCAATTATGTGGACTAAAAATTTTTTCTTTGTTCCATGTTCATGACAAGACAAAAAACATCTTTCTCTAACACCATCATTACTGGTATATACAAAACCAAAAGTATTCACAATTAATACTTGCAAAACTAACAATACAAGCATTGCTTTTCTATATATTTTTGAGATTCTTTTTCTAAACATATCAGTACAAAGCTCATGATAATACTAAAACCAGCTTGTTTTAAAAAAGTTTGATAATAACTTAGCAGCAAATGTATTAATTGTCATAGTGATTTAGGTGGACCTTATGAAAAGCAAGCCATAATCTAGCCTTTCACCTCCAAGGATGATCAAAAAGGAGTTTCTCCTTTCAATATCACTAGACCTTCACCCAAAAAAGTTATGAGAAGAAAGGAAAATGTTCAGAAGGGGGTATCCATATGGTTTGATTTAGCACCATATTTTTTGAAGCTAAAATTATTAGAGGTATGGCAGACAATGTGGGGAACTGATATTTAGATCCCAGTAAAAGGGTTGACAAACTCCCAAAGTTTCCAGAAAATTAGATCCTGCTACTTAACTATCCATACTTACTTGCGGTGAAAAGCTGGGTTCATAATGCCACGTCTTTGTTTCCAGGCCTCATTATTCACATTGGTCGCCAGACCATTACCAAGAAATCTGAAAAAATGCACATCTTATGGTGAAAAGGGCTTCACTACAGGTCACCCAAAGCCAATCTTATTGTAAATATCACAGCATTGACTTCACATGTAAAAAGTCTTCATACAAAACTGATTCACATGTGCTACCTATGTCTTACCCAGTTCTGTGGCAACCAGAAGTAACACCATCCCTCTTGGATGGGACACCACTCTGTGACAGGTTAACCCTGCCCCCTGCCCCTGCGCCCTACCCCGCCCCCCTCCTCCACCCAAAGATGCAAAATTACCATCAACCTTCTAATTTTGTAGTTCTGGGTAAAGAGATGTGCTGTGACAGTAAAGCTAAGAATACAACATGGTGAACTTGGCCAGTACAGTTTAAACGCACAACTTTTCATCTTGAAACCAGCCCAGATTTGTCATAATCAACCAAGTGATCTTTGCAGTAATGAACACTATACTTAAGCAGTAGTGGCAAGATGGTTTTGCGAATACCAAAACTTCAAGACCTGTGAGACTTGGTGGAAACTATTCCCAGTAAAATATCAAGTTTATGAGCAAGAACACTAGACCTTGCCCCTTAAACTTTTGTCACACTATCCTACTATATATGATCCTATATATGAACTTTGTAATGGGCCTCGCTCATCATAGAGTCTCTTAGGCTTAGTGGTAGAGCATTGGAACACAGAATTTGAAAATCTGAGGTTTAATTCCTCATGGGATGTCATGATTTTTTTCTTTGTCCCATGCTTGTGACAAGACAAAAAACATCTTTCTTTATTTCTTTACTGTGCTCTCATTATCATACACATTATTCAGGAGAAGTGGTGTCTCGACTAATTATGTCTGGGAGTGTACCTATGAAATTCTAAACAAACTTTAACAGGTTCACATAAAGTACATTTACCTTTGCCCAAAGAGATAGCCAAGAGCAGTATAGGCTAAGAAGTGCTTTGGGAGGTTAGAGGTAACAAGAATGTCCTATGAAAAATTGAAAGAAAAAACAATTTTCTGGCCTACAATCTGAAAGACATCCAAAGCTATGCACAGAGGTCAAGCTTGAAAAATCAACCAAAGGTGAAAAATAACTCTCTAATACACACACCTTTAAATTTTTGTTTCCATGCATAAGTAAATGTACATTTAAAAATCAACATTAATCACTGTATTTTTACTGATGAATGACTAGTAATTCTTGGAAATTGTTATATTTCCTGGATATTACAGAAAAAAGCTTCAGAAGTATTCCTTAATTAAGACATGGGAAAGCACAAAATACCTGATTCAAAACACCAAAATCACAAAAATTATCACACCTTCCACATTTGCGTTTCAAGGAGCCTAATTACAAAGAGTTTTTTTGTCCAGATTATTTAGTTTCCAATATATACTATTATGAAACTCAAATCAATTTGTTTCAGGTAAACTGTATAAGTTGAACTGAAATTAATCTATTCAACTAAATCATTGTGGAAGTTAAAATCGACTTCAAGCTTCAAACTTAATTTGGAGTCTGTTTAAAAACTCAATAGTAATACCTATTTATTGGCTGTATAAGTTTATAATGTGTTACATTTTCTCAACAAGTACCTTCACCATCTCTGGATCAGTTATTACAATAAAGGGGAAATGCATAAACCAACACACAAAAATTGCACCATATTCGATATGCCTGTATAAAAAAAAAAGAACAGTCAAATCATAAAAATAATTTAGTTAAAAATATAAAATTAATTTGCCATTAAGTCAACCTAAACTCAAAATTTATTTATGATCTAGAATATAAAATCACATTTACCAAAGTACTTAACCCTTTAACCCCTAAGAGTGACTAGCATCTAATTTCTCCTTTCAATATCATCCCTGAAACACACTTTAAGGTCACAAGAGAAAGGGAAATGATCACCTTGTAAAGAAGGTCTTGAAGCAAAACTATGTTTATGAAGTTCGAATTTTGTCACCTTTTCAAACTTCTTTAATTCCCCCAAAGACCTTCAAAAATACCATACTTAAACCTAAAACTAGCTCATATCTTTAGCACTGTCAATAGAACAGTTATAAGAATTCACTCCTAAACACTATGACACAAGAAGTTACTCACCACTGTAGAAATAAGCTGTGAATGGGATTTCCTGCATCACGGCATGCAATAACGTCTTTTGTGTGCCCAGAGAAGAAACTTTAAAAAGTGAAAAAAAGAAAAGAAAAGAAAAAAGAAACTAAACAAACATTGTATGTAGAGTTGTTTGGTGGGAATGCTTTTGTGAAAAATTCCTTTCAAATGTCCTTCCTTGTTATTCCTCTTTAAGTTTCTGAGAGAGACATAAAGCAACTGATACAGTTGAGAGCTTGACTCATTTCTTGGTTCTCTACAACCCCCTTCACCCCCCCCCCCTCCCCCAGCACTATAGAGAAGATTTTAGGGGTACTATTGTGAAAGACCCAAGAGAAAGGAGAGTTTGAAAGGGGGTCACATACCAAGATAAGGTTAGTAATGGACCAAAGTTTTGACTAAGGACAAAAAATCTTGCCAGTTACAATTGATGTACAGCCAGAAGCCCAGCAAAAAAATTTGCACTGGTCATGTAAACTATTTTTCAAGAGGAAATATTCTACAAGTAAAGAAAAAAGATCCCTTTCAAGGAAATTTTAAGTTCTAAGTGTGAAATAATTTCCTTTAAACAGCAAATGAAGTAGACATCTGTTACCTTCAGTTAATACGTAATATTTTAAACAACGAAGTGGTTCAAAACAATATAATGCTGTATTCCCTTAAATAAGCACCTGGTTGATTCTTCAAAACTTTGGCTAAAGGAATGGCGACTTATTGAAAGGAGGGCACTTAATTGAGGAGGGTGCTTATTAACTAAGTGCAATAATACGATGAAAACTGAGAGATGCATATGAAGGAACTCTGCAAGCACATGGAGGAGGAAATAACTGGAAGTGAATTTAACTGATAGGAAACTATTCTCCCATTCTGATTCCCTTGTAGTTCAAGTTTAAATTGGCCTAAATAAGGTGGCAATGAAAAAAGGTTTTCCTTGTTTCCTTAATATTTAGGAAAGTTAGGGAAGAAATGAGGGGGGGGGGAGAAGAGAGGGAGTTCATACAAGGGGGACCCTTGATCAACTTTTAATGGCTTGGGAGAGGGTTCTTATGTGGGGGAGGGTATTAGAGCATGGGCACTTATTTGAAAAAATACAGTGACTGAGGAGGGGTAGAAAGGAGGGATAAAGGATAAGCGAATCAATATCAGTATCTGGGCAACTGCCCACCTACCCCTCCCCTAACTCAAGAACAGTCAATTGATAACAAGTCAGGGTTAATGTTGGGTTAGGGGAGGGGTAGGTGAGCAGTTGCCCAGATATTGATATTGATCCGGATAAGTTAAGGTAGACTTGGGAGAAAGACTATGTTCCCCAACTTCCATAGAATACTGAAGCTCCCTAATTCTCTACATATGATGTTTATGGGGCATATAGCAGCAAAAGCTCTCCTGTCGGGTCATTCTTCTTGTTGCAGGAAATTCGATTGCAACATAATGAAGTGACAGGTTGACTGCCTTTCTCAAAGTCGCATCCCGTGCATTAGTATTTAATACACCCAGTTCTTTCTCAAAATTATAATTTCGCCAATTATCAAAGGAGCTACCTTTACTTTATGCGATTCAATTTGTGTGCAACGGTTCGCCAATTGTTCTTGCAACATACATTCTAAGCAGGGGTTACATTGGTTCCCAAATCTTTGTGTCCTTCTTAAGACTGTCACATAAAGTTCCTAACTGTTACTGATGCAGGCCTTTCAACGTTGTACACGCACAAATTTGCCACGAACGGTATACGAAGACATATGATACCCGATGAGTAAATTATCCATAAGATACAGTCATAATTAAGAGGGCAGGTTTAGCCAGAAGTGGAAATAAGAGATGTAAGTTGAACAAAATAAACATCTCACCTCGTCAGTGGCGCAGATGGTATGTGGCCAAATTTGCGCCTTAAATGAGCTATATATAGCGCAAAAATACAGATAAGGACCAGCAATAAGGCGATCAGGGCACCAAGTGCAAAAAAAATCTGGTACAACATCGCGTGAGTGTAGGTCTACTCGGGGAAACTCCTCAGCTCTGCAACTTCTGCAAGAGATTACAACAGACGCGCATGGGAGACCTGGTAACGAATTCTTCGGGTCTTGCAAAATTTTAAAATCTACCAGATCGGGAAAGAAAAACACTTTCCTAATATAACCAGATGACTCTCTTGGAAGGAAGTGTAAAATTCAGATCGTGAATTCCATGTTAAAAATGTTCCCATTAATTTTTCTTTTTCTCTAGCAAGACGATTTCAACTGTAAATATGATTTTCAGCTTTTGCCATTGACCAAGTGATTGAAAGGAACCACACAACTACACACTGTTCTTATCAAGTGTATGACCATATCAGTCAGTGTGGAATCAAATCTGTGGAGAGTTCTGGCTCTCAAGGAGCCTGTCATTAGCGATTGGCTCTCTTCGCTGTTTGATGACCTGTGATGCTGTTTTGGTTTTTCCTCGCATCTTGACCAATTAGTGTCGTGTTATATACTTATTCATGAGGCACTGTTTGCAGTTTTAAAGTAATTGTTCACCTTAACACCATTTTGAAGCCAAATTTTAGCTTTTCAATACCTGTGGCAATAGGTATTTCTTCTTGTTTAAACAATAATAACTTCATGTACCAAGGCTTCTTTGTGTAAGATATACCTCCTTGAGCCAAGCCACCAGATCCCTCCACCCACTCCACCCTCAACGTCCCTGAGTTGAAAGAGGGCCTTCCAGGGGATTTGAAGGACATCGCAAATTGGACCGAGGGATTTTTCTTCCGGATCGGTGGGTGTTCGGATCGGTGTTAATGAATTTGAAACACTCGAATGGTTTTGGGGATCGAGGAATCACATAACGAAATCAGGTTAACAACAGCCGTTAGAAAGTAACTTTACCATTTGGTAAAGTATATTTTCAAGTATTTTCGCTATCATTTTTATCTCATAATCAGCCACAGTCTACGTGGCTAATTATGACTCATCTGAGATCATGAGTGGCTAAAACTGGTGCTGCATTATCCACCACATAGCATTATTCATCCTTCGAACAACACGGGCCTGAGGACTAACTTATTTGGTAGCCTCAAAACATTCTTGAGCGAAGGTTTTTGTCGTTCAAGGAAGTAATTTCGATGTTTAGAGATATCTTTCCAATTTAAACTTAAAGAAGGTAAATGCAGCATGAAAGTTCTTGCGGAACAAGCAGAGGGTAAAATGAACTGTCGGGCAGAATACCCATCAAATCACTCGAGACAACAAAGGAAACGGAACGTACACAACCTTACTTTTTCTAACTGTGGTGATACGGGGTTTGCAAATCAACGGTTACAAATTGCACCTTCATCTATGAAACATTCCCTCGATTACTTGAATCAAGTCGAGATCAAACGCTTAAAAGAATAATAGACCTACTATTATGTCAAACAACCGACGTCACCTGGTCTCCAACCCTTGGGATTGTCTGGCATTTCTGCGCGCCTAGAAATATACAATTACTTAGGGATATGCCCTCGAATTTCCCTTAGGATTCCCGCCTTCGCTGCTTGTGGTACGTTTTCTTCTGAAAGTATTCCGCAACGAAAATTACATGCTATGTTCATTCTTACTGACTGACTGGTCGTCGAGTCTGCGTGGTAACAAAAGGTGAAAGCAGAGGAGACGCAGAAGAGAGGTGTACAAGAAAGACAAGTGCCTTGAAGCTCGTTTCAGTAACGTAGCATTTCAGTTTAATTTATTTCAAGGACTCTAAACTAGTTATTTCACAAAACTTTGTGAAAGTACCGTAAAAATATACTGCATGATTACCTGTTGCTACTAATTAATTAGAGATGTCCTCAGTCTTTCTAGGTCATTAAAATATGCTTTATATGCAGCAATTTCATTGAAGGACCCGCTTTCTTCACAAATGGAATTTCTGGGAGCTGCTTCCGAACCATTATAGCGAGAGCTCGACAAGTAGGTTAATTTCGCTTAGTCAAAGTACACATAACGCCATCCTTGGGTCGAAGCGTGACTCTTTCAAGAATATCGCGTGACTGTCCAGGTACCAAAGAAAACTTGAACGTCTGAAGGAAGCGTGACAGCAAAACCTTGGCTTCGATCTGTTTGATGGCAAAACAAGAGGCGATAATCAGACAATTTTCAAAGGAGAAAAAGCTTCATGAAATAAACTAACGAAAGGAAGTGGCGCGAAACGGGGCTGTTCTCCTGTTCATTAGTGTGACGATAATATGTCGAAAATCATTTGATAAAATCTCTTATTAATTACATTGCTCTCTGCCTTGTCGCTCTACAATTTTAAAAGAAAACAAGATAATGTAGAGATTAAAACCAATTCTTACCACCAACCCCTTTTTGATACCAGTCAACTTGTTCTGTTCAAGCTTACAAACTCCTCTTGAAAAATAAATGAAACGCGCACTGGGACAGAAACGGGATCCTTCCGTGGGGGTCCTACCATAAGTATCTTGTGGGCATTTTGAGGTGTGCTTGGTTGTTTTACGAGTACGATAGATCGAAGATCATCGAAAAAGAGAAGGGATCATAAGGGATCCCCCCACCTTACATAACCGGATACTCCCTAGTTGCCTTACCTGTGCAAAGTTTTGTCCGATACAGTTCCGGGGTCCAAGTGAAAACGGGAAGTAATTGTAATGAGACCTAAAAGCGGCATCGAGAAAAAAAACAAAATTCCTCACACATTAATTGAAGCTCCCTTTTCATTTGAAACATATACAGTTGCGTTGTATACCGGGGATAATGCCTGAGGGTGAAATATTGACGAAGTCACTGTCGTCGTTGTATGAGGCGAAAATTAATCCTTGAAGCTTTTAAGTCCTGTCACAAGAAACCTCACTTGTCATATTCACTTTTCAGCGACAGTTAAGTCCTTTTCAAAAACTACCCCCCCCCCCTCGATGATCACGCAACACGAACGACTGTTACTCTAGCGTTCGAATCAACCTTTTATTGCACATGGCGGTCATACCCAATGTGCTGTTTGGGGTCGGATGACCAACACAACAATAGGATTGACTCTGAACACAACTTACAACAACATGGTCGGTTTACTCTCATGTCCCATAGTTCCGTTCGCTTGTATATTGTAGGTCCTAATGGCGTACATTGAACATCGTACACAACAAGAGAAATGTGGATAGGCTCTCGTTTAATTCCACAAGCATATTTGCGTCAAAGGTCACCGTAACATTTTTGTATAGACGAATATAACTAACCAGCTCGTGAAGAGTAGCACTAAATACCTATTGAATTCTTCTGAGTCATCTGTAAGGATTGAATTCCTCAGGCTTAGTCCAGTACTTAGGAGATCGGCCGCTGACAAAGGTGCTCATCTACAAATTAATAAGCACAACCTTATTCGTTTGGGGGAGAAAAAGGAGGAAGCGAAACGAAAATTTTGTTCTAAAAAATTTAAAAGCTTTAAAGAAAAAATTGCACAACTCAAATAGTCTAGCATTAAGCGCTCGTTGTTTTTACTGACTGATTTACGTAGAAAAGGAAATTGAAAATTTGACTGAGAATATTTGATATAGTGTTCTGAGCAGTGTTAGGTCATTCTGTGAATTGTGAAATATGTACATCGATAATTGCAAAAGTGTTCGTGAGTCCATCAACCCTGTGCGAAAGCTACGAAAATTATGAAAATTGAGATGAGGGCCGATTCTCGTCAACAGAAGGGGAAGGACCAATTGAACTGTTTGAAGTAAATTTGACATTTGCGCTAACAAGACGGAAATAGAGACAAAGACAGAGATAGAGATAAAGACTATACCAGGATAGGAACGTTGGCAGGTATTTTGTATCCTCCAAATTCTCTATCCTTTTCACAAATTCGTAGTGAACCAGAACCTCCCGCAGGGTATAGACGTAAGGTTTCTTTCAGTACCTATTAAAAGTGACAAGCAGTTTAAGTCATGATCTATGGCGGATACATATCATCATAACTCATGCTGACGACGTAGTTATAAAAAAAAGTTTAAAAAGGAAGCGCTATTAACTAATTGACCTAACCTTTACGTCTAATACCGCGCTTTTCGATTGAGCGTCAAGAAACAAATCTAAAGCGATCACTACGACCAATCGGAACAAAGGACTATGTCAGAGCAACAACTCAGAGCAAAAACAAGCAGTAAACAGCTTAAGCGTGGGAAAACAGGAGTGAAAGAGTGGCGTTTGGTTTTAGTTTTGTATCTAATTGGTTGAGAGGATGGTGCAAGTTTTCAGGAGCAATCAAAGCTCGAAGAAATGCAAAAACAATACAATTCAGGATTACTTTCGACAGTAAATTAAAAATTGTTCAGAGGCATCTGGGAAAGTACTGCCACTCGTCGTTAAGCTCTATGTTTTTCAATTCGACTCATTTCTCTTATAAGTTTGCGGGCAACTTCGCCAGAGAATTCTTAAAATGCGCTAATAAACGGCTAAACTGTAGCTACAAGCCATGAACTATTTAATCCAAAAACTGACCAACCAACGATCCCTAGCAGTCTCGTGAATTCACTAGTATCTGTGTGTGTTTTATTTTCTTTTTTTGGTTCAAAAAAGGTTGCTAAAAAGGGAAGCGTTACCAGCCCGAGTTGTTTGAGTTTAGCCAGGTCATCAAACGCAACATGCTGTTTAGGTCCCAGAACATCATGTGTTTCTTCCAACAAACTGGACGAGAAAAAAAGAAAAGATTACGATGTAACGTAGTTTGTTTGTGACATTCCTACAGACAAACTGAAGTTAACCCTTTCTCCCCCATGAGTGACCAAGACAGAATTTCTCCTTACAATATCAATACAATACCCACCAGATAAATGATGAGAATAAAGAAAAATATCAATTTAGAGATAGCTAGTTGATCCAATACTAAATTCTCTGAACAAACATTATTAGAATTGTATCGTTGACAGTAAAAAGATTTGCAAATTTGATCTGGAAGCTAAAGGGTTAAAGAAAACTCAGAAAAAACTCTTAAAAATCAGCCAGGACATGACCTCAGCCTTCTAGATACACGTTGGCTACCACTACCATCCATAGTTTAAAGAAGCACTAGTTATATTTGAAACCCGATAGGTTTCTATACGCAACATATTTTGCAGAGGTTTCCCGACCTGATCGTGCACATCGTTCAATACCCTCAATCTGTTCAGTCACAGTATGTAAGCACGTGAACAGAAGATTGCGTATGGTCAGGGAGTTATAGACATCATCTACGACATCGTTTATTTCATCTTCGAATTTGCGCAGTTTTTTAAACTGAGCTCTGAAGCCGCATGGAGGGAAGGACCCAAATGTCATCTCACATTTTTATGGTATATGGCAACTTGAGGAGTGTTCAAAAAATTATCTTAGTTTAAAATTCGACAATTCAACTTAACTTTCACATCAACTTTCAAACAACTACCACCCCCCACCCCACCCAAGTAACCAACCACTTCCGGGGTTCCCTCCACGTCAAAATTGGTTGGTCTTTAAGTCTTACCTGTCAACTATCTCCGGATGATTTCCCAGCTCAAGAACACAAAAGCTTAACAAACTGGCTGTAGTTTCGTGACCTTGAAAGATGGTAATGAAAATAGTAAGTACACACCGAGAATATGTGTCTGCTGCGTGGAGAGATGATAAGAGTTTTTAAGCCAACTGATTTACATACGAAGTGTCTTACCAGCAACGAAGAAAGTAACGAAATCATCCAACATGTCCTCAATTTCAAGGTTTGGAACTGATTCTAGAAAATTAAAAAAGAATACTTATCAGACTGACTGCACACTGAATGACTGACTCACACACTGACTGACTGACCGACCGACTGGCCGAATAATAAACTAACTGACTGACTGACTGGCTGACTGACTGACTGAATGACTGATTGATTGACTGATTGATTGAAAGAATAACTGACTGACTGACCGGCTGACTGACTGACTGACTGACTGACTGAAAGGCTGACTGACTGACTAGTTGACTGACCAACTGAATGACAGACTGATCGACTGACTAACTGATTGGCTGACTAACTGACTGACTGACTGATTGACGGACTGACTAACTGACTGGCTGAGTGACTGTCTAACTGACAGACCGACAGACTGAAAAACTAGCTGACTAACCGACTAACTGACTAACTGACTTACTTACTGACTTACACATTGGCTGACTGAGTGACTCACCAACTCAGCAACTGAGATACTGATCACATACCTAACAAAACTAACCTTGCTGCTGAATAATTCGTTGTAATATATCATCAGGGACCTCTTCTCCTCCTGCCATGGCATGCTTTCTTGCTTCAATGACTTTCCTTCCAGTTTCACGCAAAAACTTTACTGCCTTTATCACGCGCCATTGGTATGGATATTGGAAAATGTTCCACTGAAAAAATGTAAATAAACCAAAGAGTAGAATCATTGATGTGCCACTGGTTTAAACATATTCGGATTAATGTCAATATCTTAGCAACTGCACACCTTCCCCTAGCCCAAAAGGTAGCAGCTTGGAGCACTGTATCGATTTATTTACTGATTTATTAATCTATGTGGCGCCATGGCACGAATGAAATACCTTGTGAAAAATGCTCATTTGTGAAACGTGAGCTCCTTCAAAGCTCAGAGAAACTGCATCTCTAAATGTTGTATCCTTTCCACTCATTACATCTACGTCCATGCCAAAAGCAACCTACACAACGACAAAGAATTCAAAACGATGATGCTCCTTAAAACATTTAAAAAAATTAACAAAGTAATCCTACTTACTCCTGCGTCCAGATATTTTTTCATCAATTTCCTCTAGCCTACGAGCAGACCCTTATTATTCGCGCCGCAGCTAGGACACACGTTTCTCCACCCACGAGACGATTTGGGACAAGTGGGGGAGGGGTTTTCCAAGGGTCTGGCACCGGAACCCTTGGAGACTTCGGGCTTGTTTGAAGTTTAGCTATTAACACCATTAAGGCAGTGTATACACCTTAGTGGACAGAATTCATGATAATCAAAAATATCTTGGTCGTTCAATAATTGGTCTAAATACATCCTAATATTTGGAAAATAACTGTTGATATTCTACTCAAGTGATAATCCCAAATTTTCAACCTAAACCTGAATTTGTCGAAAATAAAATCAATACCTTTCCTTAAAAGCTAAAAAAAGAGGCTATCAAGTATGTAAGCATACATTGCACCACATAAGCAAAGGCTGAATTAGTCTTCTCATTCTGGCATTTTAATTTCCCCGGCTTGAATCTGTTTGATTTATCATTGGTTCTTTATGAAAAATACCCTTTGATCTGATTGGCTGCTGTGTTAAGTTAAGTTTCGTTTTCAAAATGCTTCATCTAAATGTGCTCTGAATCACTTACGACATAAGGACCAGCTCAGGTGTTACCTTGCAAATGATATCTAAAGCTGCGTGACCAAACTGTTCAAGTATGCAAACTTCTGTTTTTCCATCGGCCATTTTGCCCAGATGAGCAATGAGGAGATCAGCGGTGGCATTAAAAGAACTCATCAAATCTTTAAGGTACCTGTCAATGAGAAAGTGATTTAAACAAGATGGAGTGAAGCATGTGCATATTACATCTCAAGAAACTTTTGAAATGTAAGTTCTTCACTGTACATCTACAAATGTAGCAGTAAGAAACAATTACATATTTTTAAATTAAGAATATGAAACATAGTAAATTTTGAGCTTGGGAAAGATGCTTTTTCGTCTTGAAATAAGCATAGGACAAAGAAGATATTTTGAGTACCCATGTGGAATCATATGTGGAATTCGTAATAGCCTTGCTCACCATCTCTGTGGCTCAGTGATAGGGCATCAGAACAAGGAATTGGAAGGTCCGTGGTTCGATTCTTCATGGGTATTCAGAATTTTTTTCCTTGTGCCACACTTGTGACAAGACGAAAAACATATCTTTCTCTCACGCCATCATTGCTTACAAAACTGAAATTACTCACAATACTTAAGAAACTAGCAATAAGGATTACTTATTCTTTTAATAAACTTTGCATTACAAAGCTTATGATAATACAAAAAACAGCTATTTTTTAAAAAGTATGATAACAGCTAAGCAGCAGATGCATAATCATTATTCATGATAGTGATTCAGGTGGACTTTATGAAAACTGCAAGCCAATATAATCTACCCTTTCACCCCCAAGGATGATCAAAAAGGTGTTTCTCCTTACAGTAGCAATAAAACTTCACCCAGAAAGGGTTTGAGAAGAAAGGAAAATGTGTAGTTGGGGGTATATATATGGTTTGATTTAGCCCCATATTATTGAGGCTAAAATTATAAGAATTAAATGTGTGGTAGACAATATGGGGAACCATTATTTAGATTTAGAAGTGAAAGGGTTGAGGTATACCCCCAAAAAGTTTCAAGAAAATTAGGTCCTGCATGCTACTTAACTATTGATACTTACTTGCGGTGAAAAGCTGGGTTCATTATGGCACGTCTTTGTTTCCAGGCCTCATTATCCACATTGGTTGCCAGACCATTACCAAGAAATCTGAAAAAATGCACATCTTGTGGTGAAAAAGGCTTTAATATAAGTCACCTAATTATGCAACATTTACTTAACATGTAAAAAGTCTTTGTACAAAACTGATATGAATATGCTACCGTTATCCCCCTTGGATGGATACACTCTGTAACAGGTCAACCCTGCCCCCCTCCCCCTCCCCCATCCCCTCTCTTCTACCCAAAGGTTTTTTTAGGGTTCCAAAAGCCTACAAATTACCATCAGCATTCTAATTTTGAACTCCTTGGTGGAGACATGTGCTGTGACAGTAAAGTGTCTCTAGCTAAGCTATGAATACATGGTTAACTTGGCCAGTAAAGCTTAAAAGCACAACTTTTCATCTGGAAACCAGCTCAGATTTGTCATGATCAACCTTGACAACAAAATTGAGATGTGAATATGAAAGGAATCTTTGCAGTAATGAACACTCCTTAAGCAGTAGTGGCAAGACAGTTTTGCAAATGCCAATACCTGAAAACCTATGAGACTTGGTAGAAACTATCTCCAGTAAAATGTCATGTTTAGGAGTTAGAACACAAGGGCTTGCCTCTTGAACTTTTTCCAGTCTGTCCTATTGATACCAAAGAGGACAAATAAAGATTCTTTACTTCCAATTTTGACCAAACCATGGTCTCTAACACCTGCAAAGTTCTTATACTTTTAAGTTAAAGAGTCCCTTGCTCTGGCAAAAACATGACAAACCACTGTGACAATAAAAATTACACTCCCAGACACATCTGTTGGGACACCTACTGTCTCCCTTGCCTCTCTCAAAGTTGGTCTACAAGATGGCATAGAGACATTAGGAATTAACAACACTGAGTGAGGGAGACGGAGAATTCGAACATTACGAGATGTTTAGAATGCCACAAGATGAAAAACATCTTTCTCTATTTCTTTACCAAGCTCTCTCTTATTCTAAGATACATATCGTTCAGGAGAAGTGATGTCCAAACTAATTATGTCTGGGAGTGTAGCTATTATCTTAAACAAGGTAACATAAAGTAAATTTACCTTTGCCCAAAGAGATAGTAAGGATTGCAATAGGCTAAGAAGTGCTTTGGGAGGTTAGAGACAACAAGAATGTCCTAAGAAAAATTGAAAGGGAAAAATTTTTTAGCCTACAATCTGGAAGATATCCAAACCTATATGCAGGGATGTCAAGCTTGAAGAATCAACCAAAAGTGAGAATAACTCTCCTATGCAACTAACTTCAAATTTTTTTTTTTCCATGCAAAATTGCAGAAAAAAGTCGACATCAATCACTGTATGTTTATTAATGAATGATTAGTAATTCTTGGAAATTTTTAATTTCCTGGATATTATTGAAAAGCTTCAGAACTGTTCCTTAATTAAGCCATATGAAAGCACAAAATTACTGAATTAAAATACCAGAACCATGAAAATTATCACACCTTCCACATTTGTGAGTCTATTATTCCAAGGATTTTCTTTTACCAGATTACTTAGCTTCCCAAAAATGCTATCATGAAACACAATCAATTTGTTTCAGGTAAACTACATAAGTTGTACTGAAATTAATCTTTTCAACTAACTCATTGTGGAAGCCAAGACTTCAAGCTTCAAGAGTTAATTTGGAGTCGGTTTAAAAACTCAATAGAAATATACTTATTTATTGCATATATAATTTTATAATGTATGTTATATTTTCTCAACAAGTACCTTCACCATCTCTGGATCAGTTACCACAATAAATGGGAAATGCATAAACCAACAAACAAAAATTGCACCATATTCGATATGCCTGTAAACAAAAGAACAAACAAATCACAAGGATAATTCAGTTAAAACATCTAAATTAATTTGCCATTAAGTCACCTTCAACTAAAAAATTATTTCTGATCTAAAATCTGAAATCACATTTACCAAAGTACTTAACCCTTTAACCCCTAAGAGTGACAAGCATCTAATTTCTCTTCACAATATCATCCCTGAAACACATGTACTGTTGTGAGGTCGAAAGAAAAAGGAGATTTTGATCAAGGTCTTGAAGCAAAGTTATGGTTAAGAAGTTCAAATTTCTGTCACTCTTTCAAACTTTTTAATTCCCCCAAAGACCTCTAGAAATACTATAATTAAACCTAAAACAGGCTCATATCATGTTTAGCACTGTCAATAGAACAGTGCTTAGAATTCACTCCTAAACACTATGATTCGAGAAGTTACTTACCATTGTAGAAATAAGCCGTTAATGGGATTTCCTGCATTATGGCATGCAATAATGTCTTTCAAGTGCCCAGCAAAGAAACTTTAAAAAAAATGAAAAATGAAGAAACTAAACATACATTGTGTATAGAATTGTTTGGTGGGAATACTTTTGTAAAAAATCCTTTTAAATTTCCTTCCTTGATATTCCTCCATAAGTTTCTGAGAGGGACATAAAGCAACTGATACAATTCAGTACTTATCTTGTTTCTTGGCTCTCCAGTCCCCCCTCCCTTGACTAGTAGTCAAAACACCCCCTTTTCCTATAAATTGACGGATAAAAAATAGTCCAGCGCTGGAAACGGGCGTAAACCAGAACAGGCAAAATAGAAACCCTTTCTCTGAAAAATTGGAAATTACTATTTGTAGTCAAAAAATCGACAAAATGTATTTTAATAGTTCTCATATCGTTCCGCAATGCACACGGAAATTAACATACGACGCTCTGACTATTATGTAAATAGTTCAGAAAATACTTTCGTCTATGTTCCGATCGCTACTCTGTACTCAGATCACATGAACACTTTTAGAAAAAATATGCCATATATGTGGAACGAACTGACTTTTTTGTGGAATGACCTAACTATTTTGTGGAACGATCTGACCATTGAGTGGAAAGATCTGACTTAGAACGATTTGACCATGGAACGAAATGACCGTAAACCTTCGACTTCTAATGGCCTAAGGGAGAATTCTTATATGGGGGAGAGCGGTTATTAGAGCATGAGCACTTATTTGAAAAAATACAGTGATTGAGGAGGGATGAAGGAAGACTTGGGAGAAAGACTATGTTCCCTAACTTCCATAGAATACTAAAGTCGCCCCCCCCCTCCCCCCATACTTCTCCACAAGGGAACATTCCTAGGCAGTAATAAGGTGCAAAAGGCAAGAGGCAAAAGTCCAAAATGCATAGGGTTGTCATCATAGCAGCAAAAGCTCTTCTGTTAAGTCATTCTTCTTGTCGCAGGAAATTCGGTTGCACTATAATGAAGTGACACATTGACCGCACTTTCCAAAGTCGCATTCTGTGCATTAGTAGTTAATACACCCAGTTCCTTCTAAAAATAATTATAATTTCGCAAATTAAAAAAGGAGCTCTCTTTACTTAATGCGATTCAATTCATGTGCAATGGTTCACCAATTGTTCTTGCAACATATATTCTAGGCGGGGGTTGGTTCCTCACCTCCCCGATCTTTGCGGTAATCAGATAACGGCGTATATGTGACTAACACGATCTATATGAATAAAGGGGCAAGTTTCTAAAGAAACTGTGATGCTGCGTCGCTGAGAGAGTGTAGCAGGCAGTAGTCCTCGTAAGACTGTCGCAGAATGTTCCTAATTTTTACCGATGCAGGCCTTTCAACCTTGCACGCGCACGATTTGCCACAACGGCGTACGAAGAAATATGATACCCACTGATTAAATTAGCCACAAGATACAGTCACAATTCAGGGGGCAGGTTTGGCCAAAACGAAGGGCAGTGAAGTGGAAAGAAAAGATTTAAGTTGAAGAAAATAAACACCTCACCTTGTCAATGGTGCAGATGGTATGTGAGCAAATTTGCGCCTTAAACGAGCTACATATAGCGCAAAAATACAGATAAGGACCAGTAATAGGGCGATCACGGCACCAAGTGCAAAAAAAATGTAGCACAACATCGCGTGAAGGGTCAACTCGAGAACAACTTCTTCTGCAAGAGATTACAACAGAAGCGCATGGGAGACTTGGTAACGAATTCTTCGGGTCTTGCAAAATTTTGAAATCTACCAGAGCGGAAAAGAAAAATACTTTCCTGATCAGATGAATTTCTCGGAAGGAAGCGCACAATTCAGATCTTAAATTCCAGGTTTAAAATGTTCAACGTTCTTATTAATTTCTCTTTTTCTCTAGCAAGACAATTTCAACCGTAAATATGATTTTCAGCTTTTGCCATTGACAAGTGTATGATCATGTGTCAGAGTGGAATCAAATCTGTAGAGACTTCTGGCCTCAAGGAGCCTGTTATCAGCGACTGGCTCTGTTCTCCGTTTGATGACTTTGATGCTGTCTTAGTTTTTCTTCGCATCTTGGGCAATTACTTTCGTTTAATATTCCCATCCAAGAGCTACTATTTTCAGTTTTGAAAGTAATTGTTCACCTTTAAGCCATTTTAAGCCAAATAATAGTTTTTCAATACCTGTGGCATTCCTTCTTGTTGAAACAATAATAACTTCATGTACCAAGGCGTCTTTGTCAAAGTCAATTTTGCGTGTTACAAAAATAGCTGTTTATGAATTTGAAACACTCGAGTAGTTTTGGAGAGGGTGAGAAGGAGGGTGGCTGTCGTGAGTTAGTCCTAATGTTCTCTTCCTCCATGGGTCGTGGAGAATCCTCAAAAATTTGCTTGGCTCCTAACTTCCTAACCAGTACCTAGGAGGCACGGGTTTGAACCCCTTCGAAGCTTTAATTTTTTCAGCAATTGCTCAAGGTACAGACTACCTACGAGAATTATTTCTTTGCTTTATTTTCATCTGGAGGTCAAATGAAATTTGATTCATCGCAAGTTGCTATCAAAACAAGCTAAATTAAAATAGTGGTGCAGTTTGAAGTTATTTAATAAGTTACTTTAAGGTCCCTTGTTTTTAATCAGACTTCTTTCGAAATGCACGAAAAGCAATCACGGTCTAAAACGCGATTGTCTGGTTTCTTTTTTCGAGGAATGATCGCAACAAACTCGTGCCTCCGTCAATGATGAAGTTCATTAAATACGATCCGTGGAAATCCCTTCCCCTTTCGAATTGGAAATCCAGGCTAAGGAGCTGACGCTCTCAGATAACAATCTATTTTGGCTAATTTCAAACTAATCAACTTGACCTATCAACTCTTTTAAGGTGTAATTTTCTTTTGTGGTTTTAAGATAACGTGAACAATTTCCCCTTCGCTTTTTCCTCAAGGATCTCATTATGTTCCTATGCAACTGATCCACTTCTTCCTTGAAGTTCTCCACTGACAACGGCTCCTGTTATTTTGAGGCTTACTCGGTTCAACCGGTTTATTCTTTTTTTTTTTTTTTTTAACATATCATAAAATTACAATTTCAGGTTTGTCTTCGATTTAAAGCTATCATTCACGGTTTGTATTTTGCGACTGAGCTGAAAATCGTTGATGAAGTATCATTACTTCCTTAGCTTCTTCAGATTTAACCGAACACTGTTTACAGTTGAAATTTCAAGGGCAATCGGAAGTCGCTTTTCTCTCATAAGCCTTGCATTACAGCATGTCTCCATGCGAAGTGAAACATCGACTGAAATACTGTATTAAAAACTATCAACAAGCTCGACTTTTTGATCCCCTTCAGCTTTATTTTGCTTAAGAGAAATCTTCTTCAATGCCAAAAGCGAAAGATTTTTTTCAATCTTACAAACCCAGTTTTCCTTATTCTTTTTGTTTCGTCGGCTCTGTTATTCTAATCACCAATCACCGATTACTGATTTACTTTTGACCGATGTAATTTTGATTGTGTCTGATGCGTATCTAAATGCAACATAAGCATTTTCTTTCTTTGCCTTTAAAATGTTCTTAACAACATGTTACCGCCCTTTCCCCCTCCTCTGTACAAAGGCCACTTTCCTCCGTCGCTGAAGTGGTTATTGCTGAGAAATTCGCCTGGAAAACAAGCGTGCGTAACAGAGTCGTGACCACAAGCTTTTATTGTCTGGTCTGTGAGAAACGCCAACACATGAAGGTTCTTCCATCTGCCGAAAGGTTAATTGATCTCCCTATCTCTTTAATGTGCTAAGGCAAGTTTGTCAAAGCGTATTCAGTAAATCTTAGCATCCTTTTTCTGTGAACAAATGATGAAGTCTTCAGAAACTTCACTAGAAGAATCTGTGTGTTGATTTCGGGGTAATGAGTTGACCCATCTATCAGTGTGCCATTAATCAATTAAGTAAGCTTAGTCTACTCCATTCGTAGTAGTTCGTTGACCGTATGCCTGACAGAATAAATGAGTTTAAGCTTGTTTGTAGAAATATCAGAAATTCGTCAAGGTTAAATTCTTCCCAGCTTATCAGGAGAAATGCCAATGATAGTACACATTCACAGCAGGGCTAGGTTTTCCGGGAAAATTTCAAACGCGTTCCCTGCCTTTCATTGGTATGCTTCCACAGAAGGAATCGATCAAAAGTGTAATAGCGACGCCAACTTGCGAAGGTTCTAGAAGTCACTAATCGTCTCAAAAATAACTGACCTTGAGATATCAATCTGGCGCCCTATGACGGGTAGGAAAACTTGAAAGTTTGTCGACAAGTCAGTTTAAACGAATAGGGGTCAGCTAACTCTCTTGAAAATCCAGTCGTTATTGGCTGTGAGGTTTTTCCGTAATCGCTGATAGGTGGGCTCGCAGACGCCGCGCTATTTTAGCCAGAAATGTGTCTGGCAAAGTTATTCTGAAGTAGATACGATCAACGACGTAAGTTTCGTCTATCGACTGTAACATGAAAACCCACTACAGCGTTAGCTTCAAGATCCAAAAAAAATGCCTTCTTTGGTGGTTGGTCATTTTGTTCACAATCCTCTTGGTCGTAGCGATCGGAATATTTGTTTTTCTTTCACTCAACGCCAAATATAATTTTGCCTGCGTGTTAGGATGTGCGCCTGAGGCAAAAGCGACTCGCGCACAAACATTAGAAAACATACCACCATCTGTTGTCATTACCGTCGCTGGTACTCAGTCAAGACTCAGAACCTCGGAACATGAGAGAAAAAACAGCGAGAACCCAACGCAGAAGCAAGTCACAAACAGAGAGAAAATTACGAAAGTCATTGAGATTGACCGCGATACGATTATCAGTTCCAGAACTCCGATTATCCATTCGAACACACCGCCAAGCGTCAGCACGAAATCTGTGGTCAGAAACACAAACACAGAAGGCGGAAAGTCACGTTCGCACTCCAGATCTAGAACAGCGGCTAATGTTACGCCACAAGTTAGCATCTACCCCACAAAGAAACCTCTTGATATTGTTAATTATATCAACATCACTGGGAAAATTTCTTTCAAAGGAAAAGCTCCAAAGCGACTTTCCCGACCATCCCGCCTAATTGTAAAGTTTGAAGAAGGTTCCCTGGCTGATGCAACTCCAGTTGTGCTCGCTAAATCAGTCGTAGATTTGTCAAAGTATCGCCAGAGGAAACCTCTTTTTTACACAATAATTTGCAAAAGGCCTCCGTTTGCAGCATCTTTTTACACCATCTCTGCGGTTTTTAACAGGGGATGGAAACCAAGAAGGAAAAACAAGTGGATCAGAAAAGGGGACTTCCTGACCGACACCAATTTTAGGGTACACATAAAAAAGAGCAAGACACTCTACCAAAGAAACATTCAACTTGTTAAGTACAAGTAGTGATAGAGATCGGAGACAAAGATTTTAGAGCATTACTCGAGCTCTTACGAACTAACCTTAACGAACCTGAGAGTTTATGAATACGACTCTCCATTTATGAATGTTTCTCAGATCTTAAAATTATGAGGAGGTAAAGAACGTAACCGGAGAATTTTCTATAAAAGTCGATCCGTAAATGATATCATATCAGCACTGTCACTCTACTTTCGTATAACTTTTTATCAAACTCGCGTTTCTGATCGATACTAAAACCATGCAGTGGATATTTCGCTGTAAACAAAGGTAACACAATATGTTTAGACGTAAACAAAATCATTCACCTCATAGGTGGGTACTAAAAGGACATTGATACCAGAAGAGTTATTTCTATGAAAAATTACCTGGTAGATTTGCTTTAGATGCCCTCTCACTGCGGAAGGGACTTTAAGAGGTCGGTTAGGCTGTAAACGATGTCATTAAAGTTCGAACCTGAGAGTTAACCACAGGTAACAAATCCCGTTGTAACGCTCTTCTTTTAAACTCTGCACATCTCCAATGGTTCCCTGTCACAGATACCATAAAATTCCAAAAGTCACGACCCATGAACGCTTTATTCACTCGAGTCGAATTGTTTCAATCACTAATTGAAATGATCAAGTTGTCAGTTTTCTTTTGGCTGGACTGAAGCGTCGTGAAATTATCCCGCTTGTTAGTTCGTTTTTCTTCGATATGGAAAGACCTGTAAATAGATGGTCAATGATTTATTAAAATTATTTGCCCTGGTGTGTCTGATTAAAAATTCTATCAATCAGCCTAGCTTTCTCCTACTTGCCTTAACCCTTTAACTCTTAATATCTCATTAGTAATTCTCCTTACTATCTCCCATACAGTTCTTGTGAAGTTAGTTTGGAGAATTTGGTATTGGATCAAGTAATAATCCCCTAATTAATGTTTTTCTATATTCTCATCACTTGTCTGCTTGATATTGTATTGATATTGTAAGGAGAAATTCTGTCTTGGTTACTCATGGTAGTTAAAGGGTTAAGTAATAGCCATTTTTGGCCATTTTACGGCTAACGGTTAACTTCTTTCTGTTAAAATTAATAAAAAAAAATTGTACGGTTAACTTTTTTTTACGACTAACGGTTAAAATTTGACAATTTTTATACCTGACGGCTGATTTGTTATTTGCCATTTTACGGCTCATGGTAAACCTCATTGAGACCCTCTGTCATCAGAAAGGTTTCAGAGATAACTAATTGTTTACCGCACCGGCTGGCCTGGTCTTTGACGTTACATCAGTTTCAAGTCTTTATATGTCATAAGGTCTTTGAGAAAGGAGAACTACAATCAACACGAGTAGGACCACCTGTTAAAGGCAGTGGTTATACTCAATTTTGCTTACAGTTTATCACCAAGATTAAGTCACCAAGATTATCACCAAGATTAAATCCAAACAGCATTGATTGTTTCTCAGATCGCTGTTTCAAGCGTAGATATACCTCAAAGAGGATTTAAGCCAAAGAACTTCTAATAAGCCAGAATCAATAAATTTTCAAAAGGGCCTGCAACTGGAATTCCACTTTACGAGACCTTCCAGTTGTAAAAAAGACCTCCAACTGGAAACTTGGAAACGTAACGTACCAGCAGTATCCAAAGAGAGAACAGATCGTTCTAAAAATCTTCTTTAATAACTAGAGGTAGACTGCGACTTAGGTTTGTAATTCCTAGATTCTTGATCTTTTTTAGCGTTTATACCATAAAAGATGCAAATTTGTTTTGATTCTATAATTTATTACTTTGTATTATATCGTTGATGAGCCCTGCAATTACGGAATAGGTGGCTTCAGTTTGCTGCTTCATGACGCTCTTCGTATGGGATGACAGAAACATCCATGCCTTGACTGATGCTTGGTCAGAGCTCAATATGAAACCTTGTTGACATTTAATAGAAGTATACAATGAAAGAAGCAAAGATATTTCAAACATTTATCGCAGCATTCTCTAATGAAAATGAAGTTCTGCAGTTAAAAAAAAACCAACAACACACTAAATCATATTTTCTTAATGGAATCTATGCATTGAATTTCGTGCTCCTGCTATAAAAAGCTAAAGCTGTTACCCTCTGTCTCCCTCGCGTTACACCATTTCTTTTCCAGTGATATGTTGGTGCAAGTTTACCAACAATATCATATGTATCACTCACACTTTCCACTTGTTCTCATTCCGCATTCTTTAACTTTCACAGAACCATGATTCCCCCCGCCATATAATAAACTTAATAGACTGAGTGGTTCTATAAAAATTAGGTGACCTTCCTCAAACAGTTTGGCTAACTGCCACTAGTGCACGAAGTTTCATCTCAATTTGTGGAGGAAAATGTTTTTAAAATTGTATCATTCATTTTAGGGGAGGTGTGAAATTTCTAGAGAGGTTTGAAAATTAACTAGAGAGCTGGTGTGGTTTTGCGGAAAGGAAGGAAGATCATGTTTACACAAGATTTTCAGGGTGTCTTACATGGAGTGGGAGGGAAGATAAATTCCCCTTGACATGGGCTCCTGCAAAGGAAATGTGGCCTTGGCCTAGTGAGGTCAAAAAATGTACAAACTATAATAGCCCCCCCCCGCCCCTCCTCGAAGCCAAAATGTCGTCCTGAGTGAGTAAGTGAGTGGGTGGGTGAGTGAGTGTGTATGTAACAATAGAATATGAACGACGACGTCTCAACCCACAACTTTATGTCTATTGCAGTCTGCTGAGTTTTACCCTATATTCCTCGCTCTTGGCTCTTGTTTGTTTCGGAATATCTTTAGCCGTTCGACGCTTGGTTACAATTTCTTCGAATAGCTTCGAATTTTACTTGGTCATTTTGGTTAAAGAATCAGGCGCAGCTGTCTAGGCATTTATGGTGAACCTGTAAGGCTGAAAGAATATTTCTCAGCACTTTTTGTGGCTACTGTCTCCTATGGAAAGCGAAGCCACATATGTCGTCGAAATGAGTGCGTGATGATAACAAAAGAATTCTGATCTTGACCCAATTCCCGGTGCTTCCTAATGTTTGTTTCGTAATACTAGAGTAGACGATAAACGTCTAACAATCAGGATAGCACGTGAAAAAAGAAAGCTTTTCCTTGCAGAAATATCTTAAACAGTGTGCTTGGCGCATCATAAAAACTTAGAGGGAAAATGTGGGTGTTACTAAACTGTGAACCCCCGGAATCTTTGAAACCAACGGAACCAATATTTTTTATGTAATGAAATAAAATAAAAAAAACCCAAAAGACCTTAATCCTGTTTGAAAGTTCGTTTTTCTTTATAAAGATTCCTTTAAAAAGAGAAATATGTTTTAATTGCCCTTGACGTCCAACTTTTATTGAGGCGACATTTACCGTACACTGAAGGGTATGAAGTATCCTAAGGAGCAGTCCGCAGTCACCTACCCTGAGTGTTAATGGTTGAACCATAATTTGAAAGCTCTAACGGTTTGGGTACCGCGATATCCGAGTAACGCGTTATCCGAAGGCTCTCACCAAACCTTTAGTATGGAATAAGAAGACTTTACACGACCTTAGAATGAAAAACCCTAGCGTAAAGTAACATCATCGCAAAGAATTTTGGAGTAATCGAGGCGTCTGGAGTGACTTTACAGCGTTTTGCTTCCAGTGGATTCGTTTGGTTGCCATTTCTCAGACACGTATCTTGGAAAAGATTATGAAGAAAGCAGATGAACTAAAACAGAGCTAAATTGCCCTAAATCCTCTAAATCGCTCAAGAAATTCATACGATGCAAAAGAACAATCACTTGAGCGGGCTAAATGTGTCCTTATCCAAAACTAATCGAAATCTCTTTAAGGTCGAGAGCGCGACTGTTCATTTGCATGCAAATAGATCTATTTTTATTGTATACATACCGAGATTTACGCGCCAAAAAGCATCGAGATAAAAATAGTCTCTTCGCGCCAGAGAAGCCAGCTGATTGGTCCTACGATTTTTTTCATCAGTGAAAAACGACGTATCGACGCTCGATTGGCTATATTATTATTTTCACTTGTGAACAAACCGTGTCGCTCGCTCGCCGCTCCTCGTGAGTGACAATCATAGCACATTTCTAAGAGCTCAGGCGCATTTTTCGTTTGAAAGATGGCTTCAAATCAGACTAACCGTTTTCAGAACCTAGATTTATCAGTAGAAGAGTTCATAGACGGACAGGAAAATGAAAACACCACGAAAAAGACCAAACACGATGTTGCTCTGTTCCACGAATTTCTTGTTTTGAAAGGCGAGACGAGACAAAGGAATGAATTGACTCCCCAAGAGCTGAATGAAGTCTCGGGTCTTAACTTCTGTATTTCAAATTTTGAACTTCCGTAGAACTATTCCGACATATTTTCAGGATGTCTTATTTTGTTATAACTAGTTCTGCCTTTTAACGGCACTTTTACTCGATAATTTAAATGTAAAGTATTTTACAAGGAAGCCATTTCAGTGCAACTCTCGTGAGGCGGCTTGACCACGCGTCGTTTTCCTTTGAAAGAAAATAATGATATTTTTATCTTTGAGTTCTGTTCACTTATGAATCTCGGTACGTATACAATAAAGAAGTTATTTCGCTTGTACGATTTTTATTCATCATGGTGAATAAAAATCGTACGCGCTCATCAACCGTGAAATAACCATAAATATTTCCGCTGGTTCCAAATTTAGGCCTCACGGAACAGCGTATGCACGTGAGTCAAGGAAAATTTTAGACATGCGCAGAGTAGGCCCTTTCCTGTGTTTACTTCTCTCATTAACGCTCTCAAAACTTTGCCGTTGAATATCTTGTCAAAACACGAAGTCTCTGGTAGTTTAACACATAAACCGGGAAGACTGCGACGAAGATGAAAATTCTAATTTTTCGTACTGTTTTGTCGTTCATTGTGCGTGGTGTTTATTATTTGGAATTTCGAAACGGACAAGTTTAGGAGTGGGCATTGTGTTCAAGGCAAACTGAGTTTTGGAGTCCATCGTTGTTCGTTTGAAAGTTATTCACATTTTTTTGACGCGCGCTCAAGATACCATGGAGGAGTGAAATATATCGACTGATGTAATGTACTCAGAGCAGCTCGAAAGTACAGCAAGCGCACAATGCACGAGGTGAGAATATAAATTAAGTTATCTTGACCCCTATTTTGGGGCGTGTTGGTGATAAAGGGTCAATTAGCCTACTTTCAATATCGCCCACTCGAGATCGAGAGTGAACTCCGGTTTAATCGTCAACAGGAACCAAGAACAATTTATCAATCACTTCTCGGGTAATCGTTGGTACTTACTACGGATTACGGAGATGATGTTTGGCTGGTATCGATTGTCAAATTAATGCTCATTTCTTTTGGGCGCTTTGAATGTAGAGGATTGACCAATACATTGATTCTTTTTTGACCACACTGCATATTCAATAATTAGTATAGGTCCAGGTAAAGTTTGGTTGTTGAACTGGTCATTACAAGTTGCCTGACAGACAACTTGTAATGACCAGTTCAGGTATATGTTAGAAAAATTCCATTGATGGAGATATATTAAATAGTAGAAGAAAAACGTTTAAAGGGGAGAGAGGATTAATTACGGGTCAGAATGGTATTACTTATCTTTTACACAGAATAAGGAAAGACAGGATAATTAACTTGGCACATTTTTAACAGATCCAGTGTTCCACTCTAATTTATTACTGTTAATCATTGTACACTAACTATGTGTAACATAACATTGGCTGCATCACTTTGATTTGCCCTTCTGTGCAAAATGTTATGCTTATTATGCAAGAACACTTACACATAAGTCATGTTCTCTTCACATTAAAAGTTACATACTGCTAGTGATATGTTAAGTTATACATGTGCAACATTATAATGATATAATCTATGTGTAGTTAAATATTACATTTATTATGTTCTTAAACTGCTGAAATTAAGTGACAGCAATTCAGTGTTTGTTCAAAATTGTACAAAACTACAGTCATACATAACAATTTAAAATCAGATACATTACAGCTTTGTATACCTACTGTTCATTTTGAATATAATCAATTAATTTAATTCAAGATCCAATACAACATGATTGTACATGCATGTCTCAACTTTGGCACCATGCACTTTACTTTTACCCTGTCAAACCAGTTGCAATATTGTAAACCAAAAAGCTAACATGCTACATGTACATATACTAGGATATTAAGCTTTGTTCACTTTACTAACATGGCATATACAACATGCTTTTACCAGGTTAATTCTAACATGTTGTGTGGAAATATTAATCAATTAATAGATGTGTCTCTGTGTGTAAAAATGCATACATGCTGAGATATATTTATTTCATGCAGAGTGGTTGGTGAAATCAATTCTTATATGTACAAATCTAAAACGTTTAAAAATTACTGAGCCACCCCTCATGACTACTCTATTCTTCATGTGCAGGCAACGGCGTAACATGTTCAGACATGTGGGATGTGGAAAGATGAGTAGTTGGAGGCTGGAAGACATTTGGAAGATTATGTAGACTCAACTGGCATTCTCTTGGTAGATCATAAATTGGTAGCTCCTTGCCATAGTTCCACACCTTTAGTGCTGCTAGCTGCATGAGTCTTGGAACTTGTCCATCAGGTGTACAGGTAACTCCCTCAATTACTGTTGGGTTGAATGACCTCTGTCCCTCCAGTGCAGATGTTCCCTTGGCAGAAGCCTTCCATTGAAGTTTAATTTTGCAACCATCTGCTTTTAGTGACTGAATTGTTTCTGGTAAGTTATTGTTTACTTTCTTTTCTACCCAAGCTCTAGGGTAAACATCCTTTGCAGTATGTGGCCCATGTGTGCAGTTTTCTCTAATCTTGTTTAAGTTCTTTTTTGCCTCTTGCAAAATGTCTGTGGTGAGCATTTGGGTACATTCTTTCATTCTTTCTTCGTGAACTTCATGTGCTGCTTCTGTGGTCCTAGTGTTGGTTTTTCCATTATGCAGAATATTTTCAACAAATGTGATTGGGGCGTGTTTTGATAACTCTGACATGTTATCATTAAGATACAGTTGAGAAAGGTTGAACTGTCTTTCAGCAAGAACATTGTTAACTGGAAGACTGAAAATGTGCTTGGCGTAGAACTCAAACAGGTTTGGAGTGGCTTCTTTACTTATGAGTGAGCTGTGTGGTGATGAAGCAATTTCTTTGATCTCACTGAGCAATTGTGTTTTCATCAATTTCCAAAGAGTGGCCCATTTAATCAATCCAACTCTATCCTTAGACACCAATGTGAAAATGTTCTGTCCATGTACATGAAAGAGATTGTTCACTGACTTTTCTTGTTGATTTTCAGGGCTGACTGGAATTTCAAGAAGCTTTAAAACTGAATGCCAGAAAGGACTTTGGTATCTTTGATCAGTTCCCATTCCAAACAACTTGGGTAAAGTTACCTAATCTGCTCTATGATCTTTGATTACTTTAATTGCTTCTGGTAACATTGGCCTCTGCACTTGTTTGTGAAAATGGTTAATAGCTGCTGGGATCCTTCAATGACATCTTCACCTGTTGTGATGTTAAAGGAAAATATTCTGCAGGAGACATCAACATTTTACTTAAAGTTTCATGGTGCTTCAGAACAGTTGCTGGCCATAACCTTGCTAGGTAACCACTGGAGAATCCAAGTTCTGCATCACTAGCTTGGAATGTATTCAGAGATGGGTTGATAAACTTATCGAAGAATTCAAACAAAAACTTGATTTCAACTTGAATCATAGGACTGGAGCTCAGCTTAATGACATCTTGCCAAATAGTCTGGTGGCTATGTGATTTTGGCAATGTTTCAAGGAGACACTCAGTGAGCTGTAAACAAGCTTTTCCATACTTAAGATACCACTGGAGAGTTTCATGATAACATGTTCACCTTGTGTCGATGAATGTCTGGGGAAGGGGTGGCTCTTTACTTAGAATACCGAGAGAAACATACATAACTTTGTATTGGCTTGGACGCTCATGATGGAGCCAAGATATTTTACAGAGTAATTGTAAAACATGGGGGTTGCTCATGTCACCCTTGGCCCCAAATCCGGCCTGGTACATTCTTCTCGGCATAATGTTTAGTACATGTGGGTAGCATCCTACAAAAAACATCTCTTTTCCAAAAATTCTGGCATTGTTAGATAAAAGACCATTTACTTTTCCTTTTTGGGTAGAGGCATTGTCCCCAACCAACCCTGAAACATTGGTAATATCATATTCATTTTTTACAACATGGTAATCTACATCAGACTGGTATTTTCTAGACCCGCTTGCTGTTAGGCTGTTTGCAAGGACATAAGCTCATGGCTTGTTCTCTAAGGGACACCAGGTGTGAACACCCACTACGTGCCTCTCCTCTCCTCCTTTGTGGGAGTCATCGCTTCAGAGATGAAAATCATACTTGGAATTTGAAAAGCGCTTGCATAAAATTAGTTTGTCGGATTCACCTAAGAGAACATTCCAGTCAGAAAGTGTAGTTGAGGAGACAATGAAGTTTGTTGGGGGGCTACAATTGAACAAAATATTGAAAATCAGATGTAATGCTACAGGTGTCTTTTGATATGATAACAAAGATGCACGTTGCATGTATCTGACACAAGCCATAAACATCAAGGTTCTTTGGTTGTGTCCATTGTGACCATGAGCAAATGTCTCCACAAGGGAATACCCCTTTTTTGGCAATTTCACTGTTGCCCTGTAATTTCTGTTTTAGCTTTGAGGAAGCAGATCTTGTCCCCCTTAGCTTGTGTCTGACTTTTTTTTTTTTCAGTAGACGTCAGATTTTTTTGACACTTTTTAAGTTGAGTTTGAAGCCTCAACACGTTCTTTTTCAATTGGATGTTCCTTCCTTTACAAATACTGAAATTATGAAAAGGTGACACAAAAATTAGTTAAATGTAACTGATTTCACATGATAGAGTATTGAAACATAGAATACAAAGTAAAAATGTCCTACCAGAAATCTTATCGACCAGGTATATTTAGAATGTGTAGTTTAAATTTGGCAAAAACATTGTTATCACAATTGCAAGGTTGAATAGTTGAAACTATTGTGTTTCCACGGTGGCCCGTACGCAGATAATTTTGTTCATGTTGATAAAAACTTCTAACACAAGCCTCAAAACTTCACTCGTAAAACTCTCGATACTGAGTGGCACTTAACACACGTCCTTATGATCTGCTGACCGAAAAAATGAACTTGCCTGTACATTTCTTTTCTTAGGTACGAACCTTTAGAGGGAATCTAGTCCGCAGTTTAACTTTTTCGTTTTTGAGTGCGCGTACTACTTCCCTTGCGTTAATCGCCGCTCCAAATAGTTAAGCAAGAAAAAGACCATGCAGCCATATCGACTACTTTGTCTTTATTTTCGAGAAGTTTTTTCGACTTTTGATCGGTGGGAGTATTATCGGGTTATGATTAAATTCCTCTTAAAGTAGTGTCATTAGCGATCGCGTAAGTTGCAACTGCCGAAAATTCAGAATGGGAATTAAATCATTCACCGTAATTCGTAGCTTAGGCAATCTGCAGTATTATTCTTAGACATTTGCAAGTCCTTGCATTTCCATTCCCTCCTGAAATAATATCACTTACCTATACTGCGTCGCAGTGTTTTGACTGTTCCTTTTAGATTGGCGTTTTCAGACCTCAAACCTTCTTCACTAAAAAGTTGCAAACTTGCACCACAACGCTTTTTTTTCAACTTTTTCAAAATAATCTTCATGTTTTCTCTGCTTCTTTTTGGCTGGTGGCTGATTTTTACTAGAAAACTGGCTGCCGCGAGGTCTTTTACGAGCCATCAGGAGTTCTTGTCAGCGAGTCGGCCGGCAATTAATTAACACAAATCTGCAACTTTGATGTAAACAACCCTCGGCATGAGCCCACGTTCCTTTTATCAGGCAGTGTTACAAAGTAATGTAATCTACGCATGTCTGAGATTTCAGGGGGTTACGGTTTCCCCGGTTACGGGTGGGGTATCTTCCCGTGAGGCCTAGGCGAGATGTTGGATCCGTATTCGCCCTTACACGTCGAGCCAAGTTGCTGGGCGGACCACTCGATTCTTCATTATGTGACTTTTGTTTCTCTCATTTGGTAGCCAGCCATGAAGAACGTGACAAAGGCGTTAAAGGCATCAGGGGCATCAAAGGTACCAGAGGAATCAGATGCATCAAAGGTACCAGGGGAATCAGATGCATCAAAGGTACCAGGGGAATCAGATGCATCAAAGGTACCAGGGGCATCAGAGGCATCAAAGATATCAGGGGCAGATGAAGCATTTGAAATTGGTGAACCTGGAGATTATGTGCCCGCTCAAGAATCGTTTTTTCCTCCCCCTGTCCAAGAGTCTCAGACTTATGAACTAAGTGTCGCTGAGACAGCTACTCATGAGTCCGTTGTTGGGTTATATGATAACCAGGCAAAGAAGAAGTGCCGATCCGACGTAATCTCACATGCTATTAGGTGTCTAACAACAGAAAGACACACATCTGCTTGTGTTCAACGAGGTCACGTTAGACGAGTCTGGCAGCAATTGCAAGAGAGTGGAGAGAGCCAAGCGTACTTTCATCCACTAGTAATCGAGTCCATAGAAGCTGAGATTTCGCAATGGGAGATTCTCCACGAAAGCAATATACAAAGCAAGAAACCTTCAGACCTTAATGTATGTTATCTCGGAGGGAACAATCCTATCAACGATCTTGAGGTTCTTGTGGACAGTGGCGTCCTCCCACAGAATGTCTGGGCAGTGGAGAATGATACTAAAACATTCGAGAGTGCACGGGAAGCCATCCGTAGATCGAGGTTTAGAAATGTCCGATTGTTTAAAGGTGACATCCTTAAGTTTTTGAAAGACTATGAGGGTAACTTTGACATTATTTACTTTGATGCCTGCGGTACACTTCCGTCGGCTAACCAGAGCACTCTTAAGTTTATCGGATATGTCTTTCGGTATAATAAGCTGACATCTCCAGGAGCCTTGATCACAAATTTTTCATTCCCCCCTAAGAGTGAACCAACAGAATGTGATGAAGAAGCAGAACAACCCTCAAGAATTTTACAGGAAAGCGTTAAAATAAGAAAATTAGCGACAGAGTATTTAAAGTACAGGCTTGATAATACACGGATGAACAAAGGCTCTCCAGAAGGGAATGCTGAACTTCTTGGTCAAAGGACTGACGAAGAAAACTATGGTGATTACATCACCTATCAAGTAATTGACTCCGCTTATTTGTATATCCCTGCCTTAAGAATGCTCTCATCCACAAGATCAGGTCAGTCAAGCCCGTTATGGGATCAAATGTTTAAAAGTAAAAAGAACTTTCACGATTTCCTCAAAGAATGTAGGAAATTTTTTCAGGCAGTGAGTGAATCAAGTCCTGACAGTGAAACTTCAATTGGAGAAAAATCTTGTTCATTTAGTGAAACTGCTAGTCCTGACAGCGAATTTTCAGTTGAAGAGCAATCTTGTTCAGTAAGTGAAACTGCCAGTGAAGTGACTGATGTTAACAAATTACTCAGTGCATCTGCAGCCAGTGAATCAAATGCAGGGCATGATTCTTCCGATGAAGTGTTTTTAACACTGAAAGATGCATCCAAAGCCTCTCCTTTGTGGAAGTGTGGTTTTGCTCTGGAAGAAGAAATGCAAAACAATGACCTTTGCAAAGCCTGGGTTACCGAGATTTTACCAGACTGGCAATCAACATCCAACTTGAAAACTGAGAAACTCCCGCTTTTGCTTTTGACTCATCTTCTCTCTCATTTTGATTTTTTTATCTCTACATTTACTAATAAAAACTTTCAAGAGAAATGCATTGAACCTCTCTACAATGCCCTTCATTCTGACCATGATGACGCAGTATTTCCCAAATTTTACAATGTAGTAGATCTAAGTAATACAAGAAGTTTGGTTGCTGGCCTACTGTATGGCCAGATGGCCTACCCATCATTTCCTGTAGTGGACAAGATGCTACGACTCTGCTACACTGGAAATGCAAGGCAGATGTTCACTGATGTTTTCATTTTTGACCAGTGTCGGTATGTTTATCAGCAATTTCCCTCCATTGATTGTGCTTGCTTTGCCATTACAGAACCAGAACAGCAAATGGTGTTCAGAATGGTTGTGGATGGCTTAAGAAAGCACTTGGAAGACATTTGCTTTAAAGATGTCTTTCCATCTTGTCATGTTGCTAGTATAGATCCCATACCAACGGGAGAGATTGGTTTCCTTAATAGTAGGCCTAAGATTCCCAAAAGGAAAGAGGTGAACTAAGGTTGATGAAGGTTGCAGCTAAGTAAAACAAAGCATGGGTAATTTGTGCATATATCAGTAGCATTGCAACAATTGTACTCTTTTTTGATCAAAAACAAAAAGAGGTTTTGTTTCCCATACCAATTGCCCTTTTTTAAGCAATGTAACTCTGTTAACTATTTTTCTTTGTGGGTGGTGATTAATGTTTTTCTTTCAGCTTAAAATGAAAGGGATTTAAACTGAATTTCTTAATATTATGGTTAAGAAAAAAACCTCCCTGTTATTCTGTGAAGGTCCATCTTAAGGGGAAGACACCAAAATGCTATTTTTAAGCAAAAGATGGTTAAACTTGGGTCTTATTCAGTTTCAAAATATCAGGTGTCTGTCTACAATGTGCTCTCAACTGAAGCACATTGTATTAATATTACTTAGGTTAAAGACCATGTCTTCAAGCACTTAAGAGGGTAGTGGTTCTAAGCTGCAGGATTATTCTACCCCAAAAAATAATTAATTGCTCCCTTTGTGATCAAGAAAAGTTTTAGAGAAGCTAAGCAACCCAAATTTGGTTCTGCAAGTCATATAATTTGAGTGTTTTGTGTCTGAATACATCACAATTTTATGCATATTGCTAGATGTAAGTGCCCAAAACAGATACCTTATTCACTAGAAAAGGCACTACTGCACTTAGTGAATTTTTTACACCCCAAGTGCAGCACTTTCTTGAGGGTGCCACTTATTTGAAAAGTTTGATACAACAAAGAAATTTTCTCTTTTAACCCTTTACACCCTCACATCAGTATTCATATTCTCCATACTTATCTCCAAATGTTTCCATTGGTCTGGATAAGGAGAATTTGTTTTACTATCAAAGCTTCTCAGGTTGGCAATCATTTCCTCTATTCTTGTGATATTAATGAATGATTCAGCAGTATTACTGCAAGGAGAATTTGGATGCTGGTCACTCTTAGGGTTTAAAGGGTTAATTTAACAGACTGTTAAGTTAAAAGAGAATTAAAAAATAAAAATATTTACACTGAGCATATATTTTTTTATCTGTACAAAAACGTTCTAGTGCTTTTTGCAACAAAAATTGAAATTCTGAAAGAAATTGCCATGGTAAACAAATCTATTGGCAGGTTTCAAAAAGAGCAGGGAAACTTCTTTTAGACTTGAAGCCAAAAGTTTTTCAAATGCTTGATATTGCCTGGCATTTTACATCGTGTTCACCTGTATTGAACACAAAAATTTTTAAATGATAGGTTTCAATTGCATAGATGTCTTGTGCGAGGCGAATTTTATTTTCTTATTTAGTTTTGGCATTATTTTGATTACTACTATTTTTACTTTTATTGTGTCACTTTTGTAAACAATTCTGGTATTGAAATTTTACAAAATACTTAAACTTGTGATGCAACTAAGTATTTAGATAATTGTGAGCAAGTTAATCAACAGTAGGTTTTGGGAAGTAATGTGTGTCGGCCAGTGTGTAAATAAACTAGTTGTATGTACATGTTTGGTATCAAGTGTTAGCATTGTAAATAAAACTATTTTTACAACTTACCCTCGTTAGGTAAGTTATGTTATTAATGCAATTTGTAAGTGTAAGAAAGTGTATATGTCATAATTGGTGAGTGAGTTAGAGATTGGTAATCACCTGTTTTTTTTTCAAAAATAAATAAAAATAGCAATAATATCTTATGTAGAGAGAAAATTGTAAGCAGAATTCCATTATATGTAATTTAGTATAAGTAATCTATTATAGATAGAGCAAATAATTGAATTGTTTTTATATAACTTATGTAACATAATTAGTATATTCTAAACCAGGTATCGTTAATCAATATAATTATAAACATCATTTTGTAATTTATAGATTGTAAGAGGTTTATTTTAGGTAATATTCTGTAGTCATTGCATTGTAAATAAATAGTTTATTGTTTGTGTATCGTAGTATTTCTGATTTTTAAAAGTATGAATAAAAAATTTTAAAAAAATAACACTGGTGTCTTTTGATTGTCACTTTTTTTCTCTTCTGCACTTTTCAATTTCCAGTAGTGTCTTCTCTCAACCCTGATCTCACTTTTTTATCGAGTTTACATGCTCAAGGGTGAGCTTGGTACCCCCCTTCTTCATTTGAATTGGTGCATTTTAAATTATAGTAACATGATAAAAAAAATCTTTATAGAGGAAGCTCCCATCACTTTATGTGGTTTTCGAGGAGGTTCAGTACGGCCAGAAAGATGTAACTATTAAAACTTACAAAACTATAGGTACTAAAATTCTAATATTATAATAAGGGGAAATAAGTTAAGAGAAGTTTGACATCTAAGTACTAAATAATATTGAAAGTGGAAGTTAAATTGAAATTACCTTAAAAACTTAAACCTATTAAGTAATAACATTCTAAAAGAGTTGAGAGGTAACTTTTTTATGTCCATAGGCAGGGTATTCCAATCAGGTAAAGCACTATTTACTGATCTGAACAAACTCCAGCTATTACTTGATTTAATGACCCAAATAATGTCCTTTGAGCAGGTGTTATGACTATCATGGTAATCTAAACATTTCATAATCATACTGTTTCTGTTGTTATTATTTATTAAGTTATATATTAAAAAGAAGCGTAGTATTTTTGTTCTGATCAGAAAATTCAGCCAGTTCGGATCTGAAAGTGCTTCATTTGAAATTTGAAATTTTTGATGTGCACGACCATCACTGAAATCGCACGAAGTACACAAGTTCAATGATTGTTTCAATGGAATGTCCCAGTTTGCTTCTCTAAATAACTTTTGCGAGTTACTTTGACAGCCAAGAGGAAAGATCTACTTTTTCACAGCCAAGGATATTAATCACGAGTAACTCATTAAATAGTGGACCCCCAGACAAGAAAGGAAGGAATAAATCAGCGAATGTTTCATCATCATAATAAAGACATATTAAATTGTTTACTGCTGCTATGTGTTTGTCCATCTATAGCCCTTCCGTAAGTCCTCTATGTTAGATGACCAACTGAATGCTGAATTTTTATACAAAGATCGACTCGAAGTCTTTTCGACAGTTTGACATATTAACTGTCTTTTTATCTGGGTGGTTTACAGTTGAACTGCCTCCTGTACCTGAATCTTGAAGTACAGATTAAATCCTGTGAAATTCTGCCCCCTTCTCCATTCTACCGAAGAAAGGTGGCGATTGTTAGAGACTGACACGCGTCACGGAACTCCGCGCCTTTTTGGCTTTTTCTCTGATATTTACTAGGCTTGAATATCGGATTTGTTGGAATACGAGAAAGGCTAATCGCTGGGAATCGCACCGGGAAGGCATTTGCCAGCTTTCCATCCCTTGTAAGCCTTTGGCAAGAAGAAAATTTCACCCTCGGCACTCATCCTGTAATTTTAACTTCGAGCCGGATTTGCATTAATTACACAAGCACAAGACAAGGGTCCTTTTGTCATTCGACACTTAATAACAAAAGACAGACTACTAGAGTTAACGAAGACCTTTTTACAGTTCCCAGCGCCATATTGGAAATGCAACCGCGCACAGGTGAGAATGAGGCTGGGGTTGACTCGCGTTAAATCTCTGTGAGCGCTTTTGGTGAAACTTATGGGCGGCCGTCACCACCAAAAATACAAGGATGTCAAATAGATCAGCAAATACAAAGATGGTGTAAGGATCAGCTGCAGGATAGCATAGCTAATAGAAGAATGGCATGGCCAAATTATAGACAGTCTAGTTTTCCTTCGTGAAACAGAACACCCTAAACATGAATAGTTTAGCCAAATGAGAAACGGTCTAGTAGCCCATTTTGAGTTGGAACATGAGATTGTGAAATGGACTAGCTCAATTACGAATAGCTTAACACTCATTTGCAATACAGTACTCAAACGGTGTAGCGTTACGAAGTTGTCTCGATAAGGTTTCTTAGTTATGGTAGTTTTTAACAGTTTTCAAGTGCTCTATGTAAATAGTAAATGTTTCTTGTGTGCATTATGCATTATGTAAGTCGTTAGTTTTTAGTTAGTATGACGGATGTAGGGCTACCATGTAGAAATACTGTCAATAAATCGTCATTATTATTATTATTATTATTATTATTATTATTATTATTATTATTATTATTATTCCTTTAAAGACACAGTCTTAAAGACGAGGTAGAAGCTGCTGGGAGCTGGGAATGGGGAAGAAACCCTAGAGTTCTTGGGGTTTGCTTCCCACTTCCCCTAATCTTGACCCTGTTTCTGTCAAAACACACCAGTCTCTACACCTGTTGATTTTCTTTTCTCTCTCTTTTTTTTTTTTTTTTTTAGCCTGCTTTAGCATTTACATGAATATTGTAACTAAGCATGATGAGCTGTTTTGATTGGTCATGTGTTGTACTGACTTAATTTATGCATGGCTATGACGCATAATCAGTGGGTTTATTTGATTGAGAAGCCATCGACCTACGCCATTATATTTTCGACAACAGCGCTAGCTTAGTTGGGACGATGACAAAGTACAAGGAAGTCGATTACAAGGGAGGAAAAAGTCACTGGCCGCTTTGGGCGATACCTTTTCTTATAGCAATCTTGCTCCTTTTGATCGGAGTATTTATTTTGTTGACCCTTGGCGTTAAACACCATTGTTTGTTCTTCGACTGCGAACAACCGATCGACAAAGTCATTTCGTCGTCGGATGAACTACCTCGTAATGAAGACGTTGTCCTCGGCGATGATGAAATCAGTATCCACGGAGAACTGATCTTTGAAGAGGCTGCTCCAGACAGTTTACCTCCTAATTCGCATTTACGGGTGAAATTTGAAGACGTTAGCATGATGGATGCTCCTTCGGTACTTCTCGGAGAAACTATGGTCGACTTGTCGAGCTATGATAAAGCGAAGAACCTGAAGTACGAAATCAAGTCCAAAAGGCCAGGTCTTGGTGGCAGTTACAGCGTTTCTGCGACATTGAATGTGGGCTGGAAGGCGAACAAAGAAGCTTGGATAAAACCAGGCGATTACATGACAGACACACATTACGGTGTAAGGATTGAGGACAAGAAACAAGATTACAGGAGGGATATTACTTTGGTTAAATATTAGCACGAGTTAAGGTAAGGAAAATTATGCCGCTTCATGAACAACGACCAAATTTCTGCCTTTTACTCTTCTGTAAGGTTTGTGAAATCTTTTATCACGCGTAAGGTAACACCAGGAAAGCTGAATTAACAATGAACAAAACTTGAAATGCCTACTCATGTTCCAAAAATTTACATCCATAACCTTTAAGAATATTGTAAACGCCCTTTCCTAAAGTTCTGGTAAACATTTCAAGCATGTAATGGCTTTCCTTAACGTCTTATACCGTGGGGGCTAACATAATTAAGAGCAATAGACTAACAGGTGAGCAGAGTGAGTTACATGAAGATAAAGTAACTGCCAACGAAGCAATATTTTTCTCCATGCGAAATAATCAGCTTAATGCTTATATAAACTCTAATGCTCAGAGTGCCTTATAGGGTAGGTCAAGTGATATTTAGCCAAGTGTAAATTAGAAATCTATCTTTAGTTCAATATTTTGTTGGTCAAATATTCTATTCTCTCTTTTTTGGGTTGTACCCTGATTTTTTAGGTGTCAAGGGGAGAAGGGGGCATCATTCTTGCTGTGGACAATGTATAATGAACATTTTTGATTCCCTAGAAAATGTACTTTTTGTTCTGTGTGGAAGGGGTATCCTTTGAAGCTCAAGGCATGTTTTCCAACTCTCCTTGTTTTTTCAAGAAGTCTTGTGGATATAACAAACTCTTGCTCTTTCTTACACTTGGTTTAATCTCCTTCATTGAATTCTACTTAGACATGCTTTTCTATGATATAGTGGAAATCAAGTTGAAGTCTTTCCATTAAAATGTAGTTGGTTCCCTTTTTTTTTTTCTTAGGCCCAAGTCACACTAGAGCTATTTTTTGTTTGCTTGAATGAGAAATCTGTCAACAAGTAACAAGTCTGACCCCCAGTTTCAAAAGCTTACTAATTTTTTGCCAATTGCCAAATTTTCACCAATCTTCAGAGGACCCAGTGTCCTGCCTTGGAGGCTTCCAAAATTTGGAAAAACAAGCATTCATGTTCTTTTAACCATTTAGCTGTCATGATATGTAAGATATGTCTGAACAAAATTTTCATGGCAAGTATTGAAGCCAGCATGAGTAGTGCAAATGTCAACCAAAACACAAAAGATCTGTAGGAAAAAAAGGATCAGTTCTTTTGTAGCAATTCTTGTGAAATTTTTTTCTATCTTTTTTTAAAGTGAGATGGGTCTGTGATTGATATATAAATCAATCAGTGAAGTCTCGGTCGAGGAATATTAGTTTCATGCAACATTTGCCAAAATTTGGTTTGCCAAAATTTGGCTTGCCAATTTGGAAAAGTATCTGATTTTGGTGGCACTTTTTGCTTTAGTGTGACCCGGCCCTAAGGAAGTTTGTTCATTGTTGCAACTCTCAGTATGTGCCTTTTAAACAAATTTAGGAATGGATGGGTATGGAGTGAGAGATGGGAGACATGGTCTAAAACAAAACATACCCATATTTAAGATTTCAGTATGTTTATATTGCTGCTAATGCTTTTATAACCACCTCCTTAAAACTTTGGGCTAAAACATTATTTCCTCATGGGCTTATATTGGGTGTGCAAGAGAGGAAAGGAGATAAGGGTGCAAGCGGAATAATAACTTGATATTTTACTGTTCTTTACCCTCAGATGCCAGATGTACACTTATTCTACTCAAGGACAGATATCACTTGCAGAACATTTTAATTGAAGGATGCACTCTATATTACATTATTAATTCATTATTTTAATGCGATAAGCACTGACAAAATCTGACTGCTCATAGATGGTAGCTTATTCATACTGTCAAGCAAAGTGTAAATATATCCTAAATTATAACATAATAGTATTGGTGTGGTAGTGGGATAAACATTTTATTTAATGCAATTAAAATTAGACCTGCACATTTTGTGTTTTCTCCGGCCAATTACTGTTAAGTCTATGCAGTATTTCAAAATATTTGTGTACTTTTTTTTTAATTTTGCAACCTACTAAACTAGTTGAGTACATACAAAAAGAATCACCTTGCTTTTGTTCACTATGGTAATCTCTGGGATAGAATTAAAAAAATATTGATTTTTTTCATAAAGAGGGATCATCTATTCTGTATTATCTTTACATTTACACACTGATTATAATTGCATTTTCTCTCAGAGTGTGGTTGTATCAGGGTGACTTTGTTTAAAGAGTTTTAAGTTATTAACTTGGGTGATGTACAGTTTTTGGCAAGAGACTTGGACAAAATGATCAGCTTATAAATTTAGAGGTGGGGAATATCCTGGATCAATAATCAACCATCTCTATATTTTAGTTATAGGAGGTTGGCTTCTCTGTGAGATAAAAAACAAAGCAGTGCTTACTTGTTGTCTCTCTGTGTGAGAGCTTCTATAACTTTCATCTTTAATTTTGCTTGAACATGTGCATAAGGGCTTATTAGTTTTTACCCAACCAGCCTTTGTTCTAGGACTCTTGGATCATTAAATTTTTTTAATCCAAATTGAGTACTGTATAAAAGCTGGTGCTGTCTGGTTTAAATTTATTTTGATACCTCACTCTCAACTGAATGTTTACAAGGTGTTGTCTTTTGTTGGATTTACTTTGTTGAAGAAACTACTGTCATTTGCATTGTGGTGCAAATTATGTTAGAGAGGCTTGCAAAAGATAATATCTTGCAAAACGTGTTAGCTTTTGAACGAAATGAAAGCTAGATGTTGTGAATGTGCGAGCAAGATTATTTTGTAGTTCAAAAATAAAGAGCAATTGTTATTGGGGCTTTGTTAATCAGTAAGTGAAAGGTGTTGTCTCATCATAAGGTTTAAATGACTGGAAAAGGTTGATAATTCTAAACAATATTATAGGATAAAAATGCAACTTTTATCTCAAATCTGATTTGTGATTTTCTTAAGCTAACACATTGCTTCCCATGTCAACTTGAAAATGCTGCTCTCAAGTTATAAAAGACAATCATACAAAAACATTGAATTGATGAGAATGGATAAATTTATGAGCTGGATGTCATGTCAGCTTGTTTTATCTAGACTTCTACAGCCTACTTGTGTACCAAATCACTCAGATTTTTTACTTGGCTTCATAGGATATACTTGTTTTTCTGCTTGTTGCTTTTACTGGCTAAGTAGAGTGTCAACCAGAAATACATCAGCATCTGCAATACCAGGCAGATATTCCATGGTCAGGTATTTTCAGATCTGCAGTTACAGGTTAATTTCCATTTTCTTTGGGTGTTTTCAGTTGGAGAAAACTTGAAATATGTCACCCTCTTTTCAGACAAGTGAGTTCCAAGCTCCAAGTAAAATCTTTCACATTCTAGCATTCCCCCCTGGTTTATGATATAGGAATTTTCTTAAAAAATTTGAATTTTAGCCAATTACACCTGCCATCAAATTGTTTGTTAACACTCCCTATGGTGTAGGACAGTGATTCTGTTGAACTGTAACAATACAAGAGGATTATCACCTTTACTAGCGTTAAGTTTTTTACTGGGTCTGATAGAAGAACAGAAGAACTTTGTGCAACCAGTCCAAAATGATGATAGAAATCATCTGAGTTGGAAACGTCTCAAAAAAGATATTTTGAGAGAAACAATGTCTTTGCACTTATCAGAGATTGGAAAGAAGTCAGAAATTATAATGGGGAAACCTGGTTTTGGTGCGTGTTACTGTTTTATTTTGATATTACCTCCTGTTACAGGAAAGGTTATTATGACTGCTCTTGTAGTCCTTGGATATACTTAGATGAATTTTATTTTCTAGATAATTATCATGCTTGATTCACCCTAAATTCGCAGAGTTAAAGTTGCAAGAAACAAAACAGCTGTTATTGTGGAAAAATGGTATTGAAAGGCGTAAAAACGACAGCATAATGGGTATTTACTAGAAACGTCGCAACCCCCTCCCCCCCAGCCCCAATCTCCTCCCCACCTCCCGCCCATGTAAGAGAAGGAATAAGCACAAGATAGCTGCAGGGAAATTTCGATTTCATTCTCCGTGGGAGTGTAAGGTTGATAAGACAGCTGGAGATACTAGACTTATCCGGCATCTCTTTGTCTTTTATCCACTAGATTTCCTTCTGTATTGTTGTTTTTTCAACTTGGAGAACGATTTGTAGGTTTTGCGTGCAGATCCGCGCCACTCTATGTAATATTGAGACACTGCATACTACATGCAGTTAAGCTTATTTAGAATATTGTGCAAGAAAAGTGCTATTTCAGGGCTGTTACAGCATCACAGGCCAGCACAGACGAAGGAAATAATGGAAATTACTGGAAAAATAATCTTTACGGGCGGCTCTGCGCCCGATGTTCTTCCAACTCCTTCGTATTTAACGGTGAAGTTTGAAGACGTGAGTTTGATGGATGCCCCCTCAGTCAAGATCGGCGAATCAGTTGTCGATGTCACAAACATATACAAGAAAGGCGAACCACTGATCTTCACCATTAAGTGCCCCAAACCGTCTCCCACTCAACCAGATTACAGTGTTTCTGCCGTTTTAAATGTAGGCTGGAAACCAGACGGGAACTCGTGGATAAGGAAAGGGGATTATTTAAATGACACCATGCACCATATACCTTTGGAAGTTGGAAAAGATTCGTACAAGATGGACATCGAGGTGATTAAGTACCGATAAAAATAGTGAGCTTGGTAAGTGATTTTTAGCATATTCACCCCTGGTACATAATTGTAATGTGAGATAAAGAACATAAATATTGATTTGATTTAAAACCAAAATGATTGCCTGTATGTTCACTTTTGGATACAACCCTGAAAGAGGAATACGTTACAGCACGGTTCACGTTGTTTTAGTGTCACCAGGGAAGTAGGTAAGACTTCCCTGAAGAGGTTCTCACACGTCCAGTGTCTTATCAGCATTTTGGGCACACTGATACCATTACTAAACAACATGACAATCATTTCCTCTTCACTGAGAGGGGGTTACTAGCATCGCAGAACCCCCCTCTAACCATGCCTCAAGCTAAAACTGTATCATTGCTGCAGTTTTTCACTCAATTAAATGCAATATAAACTAGACTCAGAGACACATCGAAGGATTGAGGATATTCTAAGGTCATATAACAACTTTGTAAATCACATAATTTTTCATTGTGCCATTTACCCTCCCCCCTGAAATTCTGTTTCAGAGAATTTGGTCACATTTTTTAATTAACCCATAGATCCACATCGTTGAGATTTGGGAGTCTTATATGTGTCAGCTTGCATGCTATCCAAGCAGCAGGTGCCGTCTTGAACCATTATTGATGGATGAGACCCTGCAAAAATTTGATGGTCAAATCCATATTTATCATGTTTGTGAATACTTTCATCTTTTTTTCTTTCAGCTTGTCCTGGTTGTATTATTGGACAGGCTTCAAATTCACACTTTTACTCTGAATTTTTTTGATCTTATTAATTTATTTTGGGTGTCTATATTTGTCCTTACGAAGTACATGTGTGTGCAGAGGTGTGAAGGTTTGTCTTAGAATTTGAAAGTCTAGTATGAATAAAAAATTTACATTAACAGATGAAGATTTTTGTCACAAATCTGTTTATTTTCATTAAATATATGTAGGAATTTCATTGATAAATTGATGCCTTGTCTAAAGTTCAGTGGAGCTGTAGATGATTTTCAGGATGTTTAAAAAATAAATGGTATTTTATGGACAAAAAATGTTCCATCATCTCTTTTTGGTCTTTGGAAAGCTATTGGTGTCTTTTTAAGGTGGACTTCCTGCTGAAGAGGGGGTGCTTGGGTCAATTTTTGCTGGGTATGTGCTGCTGGCCACTTAGAATCTCTACTCCATTTAAGTCTATTCTTTGACCAATATAAACCTATTTCAGTCACTATTAGTAACACAGTAAAAACTTTATAATTGTGAGCCTTCCAGAATTTTCTTACCCTAAAATATCCCAACAATGTGTGACCCTTTTCTAGAAACTCCATTGAAATGCAACCCTGTGGTAGTCAATTCAGTGATGAAAATGGGACCTCATCCAGCAGCACATCCCCATTAGCCTATTAGAAAGTACTTCCTCTGGGACTACCAGCTGTTGCTTGCAAAAGGAGTCCATCACCCTCCCCTGGGCTAGACAGTTGTGGAAATTGAGTCTAATTAGCCCTTTTTGCAGTTTGTGCAATAGCTCTGTGCAGTTGGGTGCTGGTGAGAAGTAAAGAGTAATGGCTTAATGTCACTTTCTGAAAAACTATTCACTTACCCCTCCCCTAAAACAGCATTAACCCTAATTTGTTATCAGTTGACTAAGAGTAACAATAATATGGACCTTTTGATTTAAGAGTTATTCCTAATTTCTAGAATTATTCTAAACGAAGGGATATCATAAGCAGCCAATGAGAAGTGAAAATTAATTTCCTGCATTAAGGGCCGAATACATGAGTTTCCTCCTCATTATTGGTTATTTTGTTTCAGCTAGTGGATAACCTTTATTTCCATCGCTTTGAAAACGCAGGACAGCCGCGTGCTCTCCGCGCGTCCTAATCGCGTTTTCAGTTCGTTACTCAGTCCATGTTCAACACATATTTTTAATGTGAAAAGCTAGTCAAAGGAAAGCAAAGAGAAAGTGTAGCGAAATGACCGAGATTTAGTAGAATCAGCCCTGAGGGACTGTTGAGAAAAACGAAACCTGAAAATTGGGGAAGAGCGTAAAGAAAACGAAATCGTTTAACGAAAGTGGGAAGAAAATGGATCATGGAATCAATTTAAGGGACGGCGAAAGATTATTTCTTGTCAGATCGCAGTTTGTAAGATAGCGTAGAGGAAGCAAAAGTGGAAAAGCTGGAGAGAGCAAGAAGAAAAGCGAGACATTGAAATCAGTAAACAGAGTAACAACGCGCAGGAAAACAGTGAAAACGCAGCAAAGCAAAGTTTTTACTCTGCTGATTGTGAGTGCTGAATGCGCGCGTGAAAAGGCGAACTTATGGAATTGATAAAAAGAACGCACAGGAGAACGAGATCATGCAAATAAAGGGAGAACACAGAGAAAGAGTGCAGTGCAACGAAAAGAGACGGAGGAATCAGCAGACAACGTAGAGAAAAGCGAAATCATGAAAATAATTAAGGGACAGCACAAGGAAAGACGAAATAGCGGAATCAGTGGGTGTGGAGAGAATTGCATCGGTGTAGAGGGCGGAGAATGATGATTTTGCAGAAAGAGTATAAGAATAAAAATTTCATTAAAGAAAAATATCAATTAGGGAATTATTGCTTGATCCAATTCCAAATTCTCCAAACTAACATCACATTAATTGTACGGCAGATAGTAAGGAAAATTACTAATGAAATCGTGGGAGTTAAAGGGTTAAGACATCGCAAATTTCTTTTTACATTACAGAGTAGTACCAAGGATTAACTAAAAGCTCCTTTCTTCCTATTTTCTGGCGATTCTAAGAGAGCTGCTTTCTTCCCTGGTTCAGAGCACAGGTGAGGCAACTTTTATGATCCGCCATGTTTTACAAGCAACCACCTGCACAGCTTCGACGAATGAGGAGTTTTAGGATTGACGGAAGCATCGACGTCTGACCCTTGAACACAACTCACGGATCAAGATATGGACTCAAATCTTTTTTCGGGATCCTCAAACTTAAGCTTTAGAAACGATTTCCGTGGCCACCACCGCATCTTGACAAAACGCTGTCTTTGATTCAGTGTGCCTATCGAGTTTCGGATGATGCAATGTAAATGACTCGGGAAACATGACAAAGCCCTACTTTGCTAAAGAGAAAGATCGTTAAGGCGAGGATCGCTGATGTACAAATTGGTGGACTGAGACGCTATTAAATCACTGAAGGACAAGCGAGCTGCTCAAAAGCCGGGATCAATGATAAAATGAACTGACATGACACTACCGAACGAACGGTTTCGTCTCCAGGCCTCATCTGCTGCTCCCTCTTCCCCGAGGGTGGGGCAGAAGAGCGTGGTTGCGTTGCGACTGACGCCTGTGACTGAACAGTTTCTCATTTCCTTTCTACCTCCTCTTTCTCTTTTGAAATATGATCTTTGCTTAGTTATTCTTATCTTTCCTTAACGCCTTAGTCTCGCTTGCAGAACCGAGATCTTTGGTCAGGACTATGGATTGCAAACATAGCTCTGGTGGCAGCTGTCCCAAGTTTTCAAAGAAATTCGACGCTCATAGTGATTTTTGACATTTTGTCCATGTTATTGACCAATCAGATGATACACTGTTTAAAAGAATCGCGCCTCTCAAAATGAGACTCCCAATATCCTCAAAGTATTGCGTAATATTTTAGAGGCGTGTGGATGGATATTTTACATTAGTTCTTATGTAGTTTATCCTTCTTAGCCACAAGCAGGTGCTTATGTTCAATGAATCCTTCAGGAAATGAAGATGTCAAGAAGAGACAGTATGTGACCAGATCAAAATTATTCAACCATGACACGGTAAGCAACGCATCTTTTTCAGCAGAAGAAGTGTGATGTTAATTTGTTTGTATGTGGTCCTTTTTGTAAAAAAATTGGTATTTTATCTTTTCTTTCATTTCTTTACTAAGGAAGCACCAGTACATTCAAGATACAAGTCATGATAAGCCTTCGACACTCGTGACAAACATATTCCATGAACGTCACACAACACCGTGCAGCATCCGAAGCATACACACAAACGTCACAATGCAGTTAAAAAAGTAGCGAGCAGCATACAGATAAGGAAGACAAACGTCGCACAACAAATCACACAAAATAATGACACGTAATAGATCATATCATATAGGCAATCACACAGCAGATCACGCAATACGCATAAAGGTCACGCAAGGGCACATACACTCTCTTTCTAGTAGGGGACTTCTTCATAAACTTTTAGTCAGAGGACTCTGTCTGGTTGGGGAAAGGTCTGACCAACTGACCAACTGCGACTGTACTGTTTAACATGACACCATCAGACAAATCACCCATGCAAATCACAAACAAACTAACTGAATTGCTTACCCAACCGCTGACTCAGACCTCCTCACCCAACTAAATCAGATCTCGCTTTTAGGGCAGGATGAGGTGGTGGCGACACGGAGTCTGCGTGGAGTAACGTCACGCTCACCTCTCGGGGTGTGGCGACCCCGCCCAATCCAAGTCTGCTTCCCCGCGGGATCCCATGCCGGACCTCCTTGGGAACAGCCGCTATTTTCTTCAGATCAGCAATGCATATTATCGTGTATGTTTCATAGGCGGTAACATGTTGGTCTCGGTTTTTTTTTTTTATCAAAATTTATGAAGCTTGTCCCCTTCTCAACACTCCTCTCCTACAACTGCCTTCTCGCATGTCACGTATCAGGATCAATAAACGGGTTTTTAGCCCCTTGTTGGCACTGGTATCGCTGTTGCGACAAGGCGTTGTTATTTGCACCGCTTACTTTCCTTTCTGCTTTGACACTGCTGTCAAAGTTTTTCTCTCTTTTGAAATCGATATTGCGATCGTTTGTTCGATAAAGCAGTGTCGATATGGCTAATATATCACCGCCTCTGCTCCTTTTAATATTAGTCGATATCATTGATGGTATCACTAACTATGGCTATTATAGCTATCCTGTCGGTTTGCAGTTGATAGTGACTGGGTCATTGTCAAAGTCAAGATCAAGTCAAGACGTCTACAAGTTGTATATTAAAGAGCTGAGGCGGCAATATCCTTACGCGCTCAAGAACTTCAAAAAGCTCCAGATGAAAAGCAAGTTCCAATGGTAATATTTTAGGTGATACTTGTTGCCGCGGCGATCATTTCATAAATCAGGCATCCAATCATAACAGATTCCACCATTTGAGTCAGGGGGCGGTGGAGGGGGATTGGAGTCGGCTCCCGCTAAACTTAGGGAGCTTCCTATGGCATTCGAGAGAAAGGAGAGTTAGTGGTTGCATAACTGTCAGAAAGTTCGAGTTTGTGACTGATTTTTTAATTGATCCCCCTGAAGGTGTCAGCCAAAAAGAAATCGTGCGCTTTGTTTTTGTTCACGTAATTTTATGCAGAAAAACTATGACTATATTATCTTGCCCGTTTAAGTCTTCTTAAAAATCTTTTTCCCTTCCTATATATCTTACGCTTCTTAACTTCACAATGACATTGACGACTTCGACTTAAAATACAAACTTTTATTGACGGAGACAATGAATAACACATTTCATCACTAGTTCAGGTGGCTGGAAATAAAAGAACGGTCAATTGGAAGCTGGGAAGACAAACGAAAGGACATAATGTCTGAACCGGAAGTCGACGAATTTTCTTGAAAACCCTCAGGGGGAGATGGGAAGAGAGGGAGGGAGGGGGAGAGAGCGGACATCCTCGTCATTTTCTGAAAAATACAGATAAAACATTTCGTGGTGGAAGCCGACTCGAAGCTAAAGAAGACTTTCGGGAGAGGCTCGACTTGTCGCCAGCTTAAGAACGCTTACGCCACCATGCAGAAGGGGAAAGCTGTAACTTCATTGCCTACCACAGCTCTTTCTAGGGGACTATCACAGCAGTATCCTTGTCATTTTATCCGCAGGGTGAACGTGATGCTTGTGAATACTTATCGAGAGAAATCCATATTGGATTTTTGTTCCTCGTTGTGTAAGCCTTTGTTACGTCGTGTCAAATTTTCCAAACCAAATTTTTGTTGTTATCCTTCATTCCTTGATCACAGAAATACCCGTGAGCCGCCTTCGTCACAGCAAAGTAAGTCTTGATTCTTTGGAATTTCCAAGTGAAATCTGTAGATCGTCGAGAGGGATGAACAGGACAGGGTGAAATTGCTGACGTTTGCAATTGTACGAAAGAACAAGGATTTCCGTGAATTTCAACGCAATTGATATGTCTATTAATTTCTTTAGGACCTGACGATTTCAATCAAAGACAACAACAGACTTTCCCGGTAAATAATTTTTATCTTCTGTAATTCATGTCATATTTTCGTCGACGATCCCACCGATGCTGATGTTTGTTGTCTCGTAGAATTTTGTGACTTTTTTTTGTAGCTATTCTGTGTACAGGTGTTTTGTTCCGTTTCATTAAAAAGTGCTTAGTCACCTAAGATCTAAGCTTTTATAGTGGTTGGTTTGCGAACTGCCCTGTTTGGTTATTATTTTAGGAAAAGTATTTTGTAATTTACTTCCGTGAAGAGGTAGGATCATCGGAAATGTTTGTACATAATTTACGGAAGGTAATGAAAATTCCCAGTCAGGGATTTAAAAGAGGGGAATGTATTTGCAATCCTTTAGTTTTGTTCCTTCTTTTATATGCGTTGAAATATTTTATTATGGAAATGGTTTGCTGTTCTGGCTTAGAATAGACTGAAATATCGACGGGCTCACAGACATCCTTAATTTGGAGCAAACATTTTCATCAATTTCATCCGATCCTGTGTGACAAACACAGTTTTTTATTTCGTTTGGCGATCTCCGGTTTTCATTCACTTGTTATTTGATTAAACTAGGATTTTGTCGATCAGTAGCCTGGCTGGTTCGAGACGGGCGGGGCGAGAAACCGGTGGCAGAATAGATTAGGTAAAAGTAGAATTTCTGTTCAGGAAGAGACTGGGTAGCAAACAATTTATGGTGACAACACAAACATTTAGCAAAAGTTTAAGTCTTTCAGACCACGTTCAGAGTTGCAGAGGATAGGAACTCAAAGAGTGACCCTAAATAATATTTCTCTTCCATATAAACATTGCTCAACAAAATGCTACCAACTTCAAGATTATGTTGAGCAATCAACATCAGGTTACCTTTTGTTTGAGCTTGGTTATTAAGCTAAATGGTTCTAGGCTTTGTTCAGTCCTTTCCCAATTTCTTCATGAACAGCAGAACATTTTAAAATCGAACTATTTTTAATGGAATGTACATGATGGGGATTTCAAAATGTGTTGAAGTTTCAGTTTCAGTTTCAGTTTCAGGCAAGTATAATTATTACTTTGTGTAAGATATATTGGCCAGTAAATGTTTTTCCTTTTTTCTTTAAACTTAATATTTGCTTCATATGCAGATAACAATTTTTTGAGTCATCTTTTTTTAATTGGAAAAAAAAAACTCATTGATAGTGTGTAGAGTGGTATGTTGCAATCAGATCTTCACATTAGGGTTTGGATCTCACACCCATCTGATTGCTGCATTAGGATATATATCTCACACCAATCAAATTGGCGCATTACAGTATGTATCTGGCACCAATCATATCATAGCATTTGGATATTGTTTTCTTGCAAATGATGTCATGAAATTAGGAGGCTGTGCACAAAGAATGACATTAACTAGAAATTTTGGGCTCATTATTTTGATAAGTGTTATTATTGTGGCCTTTGTAAGAGCCTCGTCACGTGAGGTTGAGATTTATTGGGATAATTTTTAAGTTAACATGTGTTTTTCCGCTCCTTTTCTCACAACACACACACCAAACAACTGACATTCCATCACGTACTGTGAAAACAACATCTAAAGTCCAATCAGAACATACCAAATCATTGCTCTACATGAACATTGGACAATTTTTCATGTACTTGAATTGTATTCTACCAATCAAATCCCATTTCTCCATATTGGACCTAGCTCTGTCACATGCTATTTCCTTGTAAACAACCTGCATTTTATCACGTGTTCTAACTGCATTATCCAACACCACAGAAAAAAATTCACATGAAACTTTGTGCTACTGATAGTGAATTTTCCACACATTCTCCTGCGTTTTGAATTTTTCTGCAGATAAAATTTGCTTTTAGCTACCTTGGACTTAACCCAAACGCATGTTAATTCCTTGTGAACAACATACATTTTTTCACATATGTCACACACACAGAGGGCAAATCAAAGTCCAGATAGGCAAAAACCAGTCAAGGAACCTTCTTCAAAATATTATCCTTTTCTCTGGCTCAGTGTATCTTCCCTTATACTAGATTGCAGTATATCTTTGGTCAGGGTATATTGAAGACACAACAGTTTCAGTTTGCTTTTCACAGTAAAATATGTTTTCAAGTTGACTAACTGTAGATGAATAATTTTGATTTTCTTTCTGTTAGAGAAAAGGCTGCAAGCGTAGTCTCTTTTGCAATCATTATTTGGTCTTGTCACACAGTGGCTCTCTCTCCAACAGGGAAGAGAGGGCGTTGCATAACAAGACCAAACAATGGCCGCAGAGACAACAGTAGTGATACGTTTTATCTTTGCTCAGAGGTATTTAGATGATAGAGACAATAGACCACAAAATTCCTGTGTAATGTGATATTTTTGTTCTATTGAAAGTTATGAAAATATAAGGAACACAAACTGTCCCATCTCGACTTACCCAGCTAAAAAAGTAACTCTTGCATGCTATGTATGCTTATGTTTTTCTTGGTTTGGAAATGAGTGTGAATACGTAAGTCTTATGATCATGAGTATCCTTTTTAGTTTGGAAAAAATCCTAAGATGACAAGATTCTTACAGTACACAACACCTCATTCTCATTTTTAGATTACCAACTTCCTTGACTCAATAACTTAAAACATAGAGTTTGGCTTTTTGCTTTCATAGTTCATGTATGGCAGATTGTACTGATTTTGAATAAAGAAATGTCATTCTCTAAAAGGTTTCTTTTCTAAAATAGGGAAGGTAATAAATTTGCTATTGACAGTGTAAAGTTTTACAAGATATAGCTTAAATTCTGCTTGTAGAGTATTGATCTGTGCGTTACTGTCTTTTCATGCACAGGCTGATAAGGGGCAAATTCCTGGTCCACCTCAGATGCAGTACAGACATCAGCAACCCATGCCAGGGCCATTTCCTCCTGTATCAGGTCCTTCCCAGGGTCCTGGCCATTTTGTTTTTACTCCTCAACAAACAGGTTATCCAGTGGGACAGCCAAGTCATATGTATATTCTTAGGGCTACTCCACCTCCCATGAATACATTACCGCAGTACAGTCCTAGTCAAAATTTTGAGCCACGCGCACGGGAGAGGAAAATAATTCAAATAAAAGATCCAAATAGTAACAAAGATGTGACACAGGAAATTCTTAATCGTCAACCATCAGGAAGTGTATCAGGAAGTGCATCAGGAAGTACTGGGGGTACACCAACAAACACCCCATGTATATCAGGACAGTCCAGTCGTTCAAGTACACCTCCACTAACATCACAGCAACAAGATGTGCGAGCACAGTTTGCAGTGCAGGTAGCTGCAATTTTAACTAGTGACACAGATAAAAACTTTGAGCTAACCCTGGAGGGATCTGTAGGAGAAGAAGTTATGCTAAAAGCTCCTCAATCAGAGGGTGCAGAAGTTGAGGAGAGGGTCAACGGGCAAGAGGCTGAGGCTAAAATGGCAAGTGTTACAAAGAACTGTACTGATGTTCAAGGAGCAGGTTTGTATATCTACTCTATATGCTCTTACCCCATAAAAGTAGATTGCCATGGTTGCAGAGTTTAAAAGCCAAGTCTGATTCCATTGCTGGTTGTTGAATTGAGAGAAGATATTTGTTTTTGAAAACAAATTTTTAAAGGCAAAATTTTTAAAATCAGTTGTAGATCATACTATAATTTGGTCACTTGATACAGATATGAATACAACTGTGTGCAGTGTGTTCATAAATGGCTATGTGGAAGGACCTAGACTGTATGACAATGAATTAAAATTGACTGAATACATTGTGTGAAAATGAGAAAGGTTAAATTTGGTCCTGTACTCAGTCAGTTTTAGCCCCATTTAATGAAGTTGAAGAAATTTGGGCAATCCATTCAGATTGCCCAGTCTAGTAATTTTTTGTGAGGCACAACTTTTATATTGCTTTCTTTTGGCTGTGTGGAAAACTATAGGGCTGGCTATTTTTCTATCAATTTTAATTTTTGCTTGAACTCTGATATGCCAAAAGTGTTTGTTTGTGGTATCAATACTTCTTAATCTGTACTGAACTAAAGTTGTAGTCATTTTTCCCGATCAATTTTCTTAGTTAAGGGAGACAAATATAGATATTTGTGAATTCCATTTCATTGCAAATAAAAAAATTGCATTGTTGGTTTGTTCTGACTTGTACGTAATAAATGTCACTTCCATTTCAACAGAGGCATCCTTTCCAGACCTTGATGAAAAGCCTAAAAAACAAGATGGGGAAAGGCTCACATATGAAAGGGATTTCTTGTTGCAGTTTCAGACCCATCCAATGTGTATGTTGAAGCCTGAAGGTCTGCCTGATTTAGAAATTGTTCTTCGCCAAGCAAGAACTCCCTCCAGATCACGATTTTCTCAGAACAGGTAAAACAGGCCAGGCAATGCATATGTCTCTCCGCAAACATCCTTAATGTAATGTTGACTCTGATGGTTCTTTGAAAAGATCTGCATGGTATACTGCCCCCATAGCTCTGAATTATCTGGCTTTTACTGAATGGTTTTCCTTTTGTGCTCAGTTATTGTCCTATTTTTATGTGCATTGTAACTTAAGGTTTTGGCATTTTCCATTACTCTGTGATCTTCACTGGCTGCTCTGTGCAGATGCCAACTGGTTAGATAAATAACCATTGAACTGGCTCTACCCTGCTGTCACTGATGCCAGCAGTTCCACATGTATTCAGGAATTTTCTGTAGTAAAAGCACTACTGTTGAGGGAATGGTTTTGTCTATTCTAAAACTAAGAGCTATTCAGCATATATATATATAACTGTTTATATTAGTATATAACAGTATATACACCACTGTTTGTGATACTACTTGTGGCATTTGTTCATTTTAAGTTGTGTTTTTACTCTTTCTGTTGCAGGATGCAACCCAAAGATGGTGGTGAAAATATGTTTTTACCCTCATACCTTAGGCAAAATTCAAGAGTATGTCACTCAGTTTAGTTTTGCTTTTTCTGTTGTATTTGAACTATACAAGATGTTAGAGACATATATATTGATTATACTCTAGCTATCACAAGAAAACATGGTACGTACATGGTAAAGTGAATCATTTGGTGTAACTGTGATTTTTATGAAGAGTAGCTCATGGTAGCAGGTAGATCTACCTGTAATGCACTTGCTACCTGCTTGAAGCCTTCACATAATACATCTTTGTAGTCCTAACATACATCTTCAAATAGGTTTTCACCAAAGCACAACTACATGACATAATTTAGCATTGACCCTAAAATGTAGGAAAATCAAAACCTTAAAAATTTCCCAAGGTGCTGAAATCTCGCTAGGAATAGAAGACTCTCCATGCAGGCCTTCAAAACATCTTGGGGCCCCCCCATTCTAAAGTACCTATTTGTACCCATTGTTTTTTAAGCCATCATAAGAGATGTCTACTGCGCACCCATCTTTGATCAAATTGGATAAAAATTCTCAACAGCTATCTCCTTAAAAATTGTAGAATAACTCCTCAAACTAAAGTGCAGGACATAGAAATGTAGAAATAAATTAACCCAATAGCTTAATTTTTTTATTCACATTTTGCTTTACCATGAGGGTATGAGTAACCTATAGTACAAGATTTTAAATTGCTCTTACAGTATCAAAATTGTCACTGCAAATTTAAGGGCTAAAAAATTAATTTTACGTCATTGTTAATGTTGATTAAATGACCTAATATGATTGCAGCAACTGAAAAGAACAAAGAAAAGATGAGTGTCACCAAGTGAAGCTGCAAAATATGACCTCAGTGAAGAACAGATAAAGACTGAGGTATGTTTTCCAAGTATGTAAATATAAATTTAGGTTTACTAATGAAGTGATGGCACAGGGGGAAGAATTCATATTGTCAGCAACACACTAATCCTCTGTCATGTAATGTATAATGATTTCTGATGCAATTGTAAATAGATGATGGACTGTTGGTGAAGTTATTTATCATTGTAATTTGATATCCTATAAGCGTGTTGTGATAGTGACAGAAGCAAATACTATAGTTAACTACAGTGCATAATTGTGATATGAGATGATATTTTACCTTGTGGTCCTTTGAAACAATTGATAATGGTGATGTCTTGGTTTCAAGCTGAGATAATTTACATAGAGTATATTTCAGTGGAGTGTTGTTGAACCAAAGCCATAGTATTCACAGCTGCTAATATGAGATCAAAGGTGGATACAAAAAGAGCCTATTTGAACTCAAAAGTTAAAACAAGCACATTGTGTGAAGTACAGGAAAGCATGAGTCGGCAGGAGACTGTTGATGAAGCTACATTCAGTGTGGCTTAATTATGCATATAAAGATGTGCTGATGCCTCATTGCTGTGAGTAGATAAGGTTAAGGAATAATCATTAGTCTGTATGAAGGCACAGAACGTTTTTGGCAATCATGTATCTGTCTGATTGAGTGATGAAGTTTGATATCTTTTTTTACACAGAAGTGATGAAAATGTGACCTCATCCAGTGGCACACCTCCATTAGCTGATTAGTAGAAAGTACTTCCCCTGGGACTATACCAGCTGCTGCTTGCAAAATTAAAAAATGTAGAGCAATTATTGGTGGGGCTTTGTTAATCAGTAAGTAAAAGGTGTTGATAATTTTAAATGATATTATGGAATAAAAATTCAACTTTTATCTCAAATCTGATTTGTGGTTTCCTTAGGCTAACATATTGCTTCCCATGTCAACTTGTAAACTCTGCTCTCAAGGTATAACAGATTATCATACAAAATCAATGAATGGATGAGAAAGGATACATTTATGAGTTGGATGTCATATCTGCGTGTTTCATCTTAGTCTGCTGGAGCCTACCGTATTTTACTCGTGTATAAGTCGACCTTTTGTGACCAAAAAATCACCCTCGACTTCTACACGAGTCATACACAAAGACCTGGCCCAAGGAATCCAATAAATTAGCATAACAATTGCCTGAAGTCCGTTAGGAATACCGAGTTTATTAAACCAGTTCTAATTGTGTGCGAGCTTTGTCACTTTTCAGCGCATTCTTCATCAACAAAAAAGTTTGAAATGATAAATTTTAAGTGGCTCAACACAGAGCTACTGGAGCTGATTTCTATTGTGTCTGCGGACTGTAGGGCAGACATTTTTGCTTGTAGCTTCGCTGCTGTTTACGGTGCTGAACTTTCGTCTTCATCGAACGATTTCAGTAGCTCAATGACCTGGCAAATGTTGTTGTCTCGTGCGGTCTTGTTTGTCACGCGCCATCGTTCGAAGCTCGTCGGTATTCTTCTGGGCCGGGTTGTTCAAAGCTGGGTTAAGATAACCCAGGGTTAGTGTGAAATCCGATTTCAGATCTAAAAGCTTTACAAGAAAATTCAGTCGAATTCTTTTTGTTTAGAGTATGACTACTTGATGCTTTAAAAAGGACACTGAAAATTTTCCCAAAAAGGCTTTTGAGTAAAGGAATAAAGAAACGCAGATTAAAATTTAACCCTGGGTTAGCGCTAATCGGCCTTCGAACAACAGGGCCCTGGTCTACTTAATCTCCTTTCAAACTCAACATTAAGATAAAGGTTGGTTAAATGCAAGAAGATTCCGTTTTCAATGTGATTTACAAAATATGGTGAAATACTTCTCCAGTAAATCAAAGTGCTCCTGTACTCAAGCCTACCTGTGGTTTTTGATCTATAGTCTTTTAATTAGCAAATTACATCCAATAAATTAATAACAATTAACGAATTAATTATCGACTTAGAGACACGTCACAATTAACATGGAGTTATTGAGCGCTAGCTTCGGACAAGTTAGGCGTGGTTTTCAGAGGAGTGGCAATTTCCTTCCTGCTGTTTCCGCGTGAGTTTTAGAGCTTTCAAAAACCTGCCAGGTTTGTAGCTAGCAATCCAGAAACTTCGCAAATGAAGAGAGCTTGAACTTGTGAGGACTTTTCTTTCAACCGCACACGGAGCAAACTTCGACACGAGAAGAACGTTTACCTGCGCGATTCACACCTTCTGTCATCGAATGTTATTTTCATGAAAGGTCAGTTTTATAGTTATTTTGGGGTAAAGAATAAGGTCGTAAAAGAAAACAGGAAGAAGAAAAATGGGGGAAGAGATGGTAACCTCTTTAACACAAAAGACAAACATTGCGCGCGTTAAGAGTTTGGCCTCACGCGTGTCACGAACCTTGCTCAGATCGTTCAGACACCTCGTTCAGAAATAACTTTCGAGTGGATCTTCAAATTATGAAACTTTTAAAAAGAAGAAATGTGAAGTGTAAAGACATTAATCACTTCAGATTTAAACTTAGTGCATTGAAGGAAAATGCAATCAAAATTAAGCATACGTCAACTTGAAGTTAATTTTAATGGCAACTTCTTATTAACCAATAAGCTGGTTGCAATTATAAATATTTAGAGAGGATAGTTTTTTAGCTTGCGTGGTCGTCTTCTAGAGTCAGTGTAAATCATAATTGTGCGAGGTGAACTATTTCCCGGCTATCCATAAGCAACCAGAAGACATTGTTCATTAGGAAAGATAGTACTATGAAAGATGGAGAGGTAAAAAGCGTTCTTGTGAATGGTGAATACGGGCGGGAAAAGGCAAGCTTGAGAGCGCAAAGGAAAACGAAATCATGGAATCTATTTAAGGAACGGAGGAAGATTGTTTCTGGCCAGGTCACAGTTGGTAAGATAGCGTAGAGGAAGCAAAACTGTAAAACCTTGCGAGAGCACGAAGAAAAGCGAGACATTGAAATCAATGAACAGAGTAACAGCGCGCAGGAAAACAGTGAAAACTAACGCAACAATGCAAAGTTTTACTCTGCTGATTGTGAATGTTGAATGCGTGCGTGAAAAGGCGAGCTCACGGAATTGGTAAAGAGAACGCACAAGAGAACGAGATCATGCAAATAAAGGGAGAACACAGAGAAAAATGAAATTCTTGGAATTAGAGGAGATAAGAGTACGGAGAAAAGCGAGTCAGCGGGGAAAAGTTAGAGAGCAGAAAGCGCAGAGAAAGCGAATTGTGAAATGAGCAGGGGGTGCAATGCAACGAAAATAGACGAGAGGAATCAGCAGTCAACGCAAAGAAAAGTGAAATCATGAAATTCAATAAGGGACGGCGTAAGAGAGAGGCAAAATGGTGGAATAAGTGGATTTAGAGAAAATTGCATCAGTGCAGAGGGCGGAGAAAGATGGTTTTGCAGAAAGCGTAGAGGAAGCAAAATTTGGAGTGCTGCTGTGAGCGCGAAGAGACTCGAGTCATTCAAATGATCGCGTGGAAAACAGTTCAATCGTCTCGCTAGAAAGGTTTTATCTAAACTCTGCTGAGCTTGGAGCAGATCGTGGAAAAAGAGAGATAGAGATATCAATTTAGCATTCGGAAACAGCGAGACGGTGAAATCCGTGAAGAAATGACGAATTTGTAACATCATGGAAAGCTGGTAAATAAATGACCTATAAATATTTTTGAGTGTGAACGAACAATGCATTTGCGACATACCGCGCGCATTAATAAGCGAAATTTTTAAACAAGAGGAATTTACGGGAAGAAGTGGAATGGCCGAAAAGCAATGGAAAATAATGGAAGGCGCAATTTATGATCAGGGAAAGACAAAATATAGCGGCGGGCGCGAGAAAAAATTGAATAGAGGCCGAGAAATCGATGCAAGCACAGGGAAAAAAAGGAGATCGAAAAGTCAGGCGTAAAAAAAGGGACACTGTAATATTGTGAAATCAGACATAGCGCGAGAAAAGAATGAATAATAAAAATCAGCCAACGGAGAAAAGGGAAAATTGTGAAATTAGCAAATGAAACGCGAAAAAACAGAAGAAGGAACCTTTCGATTTTCCAAAAACTCTTGTGCGCTCAGGATAAAAGCGGCTTGTGATGGCAAATTAATAGTTTTTTTTTCAGTTATAAAGCTGTTTGAAATTAAGACATTATAAATTTCTTTTTACATAACAGGGTGGTACCAAGGATTCACTGAAAGCTCCCCTCCTTCCTGTTTTCTGGCGATCTCAAGAGAACAGCTATGTGCCCTGGTTCAGAGCACAGGCGAGGCAGCTTTTATAATCCCCAATGTTTTACAAGCAACCACCTGCACAGCTTCGAGGAATAAGGGGTGTTAGATTGACGGACGCATCGACGTCTGACCCCTGAACACAACTCACGGACCAAGATGTAGTCTCAAGTCTTTTTTCGGATCTTTAGAAACGATTCCCGTGGCCACCTCCGTACCTTGCCAAAACGTTGTCTTTGATTCAGAGTACCCAACGAGCTTCGGCTGATGCGATGTAAATGACTCAGGAAACATGACACAGCCCTATTTCGCTAAAGAGAAAGATCTTTAAGTCGAGGATCGCTGATGTACAAATGGTTAGACTCAGACGCTATCAAATCACTGAAGGACAAGCGAGCTACTCAAAAATCAGAAACAATAACAAAATGAACTGACGTGACATTACCGCACGAACAGTTTCGTCTCCAGGCCTCTTCTGCTGCTCGCTCTTCCTCGAGGGTGGGGCACAAGAGCTTGGTTGCGGTGCGACTGACGTCTGTGACTGAACAGTTTCTCATTTCCTTTCTACCTCCTCTTCCTCTTTTGAAATCTGATCTTTGCTCCGTCATTCTTACCTGTCTTTAACGCCTTAGTCTCGTTCGCAGAGCTGAGATCTACTTTGTCAGGACCACGGATTGCAAACATAGCTCTGATGGCAGCCGTCCCAAGTTTTCAAAGAAACCCGACGCTCATAATGATCTTTGATATTTTGTCCATGTTATTGACCATCAGATTTCAGGATCGGAAAAGGGATTTCTTCGGCTTGTTTGCACTGAGACACTCGTTAAAAGAATCGCGCCTCTCAGAACGAGACTCCCAATATCCTCAAAGTATTGCGTAATATTTTAGAGGCGAGTGGATGGATATTTTACATTAGTGCTTATGTAATTTATCCTTCTTAGCCACAAGCAGATGCTTATGTTCAATGAATCCTTTAGGAAACAAAGATTTCAAGAAAAGACAGGAAAGGGCAAGATCAAGTTTATTAACTATGATCCGGTACGTGACACATCAGTCTTTTTCAGCGGAAGAAGTGTGATTTTACTTTGTTTGTATGTGGTCTTTTTTGTAAAAATTTGGTATTTTATCTTTTCTTTGATTTCTTTTTTAGGAAGCACCAGTGCATTCAAGATACAAGTCAAGAGAAGCATTTTCAACCATTACCTTCGACACTCGTGACAGACACATTCTATACACGTCACACAATAGATCACACAACACCATGCAGCATCCGGATCATACAGACAAACGTCACAATGCAGTTCAAAAAATAACAAGCAGCATACAGATAAGGAGGACAAACGTCACACAACAAATCACAAAAAATAATGACACGTAATAGATTACATCATATAGGCAATCACACAGCAGATCACGCACTATGCATAAAGGTCACGCAAAGGTGCATAAGCTCTCTTTATAGTTGAGGTGGGGGCCTCTTCATAAACTTTAAATCAGAGGACTCTGGTTGGGGAAAGGTCTGAACAACTGACGAACTGACCAACAGCGACTGTACTGTTTAACATGACACTATCAGACAAATCACCCATGCAAATCACAAACAAACAAACTAACTGAATTGCTTACCCAACTGCTGACTTAGACCTCCTTCCCCAACTAAATCAGACCTCGCTTTTAGGGCAGGATGAGGTGGTGGCGCCACGGAGTCTGCGTGGAGCAACGTCACGCTCACCTCTCGGGGTGTGGCGACCCCGCCCAATCCAAGTCTGCTTCCCCTCGGGATCCCATGCTGGATCCCCCCCGGGAACAGCCGCTTTTTGCTTCAGATCAGCAATGCATGTTATCGTGTATGTTTCATAGGCGGTGACATGTTGGTCTCGGTTTTTTTTTTTTATCAAAGTTTTTGAAGCTTGTCCCCTCCTCAACTCGTCTCTCTTACAACTGTCTTCTCGCATATCACGTATCGGGGTCAATAAACGGGTTTTTAGCCCCTTGTTGGCACTGGTATCGCTGTTGCGACAAAGCGTTGTTACTTGCGCCGCTTACTTTCCTTTCTGCTTTGACACTGCTGTCAAAGTTTTTCTCTCTTTTGAAATCGATATTGCGATCGTTTATTCGATAGAGCAGTATCGATATGGCTAATATATTACCGCCTCTGCTCCTTTAAAAATAATCGATATAATTTACGATATCACTAATTATGCCTATTATAGCTATCCTATCGGTTTGTAGTTGATAGTGATTAGGTCATTGTCAAGGTCAGCCATAGGACAGCTACGCTTTCTCTCTCTGTCTCATGCCTTGCACTCGCCAAAACTTTTCATGAAGAAAATGTTGAATCTAATGATTGTTAAATTGAACATTTAACTACTAATCTCTTTTCAAGATTTTCGTTTCAGGAATTAAGATCAAGTCAAGACGTCGACAAGTTGTAAATAAATTGAAGAGCAGAGGCGGCAATATCACTACGCGCTCAAGAGCTTCAACAAGGTGCAGATGAAAAGAAAGTTCCAACGGTAATATTTTGGGTGACGCTCTTAAGTCAGGCATCAAATCATAACAAAATCCATTATTTGTGTTGGGGTACGGTGGAGGGGGATTGGAGCTGAGTTCCGCTAAATGTTGGTGGCTTCCGATCCAACGGCATTTAAGAAAAAAGTTCGATTTTGTGACTGATTTTGAATTGATTCTCCTGAAGGTATCAGCCAGAAATAAGTCGTGCGCTTCGTTTATGTCCGCGTAATTTTATGCAAAAAAACTATGATTATATATCTTGCCTGTCTAAGTCTTCTTAAAAATCTTTTCCCTTCCTATCTTACGCTTCTTAACTTCACAATGACAATGACGACTTCGACTTAAAATACAAACTTTTACTGACGGAGACAATGAATAGCACACGTCATCGCTAATTCAGGTTTGATTAGCTGGAAATTTAGAACTTGGGAAGACAAATGAGACGATGTATTGTTCGAACCGGAAGTCGTCGAATTTTCTTGGAAACGCTCAGAGAGAGTGCAGAGCGTGACATCTTCCTCATTTTCTAAGAATCCAGATGAGCTATTTTGGGGTGGAAGCTGACTCGTTTGACCTTTGAGATTTGTTATTGCTGCTTTTATTTTAGCCCAGTGATTCGGGATAATTTGTGAACATTTCTTTTTCGATATTCAATATTTATTTTGAACCATATCTCGTAATGCATGATTCCCAAGTATTAAACTCAAGAAAGCATCATTCCTTCTAATTCAACTGGAACTAAAAGATTCTATAGAGACTTGTGGGAATGTTTTAGCCGCTATACAGCCGACTCGTTGCTATTTGAAGAGTGCACACGAAACTTCTCTCTCCAAATCACTGGAGTGTTGAATTAATTGATTGATTCTTCAAAAATAAAACTGTTGTTATTTTAAAATATGGCTTTGTGTGCTTGTCTCTTTTCTTGTCCGAATAGATTACTCTTCAAGTTTATTGGGGACCAAATATTTAATTGGACACCGAAAAAGATAACCTGAAAGATTACGAGGGAAAAGAAAAGAAAATATATATTGGGGCTTACTGGCACTAGCTAAGGAGGAGACATTTTTCGCGGGAAAATTTTGAAAATTTCTCCATGTGCAAATCACGTGTCATACTCTCTCTAACATGACGTCACCATACCGGACTTCTCTGCGGCTTTCGCCGAAGAGCAGCCATGTTGGATTGAAATAGTTTTCATCCCCTCTAATCTGTGTGCCTGAAACATCATCAAGAACCAAGAAGATAAGAAGAAGACCTAAGACTATCTAAGAATACGCTGTTGCTATTTGGTTTGTGTTTGTGAACTTTTTTCAAAGTCATAGTCCAAAGCAAAAGAAGACCTTCGTGAGAAGCTTGACTTGTCGCTAGCGTAAGAACGCTTACGCCACTATGCAGAAGGGGAAAACTGCAACTTCCCCGCCTGCCATGGTTATTCCTAGAGGACCATCACAACAGTATCCTTGTCATTTTATCCGTACGGTGAATGTGATGTTTGTGAACACTCATCGAGAGTAATCCAGATTTGATCTCTGTTCCTCGTAGTGTAAGCCTTTGTTATGTCGTGTCAAATTTTCCAAACCAAGTTTTTGTTGTTATCCTTCATTCCTTGATCACAGAAATGCCCGAGGCCCGCCTTCGTCACAGCAAAGTAGGTCTTGATTCTTTGAAATTTCCAAGTGTAATCTGTAGATCGTTGAAAGGGATAATCAGGACTGGGTGAAATTGCTGACGTTTGTACGAAAGAGGAAGGATTTCCGTTAATTTCAACGCAATTGATATTTTTATTCATTTCTTTAGGAACTGAGGATTTCAATCAAAGACCACCACAGACTTTCCCGGTATATAATTTTTATATTTTGTGATTCATGCCATATTTTCGTCGACGATCCCACCGATGCTGGTGTTTTGTTGTCTCATGGAATTTTGTGACTTTCTTGTAGCACAACAGTTCTTCCCTAGCGGTCATGAATGAATTTCTGTGTACAGGTGTTTTGTTTCGTTTCTAAGGGACTGTGTACTTTGTTAAAAAGTGCTTAGTCACCTAAGATCTAAGCTTTTATAGTGGTTGGTCATAGTACTGTCCTGTTTGGTTATTATTTTAGGAAAGAATCTTTTGTATTTTACTTCCGTCAAGAGGTACGAATTTTGAATCGAAAGATCATTGGCAATATTTGTACATAATTTACAGAAGGAGGGGAAATTTCCCCAGTCGGGGATTTCAAAGAAGTGAATATATTTGTAATCCTTGAGTTTTGTTATTTCTTGTGTACTCTTTTCAATTTGTTGAAATATTTTATAATCGAAATGGTTCGCTCTTGCGGCGTTGATAGACTGAAATTTCTACGGGTCCTAGACATTCTTAATTTTCGAGCAAACATTGTTATCACTTCTGTTCGATTGTGTGTGACAAACACAGTCCCTTTTTCCCGTTTTAAAACTGTTTTTGTGTGTCATTCGGTAATCTTCGGTTTTCGTTCACGTGTTATTTGATTAAGCTAGGATTTTGTCGATCAGTAGCCTGGCTGGTTCGAGACGGGGGTGGGGCGAGAAACCGGTGGCAGAATAGATTAAATATAAGTAGAATTTCTGTTCAGGAAGGGAAGAACTTGCCGGAAACTGAAACTTCAACACATTTTGAAATCCCCATCATGGACATTCCTTTAAAAATAGTTTGATTTTAAAATGTTGCGTTATTTTAATCTGGTACTGCTTGTTGTACAGAAATTGTGAAAGGACTAAACAAAGCCGAAAATAATTTAGCATATAACCTCAAACAAAAGGTAACCTGAAGTGGATTACTCAACATAATTTCAAAGTTGGTAGCATTTTGTTGTACAATGTTTATAAGACGGGGAAATAATATTAAGTGTCTCTCTTTGAGTTCTATCCACCACAACTTTGAACCTGGTCTGAAAGACTTAAACTTTTGCTAAATGTTTGTGTTTTCACCACAAATTGCCTGCTTTAATTATTATTTCAGATAAAATATGTTGGCCAGTAAATGTTTTTCCTTTGTCTCTAAACTCTTATGCAGAAGGCAATTTTTTTTTGGTTTGGAAATGAGTGTGAATGCTTAAGTTTGAAAGGTTTCCTTTTTAGTTTTGAAAAAGCTTAGTGACAAGTATTATTGTACACAACACATCATTCTTATTTTTAGATAACCTACTTCCTGTACTCAATAACTTGAAACATAGAGTCTGGATTGTTGGGTCTTCTCTTTGCTGAATTTCAATTTCAGTTGTGAATGTGACAAAACTGTCATTTGCCCATTCTTGACCTATTTTTTCGAACAAAGCAAATTGCAACTATTGTGCTATTAATTAAAAGTGGTATTTCTTCTAAACCAGTAACTTTGGTTAGACCTGGGTGATTTCATGGCTGGCATCTTCAGTTTAAAAATATTTCTTTGCTTGTGAATTGTTGGTTCCTCCATGTTACTTTCTCTTATGGCTCCTGTCTTGCTTTTTTTTATATCAACTATGTTTGTTCTGCTTATTGCTAGAGCAATCAGTGCCTGTCCATAGTAGCCTTTTTCTTTAATGAGCTTAGACTTGTGAAACTTCTGTTTGTACAGGCAGGTGACAAAGATTGTCAGCTTCACAGCTTTTCACAAGGCAAGCCAAGACTTGCATGTACTAGGCTGGAAAACTTATTTTAACTAACTTGAAATTTTCCATGTGGTATTTTAGACATGGTTATTTGCAAGATTTGTCAATCTTGATGGATCTAAATCTAGCACATGACATCAGCATTTTCTTGCCTTGAGGGTTAATCAAATTTTTAAGTGTAATAGATCCCAGGTTAATTTTAGAAGTCAGTTTGAATTTAGACCAAAAGAAACTCTACAATTGGGCATTCTATTTGTCTCATAGTTCGTTTGTGGCAGTTTGTATTGAATATGAATAAAGAGCCTGTCTCTACAGAGATGCCATTCTTTAAAAGGTTTCTTTCCAAAATAGGGAAGGTGATAAATGTCCCTTTTAGTTCTTGATTTTCATGATTACTTGGACTCTGATAAAGATTTCATTTTTTTTGTGTGAGCAGTGTGATAGAAACAGTAAGTTACTGAACTGCTGGGAAACAGCTTTGTGTTGTAGTTCAATTTTCTTTTTGGCTAAGTTTTTGACCCTCTCATTGTCAAATTCATTATCATACTCTACCATATGATCCACAAAATTAATGTGAAGTCATTTTTTAAACAACTACTGTTTGTGACCCAAAATGGATGAAAAAATGTCTGTCTATTTTTGTTCCGGCAAGTTTAGGAAGGGCCACCTTGAACAGATCTTTAATTATGACATTGCATCCATGGAAATGATCAACAAGGAACAAAATTTATTGCAAGTCAAGTCAGAGTTCAGAGTGAAGGGAATCTCTTGTCATTTGAATTTTTCTCTGTGCACATGTTAAAAAAAACAGATGAAAATTCAATGCTTTTTTTCCATATCAGTTGTGAAATTTTATATTGTATTACCAAGGTTAGGGCTTGAAATTAGTTTTTTTTTTCTGATAGTTACTTGGCTCCTAAATTCTTCAAAGTGGTAGCCAATAGAAAAAAAGTTGGTTGCTATTTTCAAAGACAAACAAAACCTTTTTTTTTATGCTGTCAATGTTCTAGATGGACCCTCCAAAATTAAGTTAGGATAAAGATCTCTAATGTGCTACAAAGTGAACACTAGGATGGATGATATACAATGTTCAAACTCACCTAAATCCAAGATGGTGTCTAGTTATCAATTGAGATGCATGTGCTGTGTTTTGGAAACAAACTTAATGAGGAAGTTCGCTGCGGATTTATCTTTGCAAATCTTTTTAATTCACTATATCTCTAGGTAAGGTTATGATGAAACATTCTAGTCACCAATTTGGTGACTAATTTTCAGGATTTGGTTGCAAAAGTGGAAAATTTAGTCGCATTGGCCCCTGTATTAGTGCAATTTCACACCTTGAAGGGGTACTTCTTTGATTTTACAAAATTAAATCCTTAGAACTTGTCAATTAAGATATTTATAAACCCCAGATATATCAGGGATTCTTGAGAAGCTATGTGTTGGTCCCCTCTGCTGTTATGGGCAGGTCTTCACCACACTTTATTTAATTTAATTTGTCATTTTTTTTTCTCAAACATAGATGGGAGGGCAAATGCAGCCAAATGTTGTCATGGGACCACTACCCAACCAACTGCAAGGACCGCCGGGCCAGCAGTCTCGCATGCCAAATCAACCATTCTTTCCCCATCAGAGGCCTATGAGAATGCCAAGACATCAGACCCCAAATAATCCCCCTCTGTACCCCTCACCCCCTTCAGGGCAATTTGTACAATTTGTTAATCCACAAGGAGCTCCTCAAGCCTTCATACCACCAGGACAAGGTCATCCGCAATATCATGTAAGTGTGAACTGCTTTGATTTTATGTTTTGGCATCCATTGGCATTGTTCAGGATGAAATTGGACTAGTACAGTGTATTTGTAATAGAGAGTGGCTTGGGCTGGTTTCTGTGTGTGGGGAAAACTCAAGATGATTAGCAATTTTTACCATTTCCCAACCCTCCCAGATTTTGCCAATATTGGGAGATTGGCTGATGTTTGTCGTTATAGGTTGCTGACACTGTTATGTTTGTGTTCTGGTGCTAAGCAATAAAAGGATTGGTAGGAAGCTAAAATTATCATTTATGTCCCTAGCATTGAAAAGAGGTGTTTTTATATTTCTTCAATGATCCCAGATCATTGCATAGATTGTGGACTTGTCACGAAAATAGTAACACTCCCAATTTTACTGATTTTTGGCTGACCATCCTAGGCAAGTGGGTGTGTCTGCTATTTTGAATTTTCACACCTTGCAAAAATCTGCAACCATTGGGAAACAGTGAAGTTCCTGACCATTTGGTTTTTTATTGACATATGGAAACCAGCCTTTAGAGTTGAGAGAATGCCTGTCACAAGCCCTACCATTTCATGGTTGGGAGTGTTTCTGTGGTACTCTGTAGTTACCATGGCCTCAAAATACAGAACCAAAAATTTTCTAAATGTGTAGTTCCAGAAAATATCCATACCCTCACCATGAAGGGAATTGGAAATTCCAGAGGGGTAGGGGGGTCAAAGTCCCAGGAAATTCCAGAGGGGATGGGGGGTAAGAGGCGAAATTTTCGTCTAGAGGGTAGGAAGTCGATCGACTTTCTTTGTATGTCAATTGGTGCCACTTACCTACTTTAGTGGGACGTTCTGAAGTTTAAGTTGTTAAATTACGATGCTTCTAACAGTTCTGCAGCCAAAGAAAGTTTTCTTTTTTCATAAATAACATCAAATAAAGAAGAGAATCACTTTGTTTTTCGAACGGAGCTGCCATTACTCGTTACCAGTCTCCAAAGATTACAACCAACAGGAGTGGTTACCTAGGGATTTTCCTCGGTCATAACACGTTTCGCATTCGTAAAAGTTACAAATAACTGTCTGATGCTGTTTTTTCAAAATTTAAGTTAAATCTCACAGACCGATCCTGCAGTCTCGTTTTTTGAGCGGTTCAAAAGACTCAAAACGTCTCACAGTCTGGAATTGTTTGCAAAGCCATTTTGGGGTCTTAACATTGGTCTCGCAATTAAAACACTCAAAAAGTTTCGGTCTTGCAAAAAAAAAAAAAAAAAAAAAAAAAAAAAAAAAAAAAAAAAAAAAAAAAAACGCTGGTCCCACTGTCTTGCAAAGTTTCGCATAAATTAACCATTTGCTACCCCTTAATGACTCCAGCCATCTCTTAATTTTGATCTGCACTGAGCTTATTTCTGTTGCATCATAATGTGTAGGAGATTTGACGATTTCTTTATGGCTTACTTGCTTGCGATGTTACAATGAATGATAAGTACAGGCGTACCGTAGTTGAAAACAGTTGATAGTAACATTGAGAAACACTAGGATCCAGGGCTTTGTATATATGCGCGTGGGACTGGTAACTAGCCAAGGTTTGTTTATGCACAATCGGACGAAATTATCGACCTGCTGTTAACAAGAATCAATGCTTGTGTGAAGAAATTTTACATTAGAGGCTGGAATTTGGAAAGATGAGTTCCAAATAACTTACTGCTGACTCGGTTTTCTCTTTTGCTCTCTTATTTATGACACAATTTTGTACAAATTTACATTGCTTAATGTGATTTCGAACGTTTCCATTTCAAGTGCATGCAATTTTTTCAGTACATTGTACAAACTTAACAGTTCAAAAGTGTTTTGTTGCGACTTGTATGGTTTTTTTCTCCTTTCGTGTACTGAAAATACTGTGTTAAATGGTTAAGGATAAGTATTGTATTTAAAAATAAAGCAAACGTTAAGTTTAAGCTAGTTAGCGACGTTTACCTTGTGTGTGTACGCCATCTCTCGACAAAATCACACGTCCCTCTTGTTTGTTGTTTGCTATGAAAAAAAATATATTTCCAGGGGGTATAGGGGGTGGTAGAAAATTCTTTGGAAATTCCAGAGGGGTGGGGGGGCTACCACTGCTACCCCAAAATGGAAAATCCAAAGAGGTGGGGGGTCCTATATGAAATTCCCTCCGTGGTGGGGGTATGGATATTTTCTAGAACTACACAATTGATTTTTTAAATTATTTTTTTCAATCAATTTTTAAAATTATTTTACTAATTAAAACTAAACACCTGTATTTATTAGCCATAGTTAGCAGCTATATGGGGGCCAGTGACCCTAGAAGCTTGGCTGGACATACAAACAGGAACAGGCAAAGTTGTAAAAAATTTGAAATTTTTTTTGTGGGCAAGGGGAGAAAAATATTTGGGATGCACAGTTTTTAGCTTCATTTGCCTTAGCATATTATACTGGTAGTTTTCACTGTCATTTAATTCAAATCTAAAATTAAAACTATTGAATGCCTGATGCCAAAAGATCCAGCCATTTTAGAATATTGATAACTGAACAATTTGCTGAAGTTTCAGACCTCTAGGGTTTTCCATTGATGTGTTGATAGCCAAAATGCCTTACATAAATGTATAGAGCTCAGTATGAGATGCAGTGTTGGTACTCATTCAGGGGGTACCAACATGGCAGCCATGAAGTAACACAAACATCTGTTGTCTTTTTTTCACAATTTAAGTGATTGGTTATCCACTGTGAACTTGTAAACATTCATTTGGCCTTCTGCTTTTGCTATTTACTGTGTATAGTTATACAAGTTATGGCTTGAATTCTGCTTGTAGAGTATTTATACACTACTGTCTTTTTATGCGCAGGTTGATTATGGGCAAATTCCTGGTCCACCTCAGATGCAGTACAGACATCAGCAACCCATGCCAGGGCCATTTCCTTCTGTATCAGGTCCTTCCCAGGGTCCTGGCCATTTTGTTTTTACTCCTCAACAAACAGGTTATCCAGTGGGACAGCCAAGTCATATGTATATTCTTAGGGCTACTCCACCTCCCATGAATACATTACCGCAGTACAGTCCTAATCAAAATTTTGAGCCACGCGCACGGGAGAGGAAAATAATTCAAATAAAAGATCCAAATAGTAACAAAGATGTGACACAGGAAATTCTTAATCGTCAACCATCAGGAAGTGTATCAGGAAGTGCATCAGGAAGTACTGGGGGTACACCAACTAACACCCCAGATATATCAGGACAGTCCAGTAGTTCAAGTACACCTCCACTAACGTCACAGCAACAAGATGTGCGAGCACAGTTTGCAGCGCAGGTAGCTGCAACTTTATCTAGTGACACAGATAAAAACAAAAAACCTGGAGACATAATTATACAGAAGCCATCAGTAAATAATAAGTTGACTGTAGATGCTCCCAAATTAAAGGATGTAGCTGATACATCAAAAGATGATTTGTCAAAGCAAACAGAAATTAGTGCAAACACAACTGCTTCCACAGAAGCAAAATTGGCTGAACAGCCAGTTGAAAAGAACTTAGGTACACAATTAAAAGAGGAGTCCAAATCAAGACAACCCAAAGAAGCTGTTCAGGGCTCTAAACTTGGGGAAGGAATTTCAGTAGACACTCCATTAGTCAGTTCAGTTGATGCAATAACATCCACAAAAGGGATAATCTCTAATGTTAGAGTAGAAATTTATACACCACAGGATTTGGGCAACAAAGAAATTCAACAGAACAATGCATCAGCCACTGAAGTTGTTAAACCTGTGGTTGAACCTGTGGAGGTAATTGTGAAAAAGCCAGAAGTGGCTTCAGAAGAAGAAGAAAAATCTTTGAATGGACCAGTTGTACACTCTAGTGAGGAAGTAGAAGAAACAGAAGAGGTGATCACTGTGGACACAAATGTTGAGATTGAAGCTCCACCAATGGAGAATGTTTTAGAACCTGCTGTGGACAGCAAGGCTGCTGAACAGGACACTCAGCAAGCTCCCAAAGTTGAGCCAACCCTGGAGGAATCTGCAGAAGAAGAAATTATGCCAATAGCTCAGGAATCAGATGGTGGGGAAGTTGAGGAGAGGGTGAATGGGCATGAGGCTGACGCCAAAATGGCAATTGTTACAAAGAACTCTACTGATGTTCAAGGAGCAGGTTTGTAATTCCACTCTATACTCTTATCCCATAAAAGTAGATTGTGTTGGTGGCAGCATTTATAGTACAGCTCAGAGGTATTTGGCCCTAAGGGCATGTGAAAACTGTGATAAAAACTTAAAAAAATGCACAAGAAAGAAGCTCATTAGTATGTATGAAGCACTCTTTTGTCTTACCCTTTGTTTAACTTTAACTGGTGTGTTAGATTTATAGCAAAGGAGGGGTTCCAATGTTGGTGACATTACATGGTTTTTTACTAAATTGTTTGGCGTCAGTTAATTTTTGAAATGGCTTGTCTACATTGGGAAGAAAAAAGAAAAAGTTTTTGACTTGCTGGGTACCTTTTTAGAAAGCAAACAAGATCTGGAAATTTCAAGTTCATTAAAGTGATTGTTGTTAAAGTTTACAGCTAGCAGCTAGCAGCAAAACTTGAATTGAGAAAGATGTTTTTTCATCTTGTCATGAGTGTGGATCAAAGAAAAAATTCTGAGTCCCCATGAGGAATGGAACCTCAGACCTTCGGATTCTGCACTCTGATGCTCTACCACTGAGCCATGGAGACTCCACAATGAGCAATGTCTATTAAGAAGTTCATATGACACATGTCCTGCATACTGCTAGGATCAGCAATGTCAATAGAATATCTTTCTCTATTTTTTTACTGAGCTCAAAACTTATCATCTCTCTTAAAACTTGAATTGTCATTCATTGGTCTGTAAAGTTATGTGAAATTATTTGCAGTTTCTTGGAACAGGAGACATTTTTGTAATGTTTTACCATGATTATTTTAGGTTCATAGGATAAGTGAAGAAAGTGAGATTCCATTCTGCTGATTGCAGTTAACATCAAGCTTAAAAACATATTTGTTTACAAGTAGGCATAACCACTGCTACTGTTCAAACAATTTGACTCCTTCTATTTACTTGAATCTTATGTGTGAATGTAAAAGTACGACTTAGCAAAACCATTCTTCTTTTAAACATAAAGTCAATTAAGCTAGGATTCAAATTCTCAGCCCTGCATAGTTGATTCTTTGGATCCAGTGGCTCAGAGCTACTTTATTTGGTTTCCCTGGAGAGTTTGAACTGCAGTTCGACTGATACAATGAAGAAAGTAGTTTGAACCTCTTTAACAGTATATTGGGATCTTATCAATTACCAAACAGTGCTTAAAAGATTGGGAGATAATGAATCTAAAAAATTTGATCCTTGATATATTACTCTCCTTTTTTTCTCTATAAGTTAACACTGTATATTAGAATTTTCATCCAATTATTTTTTTGAGCTGTGGAGTTTTTATTTATTTTTTATTTTTTTATTTTTTTTTTTACTGACCCGACTTTTTAATCGCAAGCTTAATGCACAAAGAACTGTTCAAGGGGTTATATCTTATATTGAGAGATTATTTCAGTTTAAGACTTGACTTGAAATTGATCCACACCTCAAGAGAACTTAATTTCTTGCATTCCATCCATTTGAAAATGCATTGTTGTATGTTTGTGGTTTTGGTCAATCAAAAAGCCTTGGTAAGAGTCCTGTTTTGAAAATTGTTCAATGGTAGGAGTGTTAGATTTGGAATTAGGATTTAAGTGTTAAATATTAATTTTGTTATGGTCCCTATGAATGTGGGATTTACTTAGTTAATTATGCAAGAATTTGATATTGACAAGGTGACCCCATGAGGTCATATTCTATTTGTGGGTGACACACAATTGAATGCCAAGTATTTGAAATTGGGCAATACACTTTGAGCAATCAGTTTTCTCACCCAGGCTGTCTGCTTTAATACTGCTGAACATGAGGATTGCTCCACTGGCTTGGCAAGTTTTGGCTTCCTTTGTGTGAATTGATGGATTTGTCAATTGAGATTCATTTTACAAGGGAGCAAAGATTTCACAATATGCATGTCATTTCCATATGAAGTCAGGCAATGATCAAATGGTATATCCGCTCATGAATGTCTGCATGTTTTATCACAGAAAGTGAAACCATATGGAAGAATTTGCCTAACTAAAAGGTGTTTTTCCTTCTAAGACTTAAAATTTTAACCTATCATCAAAAGAATTTAAGGGAGAGGTAAGGTAAACATTTAGATGCTTGTGTACATTTTAGTGATGAGTTACAGCTTTGTGCAACCCAGATATATATTGCATGTGGTAATTATTCAAAGAGTCTTTCACTGATAAAGTAAAAATTTAGGGTATGGAATTAGTGAAGCAAAATATTTTACAAAAGGAGTCCTTTTTTGAGCTTCATTTTAGTGTTATGAAGTGATAATTCTCAGAATTGAAGTCCTGTTTTTGAAAGTTATGTCACTTCCTGTCATACTGCTGTTTGATTTCAATTTTTACTGGGTCAAATTACAGATGATTAAGTTTGTCTTCACTGATTCATTTTTTTTTTGTGGTCAATTAGAATCGTTATGCTTGTTTTTGTGGTTGATTTCTAAGACAATTTTGCCTTCTTTGTAAGTCTTATCACCATGCTCTTTAATAAGGGTGGAAAATCAAAGAGCAAATTACATTGTAGTTTCCTTACTTCACATATCAATTGATACACGCCTGCAGAGCAGTTATTTAAGTTGTTGTAAAGATAGATAGTTTATATGTACCATACCTTAAACTACTTTGATTTTTTTAAATTTCTGTACACTAGCCATCATTCAATGCCCAGTTAGTATTATTTGTAATATTAACTCCATGTGTTTTCAAGAGGCTATTTGACATTTTTTTTTTGTAGACAATTTTATGTACTGTACTAAAGTTTTATTTTGAAAAATAATTGGAATGGAAGAGATCCATCACATGTTAATCTTACTTCAAAGTTTAAATGTTCAAGACATTTTGGCTGCTTTATGCCAACAAGATTTAAGAAAATTTTGCTGAAAAGTTCACTCGATGTTGTAAAACTTTTGAAAACAAATTTTTGTAGACAAAAGTTTTAAAATCAATTTAAGATCATACTTTTATTTGGTCACTTGATACAGATACTAATACCATGGTATGCAGTATTCCCATATGGCTTCTTGGAAGGACTCAGACTGTATGAAAATGAATTAAACTTGATTGAATTAATTGTGTGAAAATGAGACAGGCGAAGTCTTGTGCTCAGTCAGTTTAAGCCCCATGTAATGAAATTTGGGTAATCCATTCAGATTGCCCAGTCTAGTTTTGTGCTAGCTACAAGTTTTATATTGCTTCCTTTTGTGATGTTGTTGTAGGGAAAGACATGAAAAAGAAAAAACAGAACAAGCGTCTGAAGGACATGGAGAAACGGTTCTCAGAGAAGGGAGTGGATCTTATGGATGCTTATACAGAGAAGCCTGTTAAGGAGGAGGTAAATACAGCATAATTCAGTTGAATTAGAAAATGTGAACATGTGCATTCTTGTAGGTAAATGTTTTTCTTGTAAGAATGGGTGATACTGCCTTTTCAAATTAATGCAGTAGTGAATAAGATACTGACTTTAGTCTCTGACAAGGGTAATTGTATTGATACTGTGACATCCTTGAGCTAGTTGGCATGTCATGATCCATTTTACCAAATACAACAATACAGACAAGCAAGTCATATATTCCAATTATTGACAAAAAATTTGTCCTGGCAATTGACATTTGGGAGAATCAACAACATCAGTTAACTAACAACTTGTTTCTAACTTTGCATCCCCTCTGTTGATGACCAGAAGAGTGTAAGCTCCAGAGGGAAAGGGCATGGCTATGAAAGTCATGTGCAGTATCAAAAGTATCAAATTCAATGCTTTTTGTATACACGGACATTTCAAACCAGATTTTGCTATCGATTAAGTGAGATTAAGGGTACCATTACTGAAATAACAAGAATAGTAATCCTGAGAATTTGCAAATTTCCCCATTTGTGATTGGAGTGCAGATATAACATCATAGAGATGTTTTTTGTAATGAGGATTGACAGATCTTAACTTGTGTGAGGCAGCTTATCAGTTGCTGGCTCCTCCGACATGACCACTGGTGAAGTGTTTCTTTACTTTGTGCTACCTAAGTTTTATACCAAGCTCAAGTACCTTGTGCTTTATTTGAAGGTCCCTGAAGACACTGAGGAGCCTGCAGTAGAAGAATCTAAAGAAGAGGAAGAGGCTGTTGAAGAGGTTCTGTCAGAGGATGAAACATGGGAGGACAAAGAAGGTATATGACAAAGGATGTTTAGGGTGTCCTCTGCGATTGGGGTGCCTTGTTAGTCCCTCATGGGACTGGGTACCCTGTTTCTGCCCTTCAACTTGTGAGATTCTTTCTAAAATTGTCTTCTTTTTCTCCTAATGAAGTGGTAGAAAACAGTTAGATTGTGGCTGTGTGGGAAACTGTAGGGTTGGCTTTTTTATATCAATTTTTATTTTTGTGTGAACTCTAATATGCCCAAAGTGTTTGTTTCCATATAAACACTTCTTAATCTAAACTGAACTGAAGTTGTACCCATTTTTCCTGATCAATTTTCTGAGCTAAGGGAGACAGTCATAAATATTTGCAATTTCCATTTTGTTGCAAATAAAAAAGTGTCGTCACTGGTTTGTTCTAATTTGTACTCTCAAAGGGTCTAAATGTATGTCACTTCCATTTCAACAGAATCATCCTTTCCAGACCTTGATGAAGAACCTGAGCGACAAGATGGGGGAAAGCTCACATACGAAAGGGATTTCTTGTTGCAGTTTCAGTCCAATCCAATGTGTATGTTGAAGCCAGAGGGTCTGCCTGATTTAGAAGTTGTTCTTGGCCAAGCAAGAACTCCCTCCAAATCAGGATTTTCTCATAACAGGTAAAACAGGCCAGGCAGTGCTGATGTCTCTCGGAAAAAATCCTTTATACAATGATGATTGTTGGTTCTTTGCCCCCATAGCTCTGAATTAACTAGCTTTACTGAATGGCTTTCCTTTCTTGCTCAGTAATCTTCCTATTCCCCTGTACATTGTAACTTAAGGGTGTGGCATTTTCCTTTACTTTGTTCTCATCATTGGTTCTTCTGTACAGATGTAAACTGACAAGATAAATCCATTGATTTGGCTCTACTCTGCTGTCACTGATGCCAGCAGTTCCACATGTTTTAAGGAATTTTCTGCGGTTAAAGCACTGCTGTTGAGGGAATGATTTTGTCCATTCTAAAGCTAAGAGCTATTCCTGGAAATGGCCAATACTTGATTTCACACTAACTGTGTCACCTTTGTTCCCTTTGGATTAAGGTTAATGTATTTGACTGGGCACTGATAGGTTTAAGTGTTTGCTGTATTTGCACCCTTGAGTTATGACCCCTTAAGCCAAAGTGTAAACTTATCAAGAATTACAATGAGGCCAGAATATACCACTGTTTGTGATGCTGCCAGTGGCATTTGTTCTTTTTAAGTTGTGTTTTTACTATTTCTGTTGCAGGATGCAAGCCAAAGATGGTGGTGAAAATATGTTTCTACCTTCTTACCTTAGGCAAAATTCAAGAGTAAGTCACTCAGTTTAGTTTTGCTTTTTCTGTCATGTTTGAACTATAAAAGATAGGAGACATTGATTATACTCCAGCTATCATAAAAAAAACAACAACAACAACAAAATATGTGACAAAGTGGATTGAGTGAATTGTTCGGTGTAACAGTGATCTTTGAGAAGACTAGCACATGCCAGCAGGAAGATCTACCTGCTTGTAATGCATGTAGTTACTACTTGTAGCCTCCACATAGAACATCTTTGAAGTCCAAACATACATCCTCAAATTGGTTTTCTCCAAGGAGCAACTAAGCAACATAAGACAGACCTTAAAATGTAGGAAAATCAAAATCTATCCTAAGGTGCTTAGATCTCCCTAGGAAGAGGAGTCTCTCCAGGCCTTCAAAACTTCTTGCCCCTTTTCTAAAGTACCTATTTGTACCCAATGTTTTTTGAAACTATAATAAGAGATGTCTCATGTGCACCCATCAATGATCAAATGGGAGGAAAATTCCTAACAGTTATCTTCCTAAAAATTGTAGAATAACCCCTCAAACCAAAGAGCAGGACGTAGAAATGTTCCACCCAAGAAAGTGATTGATCTTGCTCCAAAAATAGCTAGCACAGAGGTAAGTGTAGGTATATTTTGATATGTTAAGATGTTGTTTAGTATGTCTTAACTGTGTAGCAAATTAAATAATCCAGTAGCTTAATGTTTTATTCACAGTTTTCTTTACAGGGGGTCAGTAACCTATAGTACAAGATTTTAAATTGCACTTACAGTATTAATTGTCACTGCAAATTTTATGGCTGATTCCTTCATTTTATGTCATTGTTTATGTTAGTAATGACCTAATTTGATTGCAGCAACTGAAAAGAACAGAGAAAAGATGGATGCGACCCAGTGAAGCTGTGAAAGATGGCGTCAGTGAAGAGCAGATGAAGACTGACGTATGTTTTTCCAGTATTTAAATATAAATTTGGGTTTTCTATTGAAGTGATGGCACAGGAAGAATTGTCATTGTTAGCAACACACCTATCCTCTGTCATGTAATGTATGATGATTTCTGATGTGATTGTAATAGATAATGGACTGGTGGTGAGGCTGTTAATCATAATATTGTAATTGGTTATCTTAGGCAAACTGTGACAATTAACTACTGTGCATGATTGTGATTAGAGATTATATTTTTCCCCATGGTCCTTTGAAACAATTGATAATGGTGGTGTTTTGGTTTCAAGTTGAGGTAATATATATATAGATTGTATTCCAATTGAGTGTTATGGAACCAAAGCAATAGTAATCACAGTAGCTTATGAGAACAGAGGTGGATACAAAAATTTGAACTCAATTGTTAATACGAGTACACTGTGTGAAGCACGGGAAAGCATGAGTCAGCAGGAGACTGTTGATTTAGTTCTTGCACTGCTGTGGTTGAGAAGGAAGGGTAAGTTTCTTAGACCAATCACAGGCAGAACTTATTCTTTCCCAGATTACATTTGTCTCTTAATTAAAAAACTGCTCATGAAATGTACAATTTAATGGTGGTTTTTTGGTCATTTTCAATGATTAAACTAATCCATGGAGTTGAATTTTGTATTTGGCTAATTAGCAATGAGATCACTTTCTTAGTTGATTTTCACAGAGCTTTTATTTGTGTCCCCAGGAGATACTCCGCAAGGTGAGGAGTATTTTGAACAAGTTAACACCCCAGAAGTTCCAGACATTAACACAGCAGATTATTGACTTGGAAATTAACACACAAGAGAGATTGGAAGGTGCTATCGACCTCATATTTGAAAAGGTAGGTTTTGTAAATATTTTATTTTCCTATCAGAGTCAATGTCATTGTTTGTAACCTTTAACCTCTCATGCTGCTAGTGCTACCCTTGTGCCACAAGAACCTTATTTATTTAACCCTTTCACTCCCAAGATCTCATGAGTAGTTTATCCTTGCTGTCTGCTGTACAATTCTTGTGATGTTAGTTCTTAGAGTTTGATGCTGGATCAACTAATGATCCCCTCTTTGAGATATTTTCCTTTTGTTCTCATCACTTGTCTGCTTGATAATGTTTTGATATTTTGAGGCAAAATTCTGTCTAGGTCACTCATGGTAATGAAAGGGCAATTTATCCTCTACCAAACTCTTAGTTACTGCCTCATCTAATCGTGATCTTTCCAGTCAAAGTAAAAGTTCAAGATATTCCTACAACACTGGATAACCTGACAGTGTATAATTGTGATTGGGATTTATGGTAATGACACTTGATATTGCACCTTTGTGTTTTGCAGGCCATTGATGAAGCTGCATTCAGTGTGGCTTATGCAAACATGTGCAGATGCCTCATTCCTGTGAGTAGAAATGATTATTGTAGGCTGTATGAGGTCACAGAATATTTGTGGCAATCATGTGTCTGTTTGATTGAGTGATATAATGTGCGATTTCTTCTTAAAACAGAAAAAAGTGTTTGTAGAGAAGGATGGGACAACAAAAGAATTGACCTTCCGCAAAATTTTGCTCAACAAATGTCAGAAAGAGTTTGAAAAAGAAAAGTCAGTTGAGAAGAGAATTCATGAGAAACTGGAGGAACTCACCAGCAAGGGCCTGAGTGTAAGTTCATGAATTTGAAGTGTCTACAGTAAACTTTCTCTAATATCCGTTCTCATCAGTGGCCATCTGTAATCATGCACATATTTTACATGTAGTCACACTAATGTTGTCTGCAAACCTAAACTGTACTAGTGAAGTTAATTACCAGTGGAATCATTTACTACAGCTGTGTGAACTAAACATGCTTTGGTTTTGTGTATTTCAAATGAATCTTACAAAAAAATTTACGTAATATTTGCTCAAGTTATCAAGCATTAGGGATTTAGCATTGAATTTTCTTGGGTGTTTTTTGTTGTTGTTTTTTTACAGCTTTATTTTTTAATGCAACACACTAACCCTTTAACTCCCATGGGTGACCAAGACAGAATTTCTCCTTACAATATCACTTCAAAACCAACCAGATGAGTGATGAGAATAAATAAAAATATCAATTTGGGGATAATTAGTTGATCCAATACTAAATTCTCTGAACTAACATCATAAGAATTATATGGCTGACAGTGAGGAGAATGACGAATTTGATCTGGGAGTTAAAGGGTTAAATACAAGACTACCCCAACTAAATATACAATGACATTAAAGAAAAAGGTACAGCATACATACAATGATATCGCAATGTACTTGCTGTATTTTTGGTCTCTGATGTAAAGCTGTTAGGATTATCATGAATTATGAAGAAGAGTGGATAGAATCAGGGCTCTAAGTTTCCTTTTTCAAAGAGTCACCTTTTGGCGACCTTCAATTATTATAGTAAAATGGTGCTATACCAAAAACTTTGTTTTCCCCCCCCCCCCCAAAGAAAAAAAAAATTCTTATACCAATCAGAGAACACTTCATGTTGTGTTACTAGCATTTGTGTGTATGATAATTCGACCAAACATCAATAGATTTTTCAAATTTTCTTTTTCAAATCTATTGGTTGCCAATTGCCCAAATTTTAGTTCCTAGGTATAGTTTTTACTTGCCATGGTGGCCAAAACAATCACAACTTTGAGTGCTGAGAATCTCTGACAACTGCTCTTTTTATATGTACCTCACTACAGGAGGAGGAACTTGAAATGAAGAAAAATGATCTTCGAGATGAAGAGACCCAAGTCAAACGACGCACATTGGGAAACATCCGCTTCATTGGAGAACTTTTCAAACTTAAGGTTGGTCCTGAGTGTTTCTTCTGACCTTTTTTAAGTTGAAAACTAAAGCTGGGCAGTGTTAATGCAGTGAATGGGAATATATTGATTTTTTTGGAAAGCATTTGCCTCTGGTAAATATTTGGCCCATATTCAATACAGTGAGAAAGAAATGTTTTATTGTATTTTGTTTACTGAAAATGACCTGTAAGTTCAATTGTCTTCTGGCTTGTTATTGCAGATGCTGACTGAGAGTATCATGCATGACTGTGTAGTGAAGCTGTTGAAGAGTAATGATGAAGAGGCCTTTGAATGCCTGTGCAAGTTGTTGGTTACCATTGGAAAAGATCTAGATCATGCAAAAGCCAAGGTACCAGAAATGTAACTGAAATTGCAGTCTTGTCCTAATGTTTCAGAGAAATTATTCTCTTGAATAAAAGCAACAAAAGCAGCATAGTTTGATGTCAGTGACAGTGGTTGTACAATTTGCATGTTCAACCTCTACATAGTGGAAAGTCTAGATATCAGTTGGATCTGTTCTAAGCAGGGTTTTAAGAACCGCAGTTAAACCAGACAGAACATGCTAGCATAACACAAAACAGTAGTTGTAAAAGAGGTTATGCTCATCGAGGTGGTAAGTAATCATTACTTTATAATAAATAGAATAAACTGTTTAACTGTGACTATATCATGAGACTACATCATGAGACAAACAACTAAACAGTTTATTAAAACAATAGTTTTTGCTAAGAAAATACTGAGCACTCACTTGCCAAAATTATGCCTACTCTGCAGGCTATTAGTCTTGTGGTTGCTGGTGATTGTATGTTTGTGGTAATGAGATTCCCCAGTTCAGTTTTGTTTTGGCTAGAGTTAGAAGTAGCAGGTGCCTATTTTTAAAGAGGGGTTAGACAAAACATGACTTAATTTTCATGGGTTGGTTAGTACACAGACTGATTTAATGTTTTATTCATTTGTTTCCAGCCGAGAGTGGATCAATACTTTGCTCAAATTAACAAAATAATCCAAGCAAGAATTACATCGGCACGTGTCCGATTCATGATGCAAGACATTGTTGATCTGCGTAATAACAACTGGGTCCCTCGCAGGGAAGACAACAACCCCAAAACTATTGATCAGATCCACAAGGAAGCTGCTGATGCCGCAAAAAAGACACAATTAATGATTCAAATGGCAAAACAAGACAAAAAGCTCAGAGGTGAGTTAAGTTATCTCAAATGTTTTCCTGAATTTATTCAGTTAAACATACTGTAGTCACAAATGACAAGGGGTATTAGTTAGGTTTATTTGAAATAAGATAAATTATAATGTTGTGAAACTAGAAATAAACCAGACTAGATATGGTAGCTGCTTTGTTCACTATAGTGCATGGCTTAAATAGGTTCTAAGATATTGAAGGCAGTTTGGAAGCAGTCTGAAAGCATTTGCCAAAGCTTTGGTTTTTATTTATGCTGAATATGATAATACAGCTGTGTGAGACAAAGGAATCCAGAGGATTAAGTTTATTGACTGATGTTGTGGTTAATTTTCAGGTAACATGGGTGGTCGAGACAGTCCCAGACCCTCTGGTGGTGTACCACAGGCTGATGAGACTTGGACAACTGTCAGCAGAGGTCCAAAGAATGTGAGCGTGGATCCAAAGAGATTCCAGAACATCAAGGTTATTATTACATTAAATTTAGTGGTGCTATTTGTTTCCCATTGTTCTTGTTAACATGTGCAGTAAAAGGAGCCATACTTTATCAAAGATGTATTGTAGCGATCTGTGTTTGTCTTTTCATCCACGGCTATCTTTCCTCCTCTTCAAATTTTGCTTAGCTTTTTCTGTGTTTTTCTTCCCTTACAAGCTGATATTTTAAGTGTCGATTCTTTTTGAAGGCAACTTTAACTATTTGAAATTGCTGAACATACTGCCCTGCAGCTCCTTCAAAATGGTTACATCTTTGCACTGATTGAACGGTACAATTTTGTGAAAAAAGCATGTAATAATATCTTTGAATACAGAGTGGTCCAGGGATTTCATTATAGTTTTCATGTTTCTATGGTTTTTTTTTATTTTTTAATTTTTTAATTATTTTTTATCAAAAGCTTTCCAAAACTGAGCAAATGAGAGGTGGTGACTTTCCTTGCGTTGCCATGATGAATTTGTTCTTTGGAAAATTATTATTGGTATTAAACTTCAACAATTTACTCTGCAAGCCAAAGAGAACAATTTAATACTTACTGAATAGAAATGTAATTTCATCCTCCTAAAAATAATATTATTGGAACTACCTGAAGCTATTTGTATTTATAAACCATTGAGACTGAAACTATATCAAGGCTAAGTAATGAAATGAAATATGAGATATGTTATGATTGTGTAGAGTTGTAATGACTGGTTAAAATGCATTTTCACTTTTTCTTTTAGCGCCCAGTTGATTCTGAAAACATCTCACTAGGACCTGGTGGTAAGGGATTTTCATCTTGGGCCAGAGGAAGCAGTGGAGGAACAGGAGCAGTAGGGGCTGGGGCTGGTCCATCAGCTGCCTCTGCTGCTCCTCCTGCTGCTTCAGTTGAAGACAATAGACCCACAGGCAACAGGTTAGAAGCTTTGGGTTGAATTTGATAGCTAATAAGCTGTGCCATTAGCCCTTTAATCCCTAAGAGAGATTAGTAACTATCTTCTCCTATCAGTATCACCCCTGAAACAAATATTGAGGTCATGAGAATAAAGGAAATGATCACCAACTAAAGATGCTCCTAATTGTTTTAAAAAAATATCTTAAGAAGTACCATAGAAAATATATAGAGAACAGTATGGACAAAATGTATACTGATGCAAGGGTGTAAAGGGTTAATCAGTGATGTGGCTAGAACCTTGTGGTAACCTTGTTACAACCATAAAACAGGCTGTGATGAGTTTCTCATTTCTCCCAAGGAGTGGATCATCATTTCTCCTTACTGCTTTTTTTTTCCCTTCTTCTTTTTTTTTTTAGTTTTGTTTGAGTCAGTGGTGTTGAATGTGTACTTGCTCGGCAGAAATTGTGATGTTTGTGGTTTTGCTAGAGGTTTTACATTTTTGTGGGGTTTTGTGACATTTACACAAGAAAATGACAATTCCTAAGCACAGGTCACAGTGCTCTCCAAAACTGCTGGCACCATCATCCTTTCTTAAGGGCAGTGCTACATTTTGAAGTCCCTGTCATATGCTTTACTAACCTTTATAACCTTTATCCAAGAAAGATGATATCAATTTGAGGTATGTTTTGTTTAATTGCCTCTTAGGTATTCTGCATTGGCAGGAGAGAGAAAGTACTCTGCACCTTCAAGACAAAATTCTGGTGGCTCTGGTCGCCAAGAACCTAGGAGTCCAATGGGAGGTGGAAGGCGAGCACCTTTTGGGGCAGGAGAGCGAGAAAAGGCTCTAGAAGCTGTTCGAGCGGTAACACAACCAAAGGTATGCACCTTGTACCATCAAGCTACTATTTGTTTAAAAGTGATCAACCACTTTCACTTTTTGACAAGGCTAGATTCAACCATACACAGGCAATCATTAGTTGCAAGTTCTGGAATACATTTTAGAATTACTGTGCAAAATTGTTCGTGTGTAAGACAGCACAATTCTTTTTTAAAAAAATTAAGAAGAAACATAACAAAAACAGAAAAGGAATTACTACTATAAAAAGTAATTGCAATTATATGAATGGAAAGATTTTTTTGCCAGCTGCTGCTGTACATGCAACTTACTGCGGGGTTAAAATTCCCTAAAAGGAGAGAAAACAGTGGTTGCAGAGCCAACTTCTTCTTTTTGTTTGACTTCCATTCACTAAAATTATGAGAATTTTAACATTTTCATTAGAATGCTTTTCTACTTGTAGTCATACAGTACCTGTTTATCTGGTACAGTGTTTTTCTGGTAAAGGTTTTGATCTCTGTGGTTAATTTTTAGCGCAATACCCAAGAACGTGAAGGAGGAAGGGAATCTCCAAGGCTGACACCCGAGGCACCTTCAACTCCAGAGCCCACTTCTGCTTCAGTTTCCCCTGCACCAGAACTCACCCCTGAAGCAATGAAAAAGAAGGCAAAGGCCATTATTGAAGAGTATCTGGATATCAGAGACATGAAGGTAAGTAAGCCTTCCTGGTTGTCAGTTTTCTGTAAATCTAGCTGGTAGTTTACTTCTTCTACAACTTTAGAATGGTTACTCTAGCCCTGAATTATCAACATGCTTTTACTTCGTATTCCTGACCTTTCCATCTCTAGAACTGGAAACCCCCCCTCCCCCCAAAAAAAAAAAAAATTAAAGAAAGTGTCCATCAAGTTGCCTGGCATAGATTTCTAAATGGTTGGAGAAGGAAGGTCTCTGTTGCCTGTTGTTTAGTCATATCCTTGGGCTGAATGCTAGTACCTATCTCAAAGTCTCCATTTCACATAGTGCTATATCATCTCGAAAAAAATAAAGGTTGCACCAAACAAGGGATCTGACTGATTTGCAGTATGTTTCTCAGGTCTACATGCAAATTCAAAGTTTTCAACATTTTTTTTTCTTAACATTGTGTGGTTTCCCTTTGTTAGGAAGCTGTTGAGTGCGTTAAAGAACTCCAGTCACCTTCAACACATCATGTCTTTGTGACATTTGCATTCAACCACACAGTTGAGCAAAAAGAATCAAGTAGAAAGGCCATTGGTAGACTGTTCCATTTCCTGCTCCGTGATGGGGTGCTCACAAATGAACAGTACCTCACTGGGTATGTCCCTCTTTTGCTTGTTTTACATCCATGTCCCACCAGTGTTACAGAGGGGTCTCCTTAGAGGGTGGGATACAGATAATAAAATAAGCAAGAGTTAGTGTCCACTTTTTTCATCATGAACATGAAAATGTCAGCCTCCCTACCTTGGAAGCTATGTAGACCCCAGCATACATGTAGACAGGTTATATGGTTGTCAAATGAAGATGAGGGTTTTTTTCCCAGCAACATAAGTAATTGTTTGTCCTTGTATGGTCTGTTTTTAAGGGTTGAACCAATCATGAAAAGTGCTGAAGATCTTGAAGTTGACGTTCCACTGCTGTGGAAGTATCTTGCCGAGATGATGGGACAATCAGCTTTTGATGGAAATCTGAATCTTGATAAGCTTCTTTTGGAATGTGTCCTAAAATATGTGTCGAAACAGAAAGCTGCTAAACTATTTTTTCACTTGTTGGAGACTGCAGCAAATGACACGGTAAGCCCTTTTTGGCATTTTTGGGGAATCAGTGTCTCAGCACTGGTAAGACTTCTAAATTTCTGTCTCCTCCACCCCTCTTCTCACCACTTTTGCGAGCTTGTGTATAAGTAGGGTAACCAATAGTTATGCATATTGATTAAACAAATACTAGTCATTGCACATTTCCCCTTGAAGCATGCACAGTATGCCTTTATCTAATTGACCCTCAAACCCTGTGTGATCAGCATCTCATTTGTCCTTATCGTAATACTGCTGAATGATTCTTTTATAACGTGAGACTAAAGGAAATTAATGATCGTCAACCTATGAAGTTTTGATTGTTGAACAGATTCTCCTTTACTTGTCCGTAACAAATGACATGTGTAGAGGAGATTATGGAGAAAATGGATATTGTTGTTAGGGTGTAAAGGGTTCTTTGTCGGAAACGGGTATCCGACAAATAAGTCACAGGGTTAAGTCTCAAACTGGTTTACTGTTGTTTTCCCTGATTACAGATATCTTCGGTTCGCTATCTCGCTCTGTCTCTCTCTAAAACACACACCCCTTAAAAGCCGATCTTATTACACTGTTTCGCAATCAAGTCTAATGTTCAAAGGAGCTTGTCTTTCACTTAATATTAATAATAGTAATGCTTTCTTGTCACGTTATGTCATGCTATGTCACGCTTTCCGTCATCTTAATATTTCTCTGGAACTTTTTTAATTCGTAGTGCACGGTGTTTATTTTTCCTTTTGTCTCGTTCTAGAGTCGGGAAGATGTGTCTGCCATCTTGAGTAGGTACAATGTCCGGTTGAATGCCTTCTTCGACACTGATAAAGAAGCTATTGAATTTGCCAAGGATAAGGTGCGAAAAATGTTCTGTTTTTGAAGTAATATTTTTTTAGTTTGTATGGGTTGTTATCATTCATGTTGGTTGAGGTGTGTCAATAACTGGGAAGCCTACAAGGTATATTTCAATAGCATACCCCCCCCTCTCAGAGGACAGAAATTATGTAAATAAATTTAATATCTCCTTGTTCGATTTTTTACGGTGGAATAGTGAATTTTCTCTCAATATTCGCTTTTTATTTCCACTCAATGTTGAATTTGGTGTCTCTTCATTTTTTTTTCTTCTGCAGAATATTGAATTTGCCCTCGGTCAAGTCAGTTCATCACAGAATGTTGGCTCAGCCACACAACATTCTGCAAAAATACAAGAAGAACTTAGGAATCTTATATTGAAGAGAAAGGCCAGAAACGAAGAAGTGTTTGAGTGGATTGACGTAAGTATTAGGTACTGAACTTTGGGTAACTGTTTGTGTCTATTGTAGTTGCGTATCATGCTGATCCAACTGTTTGCTACACAAGGCTCCCCTCTCTTCCCGGTAAAGTCCTGTGGGTTCAGGTGTATTTCTGTGTGCAGAAACAATGTACGAAATTTATTTTCTTTGTACAATAGGAACATGTTCCTGAAACAGAAACCAAGGAAGCACCCTTCATTAGAGCTCTTGTAACAGCTGTTTGTGAGGATATAATGGAAAACGGTAACACAGTAATAGTATTTGGATTGGATGCAGATATAAATGAGTTCATGAGCATTCTATTGCAAATAATTGTTAGTATTGTATCGGTGTGCTTGTGAGTGATGCTTGTGTTGAAAATACTGTAGTTGAAGCATTGTTAAAAGTAAACGTTCTGAGGTGAAAAATTCTGTGGGTTCAAATTTTCTCGTTAAACAAGTTTTATCTACATGCATGTTTCTTGTAACTGAGAGAGGTGTACTTGAAAATTTTGTGATAGACTGTTGCAAAGATCAGTAAAAAAAGATCGATTTTATTTTCGTGGTTATTTTTTCCACCTTGTCCATCACAGCTTAGAGGTGTATTGTCTTTGATTTGTACGGAAATGGATAAAATATTTCATATTTTGATGTTTGTATAACTTATTCAAGTATCTCTCTCGACCTCTTTTGTTAATAACCCGCCTAACAGAAGATGGAGGACAATGTAAATGCAACGTCAACCTTATGAAGGTCAGAAAAAGTCTTCTTCAAAAGTACATCGACGTCAATACGCATCTTGAACTCCAGGCGCTGTTTGCAGTGCAGGCACTCTTTGTACAGCTGGATCATCCGCCAGGTACCAACTTGTTTTCCACAATTTAGAGCAGGAAAAGGGGAGGTAGAGGAGGGTGGGGTTTGATGGTAAGGAACCGAGTGTTCTTACAACTAGCTCAGCCTATCCCAGTTTAAGCAACAACATGTGAATTTTGTTGGATTGGCTGCTGTTAATCACAGGTACTCTCTATTATATCGTCAAGTTTCCTAGACATTTTGTTGGTACTGTTTTAAGTTTTCTTGTCCAGAAACACATCACAACGAAAGACACTGGACCCCTCTATCTCGTTCCCGAAGGTGTCTAAAACTGGGCCTCTAGATCTTAACGCTTTCAAATAAAAAGCAACGGCCTTGAAGTTCTCGATGGAATTCTTTTAAAACAGAATAAAACTACGTAGTTAACTACGTGCTGGACAACAATTGAATTCTAAGGTGACCTCTCTCTATTGGTTTTCAGGTTTCATCAAGTCCTATTTTGACACATTATATGACGAGGAAGTCATCACAGAAGATTCATTCAACGCCTGGGAAAGTAGTTCCGAAGAACAACTAGGTAAAGGTGTGGCCGTAGCCGCCAGTTTAGAGTTCTTTCGATGGCTTAGAAGCGCTCCTGAAGAGCCTGCGGAGGAGAGCTGATCCATTCGCCTGATACTGGATTATTTTATCATAAGATCTACGAATCGGGTCAACTCAATTTGAAAAGAAATGCTTGAGGATAACTTCTTCAACGCCAATGGAAACGGAAAACAAATTTAAACTGAACACTGAATCGGTGCTGAATTTCGTAAGGATATTGTTGACAGAATGCGAGGGATCGTGGAAAATTCGCGAGTACTTCGACGAGATATTTATGGAAGGTTGTGTGAGACCTTTCAATTTAAAATGGTATGCGACTAACGCGTTACCAAAGTCTTGGTATCGCATGTCACATCTGCTGTTTCCAGTGGTGAGCCGATGATCAGTTGTATCATGTGGCGCCTCGGTGGTTGAATTAATTAAGGTTTCTTGCGCGCTAGAGTCGGACAGACAGGTCTGCTGAAGATAAGAAGACTGTAAATACGGCGGAACAAGACTAATAATTATTGTGGAACGAAAACAGAAGAATCCATATTTTGTGCCTGGAGAAGAGAAAATTAATAAATTAATGTTTGAATGAATGATTAATCCTTCCGCCTGCTGATAATTGAAACAGAAAGTTCGTTTTCCTGGGGTGCCTGGCTTAGCTCACAACCGGTTGGGTAGACAGGTCCTTGTAAGCAAAAAGTTCTGTTATTGATCAGAACGGTTAGGCCAGACCAATAAAATTCTAGATTTCGTCCTGATTTCATGGTAATTTTATTGAAACCTGTAATGAACATTTCGAAGAAAAAAAGAGCGATCCGTTTTTGTCCAGGTTGATTTTTCATCTTCGACAAATATTAAGCAATAAGGTTCTTGATCTAAAAACTGTTCACACGGCTTGGAATGGGGTTAGGTGGCGTGCGCGGGGTAGGGTTGCCTGGCAATAACAACACCACTGCAAAAGTTTGATAACAGCTATCCGATATCTTTAAAAACTCCAATACATTCCTTTCCTTGATATTCAACTTGCTCGCTTGAGTTGACTTCGTCCAGCGTTTGCTTTTTCGTTCTTTGGATACCTTACATCTCGTATCTCGTCGTACTTTCATTTTCAGAGTAAATCACTCGGCAGGCTTTAAGTTTAAGATTAGCATATCCCTCGTTTCTTTTTATCATGATATCGTTTTTGTTCATTCTTCTCCCACATACTCAGTCTATATCATTTAATTGCGTAATAACAATTTGACCCTGCTACAAGATAGTTCTCGAGAGGTTCCCGTAATAAGGGCTGTTTTCAGCTTTGACGGACTTATTTTACTCCAAAACGATTTCAGCAATACGTTTAGTAAATGACGCAGAATTTAGTCGTCTTCATGCGTAAAGCCACAATAACGTCCACGCCCTTGCCAACTATTTCGTTGCATCTCACGAATTCACCCTCCTGATATAGCCGATAGCCAGAACTGTTCTTTTAACGCTCGATTGCGGAAACGAAATGTCAGCAATCCCTCTTGTCCAGAATCTTGCAATTCTAATGAAAGTCTACGTGACTAGAAATCCCTTCGATATTTCATTCTATCCAGGCCCCCCTCGATAAAGTCTACTTCGTTGTTTGGATATGATATGGCGACTAAGGACACCGATATTAACTTTTTACATATCCTCTCGACATATCATTTCATTCTCTATAAGTTGAACGATTTTCTTTTCACTCATTATTATTCTATGATCAACTCAGCTATTTGGCGATAACGCTACTATTCCAAAAATATGACTCAAGGGAGTAATTTTCCTAAGAAACTGTTGCTGCGTCGTTGGGATAGTACAGCAAGGAAACTTAGTATTATCACCTGATTTTATAATGTAGATTGGCCGCCGTAAAGAGTTTTTTAAGCTGACGTTTCAAGCGTCAGCCCTTCTTCATACGCACTGGCTGCGATGAATTACTATTTATAACGACAACTTCCCTTTCATGAAGATAAAAAAGTCCGATTTTCGCTTGTTTGATAGGAGTAACAGGACAACTTATATGGCAATTCCTTAGATAATGAAGGAATTTTCATTTTTATTTATCCATTTTTTTTTTATTCCATCGGAGTTTTACGCAGTCATTCTACAACGATATTTACACTCTTAAAAATTTACCAAGTTCAAAATTAGCCATCATCTGGCCATCCCATTTTGTTCTATAATTGAACGACAGTGACCGAAGAGCTATTCGGTACTTTTCGGTGCGCCTTTCAAAGTCCGTAAACTCATTTAAATTACAAATAGATTTTAAAGGTTAATATTCATATTTTCTATCAGTCTTGCACGTGAGGAGAGCCAAACAAGTTCAAGAAATTTCAGCGTCTTTTGCAGCTTTTCTGCGGTCACAAAACACATCACTTCTTCGTTATAACCTTAGATACAGTATGGTCCTTTCTGTCAAGTCCAGCGTGTGTTTCTTCGTTCGAAGTTGCTGAGTGGGGTGGCTCAAATTCGACGTCGAGGATTGATAGAGGTCATTTTGTCTCGAATTCTCCTCAGGTAAGTAAACCAAGTGTAAATACATATTAAATAAAAGTACAGTGTCCTGCCGTTGCCCTCAAAAATAAGTTCAAATTGTAGAGTAGGATACAAAAGGAAAGGAAGACAGTAAATGATACAGAGTAAGACAATTCCCCAACTGCAGCCGCCATGACAGTTCTTACTGCGCCACGTGACTTTTGAGCGATGGTGAGAAATTTTTCCTTTGTGGTTAGTTTATTGATAGTTTTTTATTTCAATTCTCGTTTTTATTCTATATGCAGTCACTTATGCTCACATTATGTCAAAATTAGATTTGTTGTAAACGCTCTTGTTACTTCCCTGACACCCAACCATTGCCGCAAAACCAAACGCGTGATAGTGAAAACGTTTTGACGCAAAATCTTTTAGGAAACCAGAGGACTCAAGTCTCCATCTTAAAAAATGATGCTGTGAATGGCAAAAATTCCCGATTATGTCAAGTTAAGTATAGCACCGAATATTTCGCGCGGGTTCGAAGTCGGATCGAAGCCGTTTTAACCCCGACTGGGTTACCATCATTTGGGTGAGAAAATTCAATCCCAAAATTCCTCTCTCCAGCCAGGAATATCAATAGTTTAAATAGATATCAGTAAACTGTCAGATGAAAGATCTGTCGAAACACTTAAGAGAGCCCATCCAGGAGAAAAAGAGAGGCTCTCTGTATCTTCATGTCATCTTCACGTAACAGATACCAGTAGTAGCGATGGGAGGTTATACTGTCGTGTGCAGCGAGTGGTTTTTATCTCGAATCACTTTCAGGGGATTTCGAATGTAACGTTACTTTACTCTCTAAGAATGGTACCTTAATGATCTCTTGTTTGACTTCTTTCGATCTAGACATCAATCTTTGTCATTCACAATAAACTGAAGTACATCTACCTACTAAAGAAGGGTATGCTGGTATTCGAGATAGATTCAAACTATATCTTCTATTTTGGTTCTCTCTTCAGCAGAATGTCAAGCATAGAATGAGAGCATTGCAAAATAGGAAATTCGAGGAAGGAAAGAGAATCTTTACAACTTCTAACAAGGTCGTAAATCATTTTTTTATTCGGAATTTAGTAACTGCATTCGTGCGTCTGATCTGCTTCGAAGGCTTGGCCCTTTCGCTCCCACGATCACATTAGTAATTCTCTCTACTGTTTTCCATTCGATTATTTTGAAGTTGGTTTGGAGAAGTTGCTATTGGATCAAATGATATCCCCTTGTCGATATATTTTTTTTTACTCTCATCACTTGTCTGCTTGACATTGTATCAATATTGTAAGGAGAAATTCTGTCTTGGTCACTCACGGGAATTAAGGGTTAAACCAAGATTTAATGGACTTCAATCGAAAACTAAAGCGAAAGAAGAATTATCTAATATCTAAGTCTTTAGGGGCTTTTAGTTTGTGAATCATTCCTTTTATTTCTGTCGATGGCAAAACACTGATGCCAAAGGAATACGTAATTGTTATCATGAATGACAATCCATCTGACCTATCTATTATAGCGGCGGTTTAGCCTATACCAAATATTCCGTTAATTTTGATGTTTTAAGAGAACACTGATCTTGAAGTTGGGTAAAAAATGACATGTTTGTTGGAAGGGTTTGCCTTAAACTATTATTGTCAGGGGTTTGTCTGATCAAGAATTATCCATTATGTTTTTCTTTTCAAAACCGAAAAAGAGATACATTTTTAATTATCACGAGTAATTATCCGAAGAGAGGTGTAAATTTATTCTTATTATGTTTTTTTCTTTTCTCCCGGGGCAGCGTCAAGCATAGAATGAAAGCAATTACTGGAAATCGAGAGTTAAAAGGGAGGAAAATTAAAAGAAGAGAGTATCATCCAATAAGGTTTGTTTTGCAGTTTGTGTTGACTGTCTAACGTGTCTTTAGTTTGCAAGGCTGGTTTGCGTTAAGCGCCAAAAGACTTTGATTTTGCTTAAGTTTCGATGAACTGTGCGGAATTAAGAATTAAGAATATACAAAAGTAAGAGAAACAAACTTTTACAAACGTTACAATATTGCTTTACTAACATCACTATTATTAACTAACAATGCCGCGTTCTCAAAATATTTTTTTAATTGGGCTTCCTAGAACCATGGAAAGAGCCAAAACGTGCAAATATATCGTAATCACGAATCGGAACCTAAATCGAGGAGAAATCATAGACGTGTTTAAAGTGACAGAAGTATTTTGTGCCATTTCTTTTCAAATAATTTCTGTGTGCACTTTATGTTTTTAATCAATATGCTTCATTGGATTTGCAGAGTCGATACGAGAGGATGAAAAAGGGTATCCCAAGAGGATTGGAGAAATGGAATGGAAAACGAACAGAAAGATGAGAGAGAATTCGGCTAATTGTAAGTTGTTTACATATATTTCATTGTTTTGCTTATAATTCAGAGCAAACCATTACAATGGGAATTTAAGAACTTCGCCATAATAATCATTCTTCTGATGATTCTGTCGCTTTTTTCTGTTTTGCTTTTTCTCGTCACATTTCAAGTTCTTTTCATAACAAAACCACACATTTCAAACATTTTAATTTGCTACAAATTAAAGAAATTAAAGAACAATTGACAAATAAATACATTAACAAATGCATTTAAAAGATTTTTGCAATAGAAAATTAAAATTTGAAATTTGATTTAAAAGAACAATTAACAAATAAAATCAACATTCAACAAATATCTAGTGTTTTTTTTTTTATTTAGTGTTTTTTCTATAAAGTTTTATTTTCTAGAATTCCAATATTTTTTTTATTCATTCTGAGTTTTATTTTCATTCCAATATTAAATTAAACTAGTTAAAAGGTCATTTCCAACTGATACATGCAATGGAAGATATGTGTAATGTTAGAACTTCGAAGAAACCATTACAGCGAGAATTGTAGTTGGACCGTTTAGGTATTCTGATGATTTCAGCGTTTTTTCTTGTCTTGTTTTTGTCAAACTCGAAGGATATTCCAGATCGTTACGAAAATACAAAAGTGGAAAATCATTACTATTGTAAGTTACGTTTTAATATTTGAGAAAAATTTCAAGGAATGTTCGCCAGCGCCGAAATAATTAAAGAAAAACATTTTTGTGGTTAAAAGTTACCTATCAATTTTCTAATAGAGAAAGAAAGGCTCAGAAAACAAATTGAGCTGATAAATCCAGTTAAAAGGTTATTTCAAATGAAAAAAAATTCATGAATGGAAAAGTTTCTGAATGTCGTAAAAGCTTCAATTAGTCAATCAATAACAACCACTGAGAATTGTTT